GCAAGAGCTCCTGTAGCAAGAGCTCCTGTAGTAAGAGCTCCTGTAGCAAGAGCTCCTGTAGCTAGAGCTCCTGTAGTAAGAGCTCCTGTAGCAAGAGCTCCTGTAGCAAGAGCTCCTGTAGTAAGAGCTCCTGTAGCAAGAGCTCCTGTAGCAAGAGCTCCTGTAGCAAGAGCTCCGGTAGCAAGAGCTCAAATCATGTTTATTATTTTCCTTTCTCATTTACCGCTTGAAACCAGTAAAACATGCTTTTGCTTGAATGTTTACACGCTCAGGCAGAAATGTCATAATACAAAATGTGTTTTTCCACTTATTGCCAGTGTTGTGTGAAAATATTGTCTAATATAGTTTTTTATTTTAAATGATAATGGTAACAGGAACATCTCTGTCAGAGTCCTCTCTGATGGTAAAGCTGCACATTCTTCTTAGCAAAAAGCCTCCGGTTCCTGTGCTGCCAATTAAAACATTGGAATTTTTTATTTTTCTTCTCACAAGCACAAACAATGAGTGATATTATCATACACATTCTTAAAAAATGTGGCCAAAACAATGAGACTGACGGGGTATCTCTGACTGGGTGTGTAAAACTACAAGCACACATGTATGGTATAATATGGTTCACAAGTGCCCACAACCACTGGCCCAGGTTACCTGACATGAACCCCTGAGGCTGATTTGAAACATTTAGACTTCTTCAAAAGCAGTGCATTTCGGCCACTTTAGAGTGCGAAGTGCTGCCGTGAGAAAAAACTCAGCCATCTCTAGGGACTAGCTCTAGATAAGGGCACTTAGCAACCGTAAATAAGCACGGTAGAAAAGGCCTACTGTAGCAGCTGGTGGGGCCTTCATCCCCTCTGCCTGTCCACCACAAAGGCCCCTCCTCTGGCCCCTTAACTGGGTGCGCTCTGGGACTTCTACTCTACAAAGTTCGGAGCGCAGCCAGTGAGCTAAAAGCCTTTATACTGTATTGGGATAAGGAGCTTTGGGGGAATAGTGATGCGGCAGATAAGAGAGAACTTTCTTGTTGTTCTAGGCACTGAGTGTTCCGTAATGGCCAGCTAAGGTGAAGGTGGTAAAGTTCAGCTACCAGTGCATCAGCAAAGGGCTGATGAGGCAGAGTGATTTGTCCTTCTCCTGTGACCATGAGCAGATATGAAAAGTGCAGCTCCATTGCAGTGTGAAGAATTCTTTTGCCGATGCAGCAGGGTCTGTCAGACCAGTGTTTATCAACCACTGTGCCGCGGCACACTAGTGTGCCGTATGATATTGTCTGGTGTGCCGTGGGAAATTTGGCCACTTTGTCTAAAAATAAATGCATACGCAAATAATGTGCTGTTGGCAAGTGCTGACTTGTTTTGACCCGCAGAGTACCCACGAAATATTGTTTCATACCGGTAGATAGCAGCAGACAGGTAATTACTTTGAGACGTAAGAATTAGCGTGTACAAAGGTGGCGGGGACAGAGCATGGATCACATTGTGGCTAGTGAAAATTGAAAGTGACGAACTGGACCCTGGACTAAAGGCTTTGTAAGCAGAGTGAAGGAGAGAAACCCAGCTGGGATTGATACGCACTGTTTTTCCTTTTACTCAGTGAGGCCCTCGCATGGACCTATCGCATGGACCTATCGCATGGATCTATCGCATGGACCTATCGCATGGACCTATCGCATGGACCTATCGCATGGATCTATCGCATGGATCTATCGCATGGACCTATCACATGGACCTATCGCATGGATCTATCGCATGGACCTATCGCATGGATCTATCGCATGGATCTATCGCATGGATCTATCGCATGGATCTATCGCATGGACCTATCACATGGACCTATCGCATGGATCTATCGCATGGACCTATCGCATGGATCTATCGCATGGATCTATCGCATGGATCTATCGCATGGATCTATCGCATGGATCTATCGCATGGATCTATCGCATGGATCTATTGCGGGCCCTCGCAGCAAAGACGTTCCCTGCAGACCTTGCTCCTGCGCTGGATGATGTGCACATGATAATATTTATGAAGTCACAACTCCTTTGTGTGAGGCAATGGCAGTGGAGTGAGTAGAAATATAATAATACAAAATAATACACTTTCATTGTGATGATGCATATTTCTCACTCAGATGAAAAATACTTTGAATTGAGAAAATAGTCTACAGAGAATATATTTTTGCATTTTCTCCTGGTGGTGTGCCGTGAGATTTTGTCAATGTCCCTGGCTCAAAAACCCACTGTGTTAGTCTGTTAGTGAACGTTCTACAACATTCATGGACATCCACTCCCTATGGACCAATACATATGTGTTCTATATTTTTGTGTCTAAACTGTTGATTCTCTGATCCGTGCTGACGGATCTGTTAAGTCCTCTGAGATGAGGACTGTTGGGATTTACGGCTATACAAGAATAAAGTGAATTGAATTGAATTGTAAAGCCTATGTTTAATCGTTAGGAAATTATAACAATTTTTTTTAAAATTTGCATTGTATCGAGAATAGGAGTGAATAGTGAAGCTCGGAGTACAGCCGCTGCTTCTCCACATCGAGAGGTACCAGTTGAAGTGGCTCAGGCATCTGTTCCGGACGCCTCCTGGACGCCTCCCACCAGGAGGAGACCACGGGGAAGACCTGGAGGGACTATGTCTCCCAGGCCTGGGAACGCCTTGGGGTCCCCCCGGATGAGCTGGAGGAGGTGTGTGTGGATAGGGAAGTCTGGGCGTCTCTGCTTAGACTGCTGCCCCCGCGACCGGGAACGGATGAAGCAGAAGAAAATAGATGGATGGATGTTTGTTTTTGATCCCCTTTTTCATTAGCGCCACTAAAAGTCTAAAAGTCTATGTTTTGAACGCTCACCCAATCTACTGGTTGGTTGATCGCGAAGGCAGGCTCCTTCACACGCATCATGGTCGCATTCACACATATTTTATTGCACCAGCATGGAAAGGGCAGTGTGCCTGAAAGTGCAGAAGTACACGGACCCTTGTATCACATTTATTTGGTTTACTATATGAAAGTAATAATTTTGTTTATACTAAGAAAAGAAAAGAAAATCTATGAATCAAATGAAAACATGGAACAAACTTCTGCATTGCTCATGCCACAGATAAACATAGCCACCGTGGGTTACTCCGTCAGGGTTCAAGTCTTCTCCGCCATCATCAGTCACACATGTGGGTAGTTTTATGTTTTAAGAGAATTTAATTTTCTATATTCTGTGCAATTATGTGCTAACGCGATCATCAAACATGGCTGACGGTCACAGAGCTACTATATATATTATAGTTTTATTAAAATCACATTTTTGGTCACGCTTTTGTAGCCTATTTACGAATACCGTTGAAAACCGTCTGACAAATCTGGGCTATCCCCACAACTCGCAGCACTATATTTAAATCTGAAAAGTCACAAGTGTAAGAATGGTCCTCCACAGCGACGGGAAAGTGATCTGTCCTCAAGTGGGAGAGCGGAGAAGGCCTATACCTAAAAAAGCCCTGGATCCATTTTCTCTGCCGCACAAAGGCAGCATTGAGGCACGCAGACTGGAAGCATTGTCTCACAAAGGTTAGTTTCCCCGACTCAGGCTAGTCCACCTCCAGCAAGTTAAGGCCTCCACATTCTGGGCAGGTTAAGTGGAGTACGGGCGGGCTTAGCTGTTGTTCCTATCTGGCTTAAAAGGCTTTGTCCATGATGTCGCACTGAATATTGAGTCAGCCTAAAGTAAAGGCTCAAATATTCTGCATTATTCGCATGTATTTAGGCTTTTTTACTGGTGACTATGTTGTTGAACTTGATATAAAATCTGTGGGTAGCCATATTTCCCTATTGGTGACAAAGGGAATTACAGCACCAAAGCAAGCCAAACAGGTTCTCTAAATAAACACATTTAGGGTTAGGATTAGGATTGATATTGAAATATATTTGTTATAGAGCAGGGCTGTATAATTACTGCTGTTTGAGGCCGAAAGCATACGTGATTTTCTTTTAGTATTAATATCATCTACATTATGAAGGTATTTTTTGCCAATTTACTTTTGGTATTAGTATTAGTACTAGTAAGATGAATCTGAATAAATCATCTGATTGACAGATGATATTGAGCCGATCCAATCACAGCGGTCGCAACTGAAAACAACAAGCTCCGTAACTCACTTGCAACGCTGCTGTAGTTTACAGGAAGTGCGGAGCCTACTTTAGCAATACTCCATCCAGAAAATATACAGTATTACATCCATGGCCCAGACTCTTCTGTCAGAATCACCAGGAGGGTTGAACAAAAACTTCACCAAATATAAAGAAGAGATGTAATTGAAGTAATGGGCCAATGATTCATCCTTGTGTTTACCTGTTTGACTACATGTTGGGTTCAAACTTTAGAATGAATAGAATTATATAAGTAAGCTTTAAGTACGTAAGCTTTATTTATATACTGCCTTTCACAGATCTGAGTCTCAAAGCGGTTTACAATTGTTACTTTTGGGCATTTGTCTCTCACTCCACACAGAGATGGGAGGGGCCAGTACAGGAGGCGCATGCCAGAACTATTGGACATATTTTTAGTGGTAGGGGAAACCGGAGGAAACCTACGCAGACACGGGGAGAACATGCAAACTCCACTCAGAAAGGCCCTTGTCCGGCCGGGATTTGAACCAAGGACCTTCTTGCTGAGAGGCGAGAGTGCTATCCACTCAGCGACCGTGCCGCCCGATATATGGTTACTTTACGGCGAAAAATAATCAAGTTAATGACAGTAATTGAAAATTGTTACAGGGGCCACTATGACATCCCTCCGCTTATATTTAGGTTTATTTAGGTTTACTTCTAATCGCTGCCAATCTTATTAAAATACTGTTTATTAGTATTGCAGCAGTGCCTGTCACTCTTGAGGGCTGAGTTACTGGGACACAGGGTTAAAACATGATCCTGGCATGTGTGTAAATGTGCATAATGTGTGCGTTACGTGTGCATTACGTGTGCCTAACATGTGTGTGTGACCCACCTCTGAGGAAGCTCATGCCCTCTCTCCTGGTAGTATCTGATGAAGAACCTCTCTGCATCCTCACGCTCTCCCTCCGACACCGCACTACCGTTGAGCAGCAGCACTGAGGGAAGCCTGCAGAAGAAGAGCACCAGACACTCACATTAGACAAGTAAAGTATGGGGACTTGCTACCTCTGTGGTGGCGCCACCTGCAGGTGAACGCCTGATCCTGTTAGGTCTCACAAGCTAAGTATGAGAGGGCCTGGTTTAGCCTGGCCTTAGCCATCCGTACACTCCAGTCAATCATCATTTCACTGCATGTAACATCTGGGTCTACAATTATATCGGTTGAATTCCATTCGACCAATCAGCGAGCACGGGAGGGGGGTGTTGGGGTTAGTTGTGGGTGACGTCAAGAGTTTGTGTCAAACGGGCAGGTTGTAGTTTGGCGAAGGCAATGCGATAGTAAAGTAATCCGTTCTGGTTTGATCAAGAAATTGAAGCTGGAGCAAGAAGAATGTTCAGCAAACTTAATTGCTTGCAAAGATATGGCGCTACTCCCCACAGGCTCCGTTAGCGGCAAAGGAGATGGCTAAAGCTAGGCTAAATGCTAACAACAGACTCGGGCGCACTACATACGTCACAGTAAACTCAGATCCAATCGTTTCAATCTGCAAAAGGAGTTAACTCCTCCCACCTGTTCACGGAGTCAATGAAGCACCTCCAGACCTTAGTACCAAATGTCATTTGTACTGTGGTGTGGTACGACCAGGCTAGGCCTGGTTTGTACAAAGAATAATGCTAATAATGTATCGGTTTTATTTAGCGCTTTTTTGGACACTCAAATACGCTTCACGTGTCATTATTCTCTCTCTCCAAACACGGTGGTGATAAACTACTGTAGCCACAGCTGCCCTGGGGCACACTGACAGAAGCGAGGCAACCAGTCTGTGCTATCGGCCCTTCTGACCACAACCAGCCATTCACACACACACCAGACTCATTCTGGGCAATGTGGGTGAAGTGTCTTGCCTAATGACACAACAACAGTTTGGCACTTTACAGCCGCAGCCGCCCAACTGTGACACCTAGTCTTACCCATGGATCTATAATAATAACTGGATAGAGCAGTGGTTCTCAAACTTTTCACACCAAGTACCCCCTCAGAAAATACTTGCCTCTCCAAGTACCACCACAAATGACCACACCACACAGTAGCGTAGTAAGCCGAAGTATTCATCAATAACAAGGCAGAGGTTTCATTCCTAAAGAAGTATATTTAATGTAATATTTAAACAGTTTCAACAGTAAGACTGCGCTTAAATATAGGAAAACATTTTTTTTTAAATGTTTCATTCATTGCGAACTGCAAAGCCTCACTGTGAGTGATATTCTGGAGTGGGATCTTTGTCCACAGAAGGTTTGGACTCTGGTGCACTTTAGTTTCTAAGGCTTGCTCTGCTGCCCTCTGACATCTGTCGTTTACTCACAGAGACATGTTCTCATGGTTTGGATCAAATGATCGTTTGTTGCTCTCTGTTCCTTTTGCACAGAACTGGGAAAAAAAAACTGCTCCTTCTACATGGAACGTGTTGCAAAAAGACTAGAAATGATCTGATCTTATTTCCTTGAATGCTTTTAGATCCAGATTGAGACATCTTCAGTGAAATGTAACTGTTTTTATAATCCGTATTTTTATGAAATTGTGTGTTACTGTTGTATAATCTGTATGTGACTATTTTATCATCTGTATGTGACTGTTTTATCATCTGTAATTTTATGTAATTTTTGTACACGAAAAAGAGGTTCTCATTGTCTCATTGACTGCCAGCCATTTTTTGATGACTTCACTGATTTTTAAGACTCACAGAATATTGTGTGCTATGAAAAATATGAAACCAGAGTCTGAAAGACAGGACTGTCTACTTTCAGCAGCAAAAAGAAGTTTGTTCTTAGTTTGTTTCGTTCTCCTGTGATCTCCAGTCGAACAGAGGAGAGTGTACCTAGCACCAGTAAGCACCAGTCTTAGACAAAAAAAATTAGAAAATTAGGTTTTTGTGAAAACAGACGAACTGCAGAAAAGTGATTGTAAAACTATTTAGTTTAACTTTAGCATCTCCTCAAACATGTCCAGAATCACACATGTTAGAAAACAGCAACACGTTTTGAGAAAGTGTTTTTAATGTAAAATAATAAGTTTTATGGCACACACACATCCACAAAGTGTTGCTCAAAAATTTCAAAATGTACTCATCCAAAAAATGTCAAAATGTACATATTGAAAGTAGAGCCCATGACAAACTCTGGCAGATAGAATGGCCAGTATTCATCCATTAGGTGGCACTATATTTATGTCAATAAGAGTAAATCAAAGAATAACAAAATTACAATGATAAACACTATACATGACAATAAATCAAAGTGAATACTTATACTTATAATATAAGTGCAACAGAATACTGCTGTGTGTCTTTGTGTGTTTGGGCGTGCATGTATGTGCGTTTATGCACGCGTTTGTGTGTTTTTGTGTGGTTACATCTACAGAGCGTCTGTTTAGTCCGGCGTGCGCTGTGACCATATCTGGACTCTGCTGCTGGCTCCTGGTGTGGACTCAGTGATAATTTTAGCAATAGTCCACTTTTCTGTGGCTTTTTTGAGGTGCTCCACTGGTCTGCTGTCCTGACCCTCCACATGGTCTGCTGCTAGGACCCTCCACATGGTCTCTGTCAGCTCTGGAGACACATTTACTGCTCAAACTGCCTCCAAATGTAGCCTGACCCTGACTATATTACTCCATGTCTGCTTCACCTCTGTCTCTCCTGCTCAGAGTGCTGGGGCAGTGATCTTTGACCAAACCAGGGAGTTCTGCTGCCACCTGCTGGCTTAATAAAATACTGTCTACAGCCAAACCCCAGACTGTATGATACAGGGGACACAGACTGACAGGAAAAGATTTAAAAACAATGTTGTCCTCAAATGACATCCATGGCTGTCAATGAGTTAATCTCAATGGGACTTTCCTGGTAAAATTGTGAAAAAAAAAAAAAAAAAAATTATTTTTTTTTAGATTTTTTTTTTTTTTCACAGATTCTTTGGCGTACCCCTAGAGGGCGCCCGCGTACCACTAGGGGTACGCGTACCCCAGTTTGAGAAACCCTGGGATAGAGTATTACTAGCCTACAGCTGTCCCACCCATGGACACAGGGGGCGCTGTGGTACTGCAGACTAAATTCACGTGGGCTACCCAGAAAAAAGTCCCATAGATCTCAATATAAACTCAACTAGCTGGGCCTCAGCTGACAGAGAACCTGACAGAGAACCTACAGAGAACCTACAGAGAACCTGACAGAGAACCTGACAGAGAACCTGACAGAGAACCTGACAGAGAACCTACAGAGAACCTACAGAGAACCTGACAGAGAACCTGACAGAGAACCTGACAGAGAACCTACAGAGAACCTACAGAGAACCTGACAGAGAACCTGACAGAGAACCTGACAGAGACAGAGAACCTACAGAGAACCTGACAGAGAACCTGACAGAGAACCTGACTGAGAACCTGACAGAGAACCTGACAGAGAACCTGACAGAGAACCTGACAGAGAACCTGACAGAGAACCTGACAGAGAACCTACAGAGAACCTACAGAGAACCTACAGAGAACCTGACAGAGAACCTACAGCTTTCATAAAGGTCAGATCTAGTCGGGATGTTAGTGTCCCTTGTCGTCCTGAACTTTTTTCTTCTTAAATCCTTCAGTTTTCTTTAAATCCACACTTTACTGCCACAAACTCTGTCCTTTTCCTTCCCGCTCTGACTCTGCGCTAACTTCGCCCTGATCAGCAGCCCCTGCACGTCCACATGCGTGAAAGCCACACACGCATATTTGGAGCAACGCATCATGGGAGATCATCCACTGCGAGAAACTGGGAGGACCAGACGATGGCCAATTATAGCAGAGTTCCTCTGATTGGTCAGCGTCCGTGAAGTCCCATGCTACTGAGCACAAGCCATTCATTTGAATAGGGCGCCATCTTGGAACACCGGGGCTTGGTCTTCCAAGAGGTCTCCCATCACAATACTAACCAGTCCCTGCCCTGCACAGCTTCAGAGGTCTGACTGGATCTGGCTTTTGCATGCTAGTATGGCCTGGTGCACTGTAATGGGACACCAGGTGCCACAGTGGAAGTGGCAGTAAAGTGCCAGACTGTCATTGTGTCCTTAGGCAGTACACTTTGCCCACATTGCTTAGGGTCTGGTGTGTTTGTGAGTCTTCCCCAAGGCACTGTGGCTACAGCAGCAGCTGTGGCTACAGTAGCAGCTGTGGCTACAGCAGCAGCTGTGGCTACAGCAGCAGTTCAACATCAAGAGTTTTCAAGTGTGCAGAAAAGCTCTATGTAAATCCAATGCATTATTAATTGTGCCATCTTGCATTTTAAGGGCAGACCCAGGACAGCTAGAGGGCGGCAGTAGCTCAGTTGGTAGAGCGTTGGCCTTTGACCTTTGGCTCAAGACTTTCACCATCGACTCCCACTGTCTGCTGTTGTTGTGTCCTTGGCAAGACACTTAACCTCTGGGAACACCAGCCATAGTGGGGCGGCTGTAAAGTGCCAAACTGCCGTTGTGCAAGACACTTCACCCCCATTGCCTGGAATGAGTCTGGTGTGTGTGTGAATGGTTGGTGGTTTTGTTTGAACACACATTGAGTACAGTACGATACATGCATTTCATTTCATTTAATTCCATTATCAACCCGACAGACCAGTCACAGGACACGTCATGGGCCTGCGTCAGTAAAATGACTGCTATCACACAGCAGCTGTGTAGTTCCACAGGAGTCAATATGACTGCTATCACACAGCAGCTGTGTAGTTCCACAGGAGTCAATATGACTGCTATCACACAGCAGCTGTGTAGTTTCACAGGAGTCAATATGACTGCTATCTCACAGCAGCTGTGTAGTTCCACAGGAGTCAATATGACTGCTATCACACAGCAGCTGTGTAGTTCCACAGGAGTCAATATGACTGCTATCACACAGCAGCTGTGTAGTTTCACAGGAGTCAATATGACTGCTATCACACAGCAGCTGTGTGGTTCCACAGGAGTCAATATGACTGCTATCACACAGCAGCTGTGTAGTTCCACAGGAGTCAATATGACTGCTATCACACAGCAGCTGTGTAGTTTCACAGGAGTCAATATGACTGCTATCACACAGCAGCTGTGTAGTTCCACAGGAGTCAATATGACTGCTATCACACAGCAGCTGTGTAGTTCCACAGGAGTCAATATGACTGCTATCACACAGCAGCTGTGTAGTTCCACAGGAGTCAATATGACTGCTATCACACAGCAGCTGTGTAGTTCCACAGGAGTCAATATGACTGCTATCACACAGCAGCTGTGTAGTTCCACAGGAGTCATATGACTGCTATCACACAGCAGCTGTGTAGTTCCACAGGAGTCAATATGACTGCTATCACACAGCAGCTGTGTAGTTCCACAGGAGTCAATATGACTGCTATCACACAGCAGCTGTGTAGTTCCACAGGAGTCAATATGACTGCTATCACACAGCAGCTGTGTAGTTCCACAGGAGTCAATATGACTGCTATCACACAGCAGCTGTGTAGTTTCACAGGAGTCAATATGACTGCTATCACACAGCAGCTGTGTAGTTTCACAGGAGTCAATATGACTGCTATCACACAGCAGCTGTGTAGTTCCACAGGAGTCAATATGACTGCTATCACACAGCAGCTGTGTAGTTCCAGAGGAGTCAATATGACTGCTATCACACAGCAGCTGTGTAGTTCCACAGGAGTCAATATGACTGCTATCACACAGCAGCTGTGTAGTTTCACAGGAGTCAATATGACTGCTATCACACAGCAGCTGTGTAGTTTCACAGGAGTCAATATGACTGCTATCACACAGCAGCTGTGTAGTTTCACAGGAGTCAATATGACTGCTATCACACAGCAGCTGTGTAGTTCCACAGGAGTCAATATGACTGCTATCACACAGCAGCTGTGTAGTTCCAGAGGAGTCAATATGACTGCTATCACACAGCAGCTGTGTAGTTCCACAGGAGTCAATATGACTGCTATCACACAGCAGCTGTGTAGTTTCACAGGAGTCAATATGACTGCTATCACACAGCAGCTGTGTAGTTTCACAGGAGTCAATATGACTGCTATCACACAGCAGCTGTGGACTGCTTAAAACGAAACTTACTCTTAAAACCCACATGTGACAAAACGGAACCATCAACATCTCGCCTCAAATTGCATTAAAAGTGACATTTGTGTCTTATTTTGCAGAAATTCGCAGACTTTGTGTCCGCCATCTTGGATTGGTTCGGCTGCAGTGAGACGCGCAGGTTTGTATGACATCATTAACAGCTGAGGCAGATGCTCTCGACCACACTCCACAGAACAACTCCACAGAACAACTCCACAGAACAACTCCACAGAACAACTCCACAGAACAACTCCACAGAACAACTCCACAGAACAACTCCACAGAACAACTCCACAGAACAACTCCACAGAACAACTCCACAGAACAACTCCACAGAACAGCTCCACAGAACAGCTCCACAGAACAGCTCCACAGAACAGCTCCACAGAACAGCTCCACAGAACAACTCCACAGAACAACTCCACAGAACAACTCCACAGAACAACTCCACAGAACAGCTCCACAGAACAGCTCCACAGAACAACTCCACAGAACAACTCCACAGAACAACTCCACAGAACAACTCCACAGAACAGCTCCACAGAACAGCTCCACAGAACAGCTCCACAGAACAACTCCACAGAACAGCTCCACAGAACAGCTCCACAGAACAGCTCCACAGAACAACTCCACAGAACAACTCCACAGAACAGCTCCACAGAACAGCGGTCTGAACGCGGCTGTAGACTGCTGCCCCCGCGACCCGGCAACGGATGAAGCGGGAGAAAATGGACGGATAAAGCAAGGTAGCCGCTTGTTTCCCTGTCATTGTATAAATTATTGTCCCTTGGGTGATAAATAGTTTGAGAGGAAAACGCAAGGACATTTGTGCCTTTGAAAACACACATGGACAGTCCCTGAGCCTGGACAGACAATGGTGGTGTCTCACTGTGCCAGCAGCAGGCTCCGGCGCTCCTGACTGGAGAAGGGCTGCAGCAGGGGAATGCCTCTGGCCTTCACCTCCACCAGGTTTGGGAGGAAATTCAGATGCTCAATGTCCTCCCATTTGCTCAGCCCTGAGGGAGGCAAAACACACTGGTAACGCTCTAAGTACTGTACCACAAACATTGTGAATAGAACATATATATCTGAGCTTGTTCACACTAAAGGGCACAAAAGTGTGACAAAAGGCCAAAAATTAGATTTTAATAATCAGAAGATATTTAATGTTTTTCATGTTTCCAAACACCTCCTCTGTCCTTTAGAAGTTGCTAGAACATAACTGTTTTATACATTAAACAAGTTTCCTATAGCGGCCCTGTTAATTTTATGTAACGGACGATGATGATTTGACGGAATGAGCTTTGTGGAAGTTTGATAGGTATTTTCAGATGTCCACATTTGATTCAGAGATTCTATTTTTTTACACAAAGTAGATGCAAAGTGATACTTTCATATTATCAACCAATTAAATGTGAAAACAGACCAGATTTTTTTTTTCTCAAGTTTAATTTTTAGAGAAAAGAGGACCGTCCTCATCACGTCCGTTACACATTTTTCAAGGGTCATTTGTATTTTTTTTACGATTCCTTTTTATATCAAGTGATTTCCTTCTGTTGTGTTAACCATGTAAATCTTGTGGGATTTCATCTTCTGCTTTTTCAGACTGAGGACATTTATTTTCTATGTAACTGGCGTCACAGTAGAATGGTCAAATCAGAGGCTCATTTGGTCGTTTAAAATGTTGCTAAACATTTTTATGTCAATCTTTCCTTTTGATTTTTTCCACACTATCTCTTCAATCTGTCTGTGTTTGAAATCTTTTTTCCAATCTATGAAAGTAATTTTAGTTTTTAAGTTATAACCTTTTAAAGTCCAGATACTTCAATTGTCACTTTACTGTGAACACACTCATATATATATATATATATCTATATATATATATAAAAATCCTCGAATCGATTTGAGGGTCACAATTTCTACTCAATTCTTGATTTTTTTCTTTCTTTTAAAAAGTGTTTTACAAATCTACATCTTCAGCAAGTCCACTCAAATATTTCGTCTAAGACCAGAATGAACTTGCGTATAGTGTGTCACATAATCGTTTGTTTGGTGACCAGAGAAGCCCTGGCTCCTCCATGCTCGGACCTGAATGGTTGAGGTTGATGCTGCGCAGGCAGGGGAACAGCCTCTGCATCGCCTCCTCCTGGTCGTCCACTGTGAGTAGGCAGTTGTTGGCCAGCACCAGGGTGGTCAGGGCAGGGTACAGGAGCCCCAGCTTGCGAACCTGGGCCCAGAGCTGCAGTCTGTTCTCTGTGATTTGCAGCAGGCGGAGAGAAGGACAGGCACACCCCGAGTGCTCCACCACACTGAAGTCGTTTAGGCACAAGAACAGCTCCTCCAGCCTGATGGGAAAACACCGTTACATGGGCTGTACATAACGTCTCATATCTGAGGGAGCATTGATCCCCACACTCCAGGTGACCACCACCACTCTTCTTACTTAAAGCTTATCTAATACTTATTAAACTTATGTTTTGTATCTTATTTTATATATTTGTATATCTGACTTGTGAATGATGTCATATATTGTTTTGGTATGGTCCACATAAGTTTAACTGTATATATGACTTTTCCCATGCCGATATCATTCTGTGACAAAGGCCTTCAGATAAATCTTTGCATTAACTTATATTTTGTCCTCCATTCATTGCTTTACATGTTGTGTATAACTTGTGAATACTTAGGAGCTGTATTAATGTATGAGTCAACACCAAGCCCCGGCGATCCAAGATGGTGCTGTATTCAATTGAATGGTTTGTGCTCAGTGACGCATGTGCCGGCATGGGCGCCGAAAGATCAGCAGAACTTGTCTCTATTTGGGCATAGTCCGGTCCTCCCGGTTCTGTGCAGTGGACGAGCTCCCATGATGCTTTGCGCCATATACGCGTGTGTGGCTCTCACGCACGTGCACAGAGGGGCTCGCGGCGCTCTGACCAATCAGAGCAGAGCTGATTGGGGTAGCCCACGTGAATTCAGTCACATTTAGTCTGCTAGTAATATCCTATCCAGTTATTATAATAGATCCATGGTCAACACAGATTACAAGAAGCCTGCTACACTTCAGAAAAGCACCACCAGGTGGAGCCACAGTCCTACAATTAAAGGCCTTTTGTTTTGAGGCAACAAAGGCAATCCTTTTTAGGACAACACCATGTAAACCAATTCTCACAAACAGCTCAGTTCAATGATGCACGCAAGATTATAGAGCTTCAACCTAGGCATTACCTGAATATGGAATACTGCAGGCTAATAAGAAAACCACAACTTTACTAGCTTTGAAATAAACGCTTATATATTCTATCACTTCTACGGCCTGTTAAAAAAAAACAACTAAACAAATCTGCAATGATAAAACTAAATCTGTTAGACCTTTTGGAGCACACACAGAGCACAAACGTTTGGAGCACAGAACCAAGATCTGCCTCCACAGTGGCAGACATGTTGTGTTGTAAGTGTATAAACTCTGTTATAACTGCTGTCTTACAGAATGTAAATTGACTAACTGTTGGTCTGAACACTTTTACAGCTAAGGAACATTTACCTGAACAGATTTATAGACCTGTAATGAAGCACAGAGCTCCAGAAAGAACACATGCCAAAGTTCAAAGTTTAACGTTGCTTGATTTGACTGAAATAATCAAGTGTTCTGTAACTGATTACACTGAATTACACTGCTTTAGGTAGTCATTCTAAAAGCAATCCTATTAGAGTAACCTATTACTGGAAATTGAGTTTGAAGGTTATATCTGATCAATTCCCGACCAAAAAGGACAGCTTGAATGACGACAGATGAACACTAGATCTTACACTCACTCTGGCATGTGTCTTGTGAGCGTGTGCACCGTACTCCAGCTGATGTGAGTGTTGATGAGCACCATCCTGCGCACCCTGGAGAAACACTCAGCCAGAGGAGGCTCCAGCACGGCCCCACACAGAGGGTTCATGCTCAGGTTCAGGAAGTCCAAGTGCGGGATGTTGGACACAATTGTGAAGATCTGCACACACACAATTGTTACATGTGTACTTTATATCATACACACCGAGGTAGACATTTCAAAAACCTATCTTCTTAGATAATGAATGATAAGGCAAAAACACTTGTGTGCCATGTATTCTCAAAGAAACATGTTCAAAGAAAGCCGACAACATAAACTAGTCTTCTGACCCTATCATAAGTCTCCATCCCCCAGTTCTCAACAGCGGTAACATGTATGACAGAGTCTTTTGTTGTGGTGGTTGTGGATGAGGTTATTTGATCCTCTTTGATCGTAAAGCTGATCTCCTCAGAGCGGCTCAGTGATGTTATAATTTGAACATAGAAAACATGTTTAGTGTTTATCTTCAAATTATAACTGTCTCACACTATTCTTAATCTTAAAAATATTCCCAAACAATGATATCGATGGCTTGTGTGTTTAAAGAGGGTGTAAATGACAAGGGAAAACCACCACATCATGGGCAAATGAGAGTATATCAGAATGCTGCTGCGTGGGGTGAACCTGTACCTCTCCCCAGTCCTGCAGCTGGTTGTAGGACAGGTCCAGCTCCACCACATGGGCACAGAAGGCGGCAATGTCTGAGCCCTGTCCGGCCTTACTGATACTGCAATAGTTGAGCACCAGAACACTGGGTAGGAACAGTCGATCTGACCACACAAACAACAAGGCTTCAGATCAAACTGCAAACACATATTTCATTACTACAACACAACAAGACAATTACAGTAAGACTAATACAGTTATTATCTCAAAATGTAAAAAGAGTTCTGGCTTTGCCAGCAAAAATCACTAATATAAAACGGTTTTTCCCACTCCAGTTTAACAAATACATGATGTTCCCAAACCAATATCAGAAAAAGCTTTTCTCTGTTTTCATCCTTTCATTATTGTTCCTTTGTTACCCTACTTGTCACCATACCTGGCATAAGCAGGGTAAGATTAAGATTAAGAGATCCTTTACTGTGGGACGAATAAAGAATCTCTAAATCTTAATCTTACCCTGCTTATGCCAGGTGGGCAGGGCAGCAGTCTGAGCAGACACCCAGACTGGTTCCTCTCAACATGGAGAAGTAGAGCTCTCTGTGTGACCTCTGAGGGTGGGAGCGGTAAATGTCTGTGCCTGTGTTTGGATGTAGGAAGGATTCTGCAAAAAAGACTGATCTAGAGAAATTGAGCTTGAGACTGAAATTTGGTGTGTAGATGATGCGTAGGAAAAAGCATGGTAGGAAGTTAACATTTAGGGATGATCGTGGTGGCCTTGGAAGCATATGTTCTCTCCGAGTGCACGTTCCAGATGGAGGTGGGGAGGGAGCCACAGAAATGAGAGCTATGCTGCGAGAGCCTCGTAGTGTTCTGTGTATTTTGAATGAAAGCTGTGTCATTGGGAAATGCACTTGGAACACATTTTGGGAGCTGCCTGTCTCGCACATGAATGCAGGCGGTTATCCCTCTCTATCCCTCTCTAAGCTCGGGCCTGGGAGCTTGAGGGCTCAGTATCTTTGCTGTTCCTAGCACTGCACATTTCTGGACCCAGATGTCCGAGGTTGTTCCAGGGATCCACTGTAACCTCTTCTAGCTTCAGGGTCACTGCCCCGAGTGCATTGATGACAATTTGACTGACTAAAATGTAAACAATCTTAATCCGGAACCTTTAAGTAACAAGTTCAACGGCGAGTTGAGATACAGACAGGTGCTGCTTTCACCCTGACTTCTTTCAAACTCATGAGAATGGTTATTCTATGAAGTGGTTTGTGATACCAGGCCTATTCCACACAGACCATTCTCCATGTAACTACCCATGTGATACCAGGCTTATTCCACACAGACCATTCTCCATGTAACTACCCATGTGATACCAGGCTTATTCAACACAGACCATTCTCCATGTAACTACCCATGTGATACCAGGCTTATTCCACACAGACCATTCTCCATGTAACTACCCATGTGATACCAGGCCTATTCCACACAGACCATTCTCCATGTAACTACCCATGTGATACCAGGCCTATTCCACACAGACCATTCTCCATGTAACTACCCATGTGATACCAGGCCTATTCCACACAGACCATTCTCCATGTAACTACCCATGTGATACCAGGCTTATTCAACACAGACCATTCTCCATGTAACTACCCATGTGATACCAGGCCTATTCCACACAGACCATTCTCCATGTAACTACCCATGTGATACCAGGCCTATTCCACACAGACAATTCTCCATGTAACTACCCATGTGATACCAGGCCTATTCCACACAGACCATTCTCCATGTAACTACCCATGTGATACCAGGCCTATTCCACACAGACCATTCTCCATGTAACTACCCATGTGATACCAGGCTTATTCAACACAGACCATTCTCCATGTAACTATGGAAGTAGTTTGGATGCTGCGGTACTTGAAAATTACCGTCCCATCTCAAATCTGCCTTTCATGGGAAAAATTCTTGAAAAAGTTGCCTACCAACAACTTACTGAATTTTTAATATCTAATGACTCATTTGACATGTTCCAGTCTGGCTTTAGACCACACCACAGTACTGAGACCGCTCTAGTCAAGGTAACAAATGATATTCGGCTTAACACTGATGCAGGAAAAGTCTCTGTTTTAGTCATGTTAGATCTGAGTGCCGCTTTCGACACCGTTGACCATGAGATTCTCATGCAGAGACTGGAGGACTGGGTTGGTGTTGCTGGTACCGCCCTAAGCTGGTTTAGGTCCTATCTAGAAGAAAGGAAGTACTGTGTGGAGATTGGAAACTATGTCTCAGATAATATGGCCCTGACCTGCGGAGTGCCACAGGGGTCGATCCTGGGACCTCTCCTGTTCAATATTTACATGCTGCCATTAGGTCAGTTAATTCAAAGTATGAAAGTGTCCTACCACAATTACGCTGATGACACTCAGATCTATGTCTCACTGACTGCAGGAGAGCATGGGCCGGTGGACTCACTCCTTCGCTGTATCCAGCGGATCAGTGAGTGGATGCAATGCAATTTTCTCCAGCTAAATGCGGACAAAACCAAAATGATTGTCTTTGGTCCCGAGAAACAAAGAGAGACCGTCATTTGTCACCTTCAGTCTCTCTCCCTAAGGCCTTTAAATAAGGTCAGAAATCTGGGAGTAATAATGGACTCTGACTTAAACTTCAATAGCCACATTGGATCGGTAACATCAGCAGCTTTTTATCATCTGAAAAATATTGCCAAAATTAAAAATATTGTGTCCAAAGCAGACTTGGAGATTCTTATCCATTCTTTTGTTTCCAGTAGGCTGGATTACTGCAATGGCCTGCTCACAGGTATCTCCAAACATGCAGTAAAACAGCTGCAGTATATTCAAAATGCTGCAGCCCGAGTCCTGACTAGAACCAGGAAGTACGACCACATTATCGTCCAGACGGTCTGCACCCGAACAGATACGGCACCAGTTTATTGATGGACTTTTTACGCCATGTTGTTCAGTGCTCCCCGAGGGGGGCGTGACTGTTTACATCCGAGGCCTCTCGGCCCCCACTACCACCTTCCTCCTCCACTCCAGCACTGGGTGAGTACTGTGGTGCAAACACTGACCCCTGTCCGTCTGGCAGTGTAATACCAGTCCTGCCACTGAACGGTGCTTACTCAGCCATGCATCTGGAACTTAACAAAGTAAAACAGAGTTCACTTTTTAAACCAATAGAGACTGTGTGTGTTCCTCGCACCGGCTCAGAAATGTGTTTTAATTTGAATAAACACAAATATAACAGAAGGACAGCAGTTAGACGGTCCAACTCAGGAAATCTAATTCCAATTCTTTGTAGTCAATCAACTAAACCCACTGACACTGACATTATTTTTAACCTTGCTCTGCTTAATGTCAGATCACTATGCAATAAATCCTTTTTAATTAATAATTTTATCTGTTCTTATGATCTTGACTTTATGTTTATGACTGAAACTTGGCTTGACCATAATACAGAAAATGCAGTTTTAATAGAAACAACACCACCAAATTTCAAATTTGAATCAGAAATTCGAGAAAATAAAAGAGGAGGAGGCACAGCAGCAGTTTTTAAAGATTGTATTGTCTCCCATAGAGTACCTCTTGGGAAATTTTCCTCATTTGAGTATGTCTCTTTTAAAATAGAACAAAAACAATCTTCTATTCTTATTATTGTTGTGTACAAGCCGCCACAGTCATGTCATAGTTTCACTGATCATTTCACCGAGTTGCTTTCAGTTGTGTGCACAGACTTTGATAGTTTAGTCGTCATAGGTGATTTTAATATACATGTAGATAACGTTAATGATAGATGCGCGAAAGAGCTGAGCTCTGTGCTGGAAACCTTTGGTCTCACTCAACATGTGAGTGGCCCCACCCATAGCAGAGGACACACTCTCGATCTGCTAATTACTAAAGGGGTTAATATCTCAAATGTAAATGTGGCCAATGTTGCTCTGTCAGATCATTTCTGTGTATTTTTTGATATGTGTCTCAATAGTAAAGCACGAGCTGAATCCTCAATTGTTAGAAGAAGAAGACACATAAACAAAAATACAGGTGAACTTTTCATGGGGATGATAAACTTTGATAACACGTTGTGTTCTACTGTGGATGAATTACTTAACTCTGTCACCTCTAGTGTTTTGGATGTTCTGGACACGATTGCTCCTGTAAAGGTCAAAATTGTTACAAATAAGCAAAAGGCGCCATGGACAAAAGCAGACTCTGTCAGGGCACAGAAGAGAGAGTGCCGGAGAGCCGAGCGGAAGTGGCGAAAGTCAAATCTCCAAGTTGACCATGAGATCTTCAAAGATGCATTGTGCAAGTTCAACAGTGTGCTACGAAGAACGAGGGAAACTTATTTTTCCGAAACAATCGAAGGTTGTAGTGGCAATCTACGCGTTCTGTTCTCAACGGTAAATAAATTGACAAATCCCCCTGTTAAGATGCCATCAGAGCTTACCTCCAAAACCAAATGTAATGAGTTTGCAGAGTTTTTTAATGACAAAGTCCAAGGCATCAAAAATGCCATCACCTCCACAGTAGAAATTACAATCCAACACCCAGTGAAGCTTTTTGGGCTGACACACTTTGCACCAGTACAAAATGAAACTGTCCAAATGATAATTACAAGTCTGAGTTCTTCTACATGTAGCCTGGATGTATTACCTCCTAGATTTCTTAAATCTGTTCTGAGCAGTCTTTTACCTTCACTCACGCATATAGTAAATATGTCTCTTGAATCTGGAACATTCCCAATGGCCCTGAAAACGGCAGTCATCAGACCCCTCCTAAAAAAGAGGAGTCTGGATGCCTTGGCACTTAAAAGTTATCGGCCCATTTCAAATCTGCCTTTCATGGGTAAAATTCTAGAAAAAGTTGTCTATCAACAACTTACAGAATTTTTAATAATCAATCACTCTTTTGATATGTTCCAGTCTGGTTTTAGACCCCACCACAGCACAGAGACCGCTCTAGTGAAGGTAACAAATGACATCAGACTTAACACTGACGCAGGAAAAGTCTCAGTTCTTATCCTGTTAGATTTGAGTGCTGCTTTCGACACTGTCGATCATGGTATCCTCATTCAGAGACTTGAGGACTGGGTTGGTGTTTCTGGAACAGCCCTAAGCTGGTTTATATCCTACCTACAGGACAGAAAGTATTTTGTGGAGATCGGAAACTGTGTCTCAGACCATCTGGCCCTGACCTGCGGAGTGCCACAGGGCTCAATCCTGGGGCCTCTCCTGTTTAATATTTACATGCTGCCTCTGGGTAGGTTAATACACAGTAATAACGTGTCCTATCACAATTACGCTGACGATACTCAGGTCTATGTGTCCCTGACAGCAGGAGAACATGGACCAGTGGACTCGCTCCTTCACTGTATCCAACAGATCAGTGATTGGATGCAAAATAACTTTCTCCAGCTAAACACAGAAAAAACTGAAATTATTGTTTTCGGACCTCAGAAACAAAGAGAGAGCGTTATCTGCCACCTCCAGTCTCTCTCCCTGAAACCCTCAACTCAGGTCAGAAATCTAGGAGTAATAATGGACTCAGACTTGAATTTCAATAGCCACATATCATCTGTGACATCATCAGCTTACTTCCACCTAAGAAACATTGCTAAAATTAAAAACATTGTGTCTAAAGCAGACTTGGAGATTCTTATCCACGCATTTGTCTCCAGTCGATTGGACTACTGCAATGGCTTGTTCACAGGTCTCTCTAAACAAGCGGTAAAACAGCTGCAGTACATCCAAAATGCTGCAGCTCGAGTCCTGACTAGAACCAGGAAGTACGACCACATTAGTCCGGTCCTCAGGTCTCTGCACTGGCTTCCTGTGGCTCAGAGAATAGATTTTAAAGTAGCTTTACTTGTGTACAAGTCTCTCCATGGCCTCGCACCAGGGTACATCCGCGACATGTTGGTGCCATATGAACCAACTCGGGCTCTGAGGAGCACAGGGACTGGACTTCTGTTAGTGCCAAGAGTCGGAACTAGACATGGGGAGGCTGCGTTTCAGATTCATGCAGCTAGAGTCTGGAACCGTCTTCCCGAGAGTGTGAGACAGGCGTCTACTCTAGCAGTTTTTAAAACTGAACTGAAAACAGTTCTTTTTAGCTGTGCATACAAGTGAATGATTTTACATTTGTTTTTATCTTTAATCTTTTTAATGCGCTATGATTATTTATGATTATTTATGATTGTAATCCCTTGTGTGATTTTAATTTTTTACGGTTTTTAACTACTTGTGTGATTTTATATATCTTGTGCTCTTAATCTGTCTTTTTATGTTTACTTAAATTCTAATGTTTGATGATTTATGCATGATGTTATATGGGTTGTGAGGCGCTTTGCGTTGCCTTGTGTAGGAAAGGCGCTCTATAAATAAACGTTGATTGATTGATTGATTAGTCCGGTCCTCAGGTCTCTGCACTGGCTTCCCGTGGCCCAGAGGATAGACTTTAAAGCAGCTCTCCTGGTGTACAAGTCTCTCCATGGCCTTGCACCAAAGTACATCCATGATATGCTAGTCCCATATGAACCAGCCCGGACTCTGAGGAGCGCAGGGACGGGACTCCTGTTAGTGCCCAGAGTCAGGACTAGACAGGGGGAGGCTGCTTTTCAGATTTATGCAGCTGGAGTCTGGAACAGTCTTCCTGAGGATGTGAGACTGGCTGCCTCTCTGTCAATGTTCAAATCCATGTTAAAGACTTTTCTTTTTTCCTGTGCATACAACTAAAGAATTTTATCTTTTTAACACACCTTGTTATTTATTGTTGTAACTTTTTGTGTTTTTAACTATTTTATTGTTTTTAATTACTTGTGTGATTCTTATGTTTTTAAATTACTTATGTGATTTTAATGCTTTTTAATTACATATGTGTTTTTAATTGTATTTTAATGGTGATGATTTGTGCATTGTGTGGTGTGGACTGTGAGGCGCTTTGTGTTGCCCTGTGCAGGAAAAGCGCCCTATAAATAAAGATTGATTGATTGATTGAACTACCCATGTGATACCAGCCCTTTTCCACACAGACCATTCTCCATGTAACTACCCATGTGTATCACATGGGTAGTTACATGCCTTACATGGGTAGTTACATGCCTTACATGGGTAGTTACATGCCTTACATGGGTAGTTACATGCCTTACATGGGTAGTTACATGCCTTACATGGGTAGTTACATGCCTTACATGGGTAGTTACATGCCTTACATGGGTAGTTACATGCCTTACATGGGTAGTTACATGCCTTACATGGGTAGTTACATGCCTTACATGGGTAGTTACATGCCTTACATGGGTAGTTACATGCCTTACATGGGTAGTTACATGCCTTACATGGGTAGTTACATGCCTTACATGGGTAGTTACATGCCTTACATGGGTAGTTACATGCCTTACATGGGTAGTTACATGCCTTACATGGGTAGTTACATGCCTTACATGGGTAGTTACATGCCTTACATGGGTAGTTACATGCCTTACATGGGTAGTTACATGCCTTACATGGGTAGTTACATGCCTATTCCACACAGACCATTGTGAGCGTTACCCTTGCTGGGCGAGCCAGGTGGCGTGGGCAGCATGACGATGCCAAGGCCTTGGCCTCTGGAGTAGGGGAAGTTGTCCGGGTTGTACTTGTCACTGATGACCTGAACAAAGGTGTGCACCTCCTCTTCATCTGAGGAAGACTCCATTCTGCCGCGATGATGGAGCACCTGAAGACCACATTAACACCTGGTAAATCATCAAAACAATCCAACCCATGCTGCACTTAGAGAGAAGGGATTGTTCAAATTCAAACTGTTTACATCCCCTTATTCTTAAAGTTAATGCAAAGTTGTCTATACTGAGAAAATTGGCATAAAATCACTTTTGTTCTAAGAAAATATAATTAAAATGTATAATTTCACAGTTGAAAATATCATTCATTGTATTCACTGATTAACTAATATAACGTTGGAAATTAAACTTTCTGAATCACAAAGTAATGGGACTTTTTCTACTACATAAAAAGAAACTGTATTTTTGGCCTCGATTCCATCTTTAGATTCTCTCAGCCCAAAGAGTCAAATAGTGACTCACAAGGCTTTTTCTGACTAATCAGCAAATGTTTTCTACTAAAAAGAACAGAGCAAGTTATTGTTAAATCTGTTCCCAAAATGTTACTTTTACAAGACTTTCTCTGCTAAGAGAAACAATATTATTAATCTTTATGAAAAGGTTTGGCTACAGACGAACATGTTCCATGTCCACATTGTTTGCTCATACAAAATGCAAAAGTATGAAAAAGCACATTTAAAAGTGTGTTATGGTCTTACCTTAAACATAAACTGCACAGACCAGTTCAGACCAGTTTAGACCAGTTTCATGTTTAAGTCCAGATAATAGTCTGAGCACAGATATGTAATCCTCCATTTGGAAATAAGTCCAATGAGTTTTGAAAAGTAAATAAAACATTTTTAAAATGTGTTCTATGTATGTTAGCCAAACCTGTAGCTGCCCTTAGCAGATTAAGAACAAGAAAGGAACTTTCTGATGGAATTGGATGCAGCCGAATTCAAGCGCCCCCCTGAGGCGCCCCCATGAGGCGCCCCCATGAGGCACCCCCCTGAAGCGCCCCCCTGAGGCGCCCCCCAGAGGCGCCCCCATGAGGCGCCCCCATGAGGCACCCCCCTGAAGCGCCCCCCTGAGGCACCCCCCTGACGCGCCCCCCTGAGGCCCCCCCCTGGTGACATTACAAGCCGTGGTTGAGCTCGATTAAGACCCATATTTGTGTCAAAAACACATCCTCTCATCTATAAACGTGTAGATTAGTAGATTTTAAATGAAATATGTTTGAACTTTGTAAACCGCGATAAACAGAGAAAACAGTTTGATAGCAGCGCACTCTCCCACAGTGAGCTACGGGCCTCTCCCACAGTGAGCTACTCTCCCACAGTGAGCTACGGGCCTCTCCCACAGTGAGCTACGGGCCTCTCCCACAGTGAGCTACAGGCCTCTCCCACAGTGAGCTACGGGCCTCTCCCACAGTGAGCTACTCTCCCACAGTGAGCTACTCTCCCACAGTGAGCTACGGGCCTCTCCCACAGTGAGCTACTCTCTCACAGTGAGCTACTCTCCCACAGTGAGCTACAGGCCTCTCCCACAGTGAGCTACAGGCCTCTCACAGTGAGCTACAGGCCTCTCACAGTGAGCTACAGGCCTCTCACAGTGAGCTACGGGCCTCTCACAGTGAGCTACGGGCCTCTCACAGTGAGCTACAGGCCTCTCACAGTGAGCTACGGGCCTCTCACAGTGAGCTACGGGCCTCTCCCACAGTGAGCTACTCTCTCACAGTGAGCTACGGGCCTCTCCCACAGTGAGCTACGGGCCTCTCCCACAGTGAGCTACTCTCTCACAGTGAGCTACAGGCCTCGCCCAAAGTGAGCTACGGGCCTCACCTGCCTCCTCTGGCCCCACGTCACTGACACCCACCTACCCAATGCTCTGATTGGCTGAGCCATGTCATGTCAAAGAACCACTCTGACTCTGTTTCTGACTAGGAACACTGTTGCATCATGGGTAAAAGCTGTATATTTATTCAGATGGGATTATTTGTGTCACTCTCAGCATTAACAAAGGTTTCCCTACCTGGAAAGTGGACCAAAGGCCGTGTTCAGGATCTGCAGCTCAGATCACATGATGCTGCCACCCTGCGGAGAAAAGAGCTGTAGTGAGGGGAGGGCGGAGCGTGGAGGAGGGGCACAACCAGGAAGTAAGAAGTGTCCTCATCAAACCAAATGTGTGTGTCTGTGTGTGTGTGTGTGTGTGTGAGTGTGTGTGTGCGTCTGCATCTGTGTGAGTGTGTGTGTGTGTGTGTGTCTGTGTGTGAGTGTGTGCATCTGCATCTGTTGGGCAGCCTCACAGCAGCTCAGAGCAGCTCACAGCAGCTCACAGCAGCTCACAGCAGCTCACAGCAGCTCACAGCAGCTCACAGCAGCTCACAGCAGCTCACAGCAGCTCAGAGCAGCTTAGAGCAGCTCACAGCAGCTCACAGCAGCTCAGAGCAGCTCACAGCTGCTCAGAGCAGCTCACAGCAGCTCACAGCAGCTCACAGCAGCTCACAGCTGCTCAGAGCAGCTCAGAGCAGCTCAGAGCAGCTTAGAGCAGCTCACAGCAGCTCACAGCAGCTCACAGCTGCTCAGAGCAGCTCAGAGCAGCTTAGAGCAGCTCACAGCAGCTCACAGCAGCTCAGAGCAGCTCACAGCAGCTCACAGCAGCTCACAGCAGCTCACAGCTGCTCAGAGCAGCTCAGAGCAGCTTAGAGCAGCTCACAGCAGCTCACAGCAGCTCACAGCTGCTCAGAGCAGCTCAGAGCAGCTTAGAGCAGCTCACAGCAGCTCACAGCAGCTCACAGCTGCTCAGAGCAGCTCAGAGCATTATTCATAAAATACATAAGAGTTCAAACACGACTGAAACAATCCCATGCATGAAAAGCGTCAGTGCTGTGTTCACGCCACTGGGGCGGGTCCCGGCTCAAAAATGTCCATGAACAGGATGGTCCAAAAGTCAGTCCTTGGCCCAAAGCTATGTTCCAGATGACAATGCTGAGGGGACTATATATTTAGTCTAGTCTAGTTTAGCCGCTGTGGACTTTAGACTTCACACACGACACACACAGCTGTCACCTGCAGCTGTGGACTTCAGACTTCACACACGACACACACAGCTGTCACCTGCACAAGTTCTCCGACGACTCCGCCATCGTGGGCTGTGTGTCTGAGGGGAACCAACTGGAATATCATTCAGTAAGACCAAGGAGATGGTACCTGTGCTAACACCAGTAAGACCAAGGAGATGGTACCTGTGCTGACACCAGTAAGACCAAGGAGATGGTACCTGTGCTGACACCAGTAAGACCAAGGAGATGGTACCTGTGCTAACACCAGTAAGACCAAGGAGATGGTACCTGTGCTAACACCAGTAAGACCAAGGAGATGGTACCTGTGCTAACACCAGTAAGACCAAGGAGATGGTACCTGTGCTAACACCAGTAAGACCAAGGAGATGGTACCTGTGCTAACACCAGTAAGACCAAGGAGATGGTACCTGTGCTAACACCAGTAAGACCAAGGAGATGGTACCTGTGCAACACCAGTAAGACCAAGGAGATGGTACCTGTGCTGACACCAGTAAGACCAAGGAGATGGTACCTGTGCTAACACCAGTAAGACCAAGGAGATGGTACCTGTGCTAACACCAGTAAGACCAAGGAGATGGTACCTGTGCTAACACCAGTAAGACCAAGGAGATGGTACCTGTGCTAACACCAGTAAGACCAAGGAGATGGTACCTGTGCTAACACCAGTAAGACCAAGGAGATGGTACCTGTGCTAACACCAGTAAGACCATGGAGATGGTACCTGTGCTAACACCAGTAAGACCAAGGAGATGGTACCTGTGCTAACACCAGTAAGACCAAGGAGATGGTACCTGTCCTAACACCAGTAAGACCAAGGAGATGGTACCTGTGCTAACACCAGTAAGACCATGGAGATGGTACCTGTGCTAACACCAGTAAGACCAAGGAGATGGTACCTGTGCTAACACCAGTAAGACCAAGGAGATGGTACCTGTGCTAACACCAGTAAGACCAAGGAGATGGTACCTGTGCCAACACCAGTAAGACCAAGGAGATGGTACCTGTGCTAACACCAGTAAGACCAAGGAGATGGTACCTGTGCTAACACCAGTAAGACCAAGGAGATGGTACCTGTGCTAACACCAGTAAGACCAAGGAGATGGTACCTGTGCTAACACCAGTAAGACCAAGGAGATGGTACCTGTGCTAACACCAGTAAGACCAAGGAGATGGTACCTGTGCTAACACCAGTAAGACCAAGGAGATGGTACCTGTGCTAACACCAGTAAGACCATGGAGATGGTACCTGTGCTAACACCAGTAAGACCATGGAGATGGTACCTGTGCTAACACCAGTAAGACCAAGGAGATGGTACCTGTGCTAACACCAGTAAGACCAAGGAGATGGTACCTGTGCTAACACCAGTAAGACCAAAGGAGATGGTACCTGTGCTAACACCAGTAAGACCAAGGAGATGGTACCTGTGCCAACACCAGTAAGACCAAGGAGATGGTACCTGTGCTAACACCAGTAAGACCAAGGAGATGGTACCTGTGCTAACACCAGTAAGACCAAGGAGATGGTACCTGTGCTGACACCAGTAAGACCAAGGAGATGGTACCTGTGCTAACACCAGTAAGACCAAGGAGATGATCATCGACTTCAGGAGAAAACCACTTTCCCACACGCTGCTGAACATCCAGGGGGAGGACATTGAGCTGGTGGACAGCTTCAAGTACCTGTGCTCACATTAACAATAAACTGGACTGGTCCCATATGGTGGGGCAACATTGGCTCAGTTGGTAGAGTCTGGACTTTGGGCCTGAAGGTCGTGGTTCTCCCTCTTAAGCGGGACAGAGGGTGCTAGCCAAAGTCACCTTTAATAATCACAAGTTCAAAACTTCAAAGTTCAAAACAGGACAGATTTGAATGTATTTCTCAGAAATGTTTATCTTTTCCAAGGGACTTCAGGCGAGGGCACGTGAGGAAGTTTTATCAACACAGACCACAGGGGAAGGTTAACAACTGCAGCCAATCACAAGAGAGCCTGATAAACAGCTAGACTGCGCCTTGAGCTGTCAGGGGCCAAGAGGATACCAGGGGCCATGCAGGATACCAGGGCCATGCAGGTACAGGGCCATGCAGGATACCAGGGGCCATGCAGGATACCAGGGGCATGCAGGATACCAGGGGCCATGCAGGATACCAGGGCCATGCAGGATACCAGGGCCATGCAGGATACCAGGGCATGCAGGATACCAGGGCCAGATACCAGGGCCCTGCAGATTCCATGTTGGGAAAAGAAGCTTGGGTCTTTTATTGTAACAGAATGTATAGGATTACCTTTTGCATAGAACATAAAAAACAACACAGACAGGCAAAAAGTGCTTGTTTGAGCAGACATAAACATGTATTTTTATAATTGATGTATAATTAGAATGTGTATTTTGTTAGAACTCAACTGCCCGGGACTACAGATGGACACAAATGTCTTCTTTTATTGAAAGACTAATAGTTTTGTTCAATCAACAATAAACCAACAACAAACAAACTAACTGCCTATCCTTTAAAAGTCACTTTAGCTCTAAAGTGCACAGAAGAGGCTTGTGTTGCTATCTATGAAAATACTGTCAATATATTCTAACTCTGCTTCATTTAACTACATGCAAGTATTGGAGAATTAATTCGTCTTGTACAGTAACAAGATGGCGTTACAGTCTCTTCTCTAGCGTTTGTGGTTATTTATTTTTATCTCTGGCCTCAGCTACAAAATAATAATAATAATAATACCACTTTTCTAAACGCGATTATTCGACCAAACAGGACACAAGTCAAACCCGTAATTAACTTGATCGTTTTGAGAGAATCACAGAAACCGCTGCAGATTCACGCAGATCCAGCTTCTGCGGACTACTGGGTTTGCGTGGTTTTAAAGGGGTTTGCGTGGTTTTAAAGGGGTTTGCGTGGCTTTAAAGGGGTCTGCGTGGCTTTAAAGGGGTCTGCGTGGCTTTAAAGGGGTTTGCGTGGCTTTAAAGGGGTAACATGTTGCACTTACCGCCCCACGGCCGTTGTGTGTCCGCTCCGCAGAACGCGTTTGTTGTTGTCCTTCGAACAGTTGACAGTTTGGACACGCCCCCTTTCTCTTAGGCGGATGTGACGTAGTTTAAAAGCCTTTGTTTTGGCTGCCTCGTGCTGGCGATAAAAAAATAAAAAAATAAACCTATCAAATCAAATTCTGTATGTTCAGGAGTTGTTTAAAAACGTAGCCACAGGTAAATGCCAGATATGTGGTTAAAATATAGGAGTTAAAGACACGCATATTTGCAAACATGGATTATTCAACACACAAATACTAATCTGTTTTATTAGTGGCTAATTCTTTAATTCAAGCTTAAAACAATAAAAGCGGGATCCAAAGTACAAAATAAACAGAGGTACATAAATATACATAGTTTGAAAAGGTTGGACAAAGCGAATATTATTTATATCGAGGGAAGAAACAAAAAGGAATTTCACACATTATTTCAGACTTTCTTAACGAAGGCCCAGAGCCAAAACGTTGAACATCTGTAAATGAAAAAATACTGCTGGATGCAAGTATAGTGTGCAAGAGTCATTTTCTCCCTTTTCGTGTTGGCAAAGTCGTCTCAGGAGCCTGCTCTTACGCACCTGTCACAGAGTCGGATGAGCAAAGTTTTACGCTTCTTAATTATATCAGAACTTTAATATTAGAAATTATTAGTGTTAGATAGCTTTGTCGTGAGCTAGCTATCAAGCCGAAAGCAGCTCGCCTGTGGAGCAGGCTAGCATCACTGAGAAACAATCCAGTGTTTTATAGAAAATACTGCTTTGTGAGTTGATCAAAGTAGGTCTCCCTTTAGCGCCATGTCGTATGTACATTACAACAATAAAGCTTTACATAGAAGTTGGTTATTATTTACAAAGAATTATGTAACTGTTACTTATTACTTGTTTCCTCACAATATGAATATTTGGGATTTTCTTTGTAGAAAACAAACACTCAAATCAATACCTAAGTAATGTAATACTTTAATAAAATACCAGTAATTAAATGAGTTATATTTCTGCAGTAATGTATAATGTGAAAGTAAAGCTGCGTCTCACTGGACTGAAGCTGCCCTCTCGTGTCACAAGATGAAGATACATTTATTGATGAAATCTGTAAATCAACATCTGTGTTATGTGCTTGATGTAGAGAGAATGAAGTCAAAATCAGTGTATTAGAGCTGTTCAGTGAGATACAAAAGTACTGTCATAACTAATTACTTTACACTGACTGTTATACTGTAAGTAAACTTACCACTTTGAAAGCAAAACTACAAGTTACATGAAATATATAAAGTAATTTGTCCTAACTGACCTTTCAGCAACAAAGAACCACAGTCCAGAGGAGCTGATGCACATCCACATGTAGTGCCTGAACCTAGACCCTGAACCTGGACCCTGAACCTAGACCCTGAACCTAGACCCCGGGCCCTGAACCTAGACCCTGAACCTAGACCCTGGGCTAATACACTCTCCGCCATAACACCGAGAGAGCAGGACGACCAGACCCTCCCAGACCCTCCCAGACCGGGCCAACCGCCTCTGTGCGTCTGAGAAAGGTGCCAAGAGACATTGAAAACATGCTGTCTCCAGCGGCCCCCACGGGTCCACGGTGCATGTCCACGCTGCATGTCCCCACGGTGCATGTCCCCACGGTGCATGTCCACGCTGCATGTCCACGCTGCATGTCCACGGTGCATGTCCCCACGCTGCATGTCCCCACGGTGCATGTCCCCACGCTGCATGTCCCCACGGTGCATGTCCCCACGGTGCATGTCCACGCTGCATGTCCACGCTGCATGTCCACGCTGCATGTCCACGCTGCATGTCCACGCTGCATGTCCACGGTGCATGTCCACGGTGCATGTCCCCACGGTGCATGTCCACGCTGCACGTCCACGCTGCATGTCCACGGTGCACATCCACGGTGCATGTCCACGGTGCATGTCCACGGTGCATGTCCACGGTGCATGTCCACGGTGCATGTCCACGCTGCATGTCCACGGTTCATGTCCACGGTGCATGTCCCCACGGTGCATGTCCACGCTGCACGTCCACGCTGCATGTCCACGGTGCATGTCCCCACGGTGCATGTCCACGGTGCATGTCCCCACGGTGCATGTCCCCACGGTGCACATCCACGGTGCATGTCCACGGTGCACATCCACGGTGCATGTCCACGGTGCATGTCCACGCTGCATGTCCACGGTGCATGTCCACGCTGCATGTCCACGGTGCATGTCCACAGTGCACGTCCACGCTGCATGTCCACGCTGCATGTCCACGGTGCATGTCCACGGTGCATGTCCCCACGGTGCATGTCCACGCTGCACGTCCACGCTGCATGTCCACGCTGCATGTCCACGGTGCATGTCCACGGTGCATGTCCACGGTGCATGTCCACGGTGCATGTCCCCACGGTGCATGTCCACGGTGCATGTCCCCACGGTGCATGTCCCCACGGTGCACATCCACGGTGCATGTCCACGGTGCATGTCCACGGTGCATGTCCACGGTGCATGTCCACGGTGCATGTCCACGCTGCATGTCCACGGTGCATGTCCACGGTGCATGTCCACGGTGCTAAACATGGAGGCTTACATTTTATCTTACATTCACCCTATTCTCATTTTTTGTTTTATAATAGGAAGACAAACGTTATTATGTAGAAGTAAACTTGAAGTTATGCCCAATAAAATATAAAACAATGTGATTCATTTCTAAGACATGATGGAAGCACATGTCGTGTTAACACTTGTTGCTCTTGTGAAAAACTCTGTTCAGATGTTGTCATTATCCTCATCCTTCTCCATAACTGCTTCCACACATCAGAAATATCCAACAAAAATATCGTCTAACTCGTTTGGATAGATTTCCTCAAAATGAATCAAAAGCAGCGACACACACTTCAGGGGCCCAGGTTGTAGGAGCTGGACTCTTGCTCTGAAACACATTAGACATTAGTTTATCTAATCAAATATGACTTTGATGTATTCATCATCAACAACATCAGTCTTTTTAAATCAGCAGGAAGTGACCCGGATTCACATGGACTGTGCTGAGTGAGACAAAGACACACTTACACTGACTTCTTTTGCAGTCGAGTGTCTCCCTCCTCTTCTGGGTGTTGTCTTCCCCGTCCCTGCCAAAGAAAGAAGAGGAGTGTAATACTTCAGCAAAAAAGTATCTAGTCGTTATGGCTTCATTTTCTTTGTTTTTATAGTTACTTACGTTGCATTATGGAGGCTGTTGAACTCTTTTGAAGACCTCATTCCAATTATTTTTGAGGCCATACTGGAAAAAATACAGAGAGAAAAAATGTAATGTAGACATTTAAATTATTTAAGTGTCTATATTATATTATGCTTCTAATTTATTATTTGGTAGTAATCAGCAAGACTTGTCTAACTTATTCTGAATACATAATGATTAAAATAATGTATGTAGTGGTCATAAAATCAGAATAAAGCATTAGTTAGATTTTTAGATTATTAAATATATATTTATACCTACTGTAATATAATCCTATGTGGTTATGTGGTCGATATCTGGGGCCCCAAGGTCTCTGTTGCCTGGGGCCCCGAGTTACCCTTGGAACGCCCCTGGTGATAGGGGAGGCTTTTGTGGGGCTTCAGAGGCGTCGACAGCATCATACTCATTTCACTTTGTACATGTGGTTTACGGATAGCTAAGGCCAGGCTAAGGCTTCGATGATGTGTTGTCTTTCTCACAGCTAATGCCACGTAATCTGCTGTCATTTTTAACCAGCTATGCCTTTTCCACGCTCCACACTTTCTGTCGCCTTCGGGGCGGAGTGAACTGACACAGATGTAGGCTTTCCCAGTGCACATGTGTGTCCATGAAGACTTTCAAATGTAAACAAGTTAAACGGGGCGTGGCCTCCTTAAACCTCTCCGATCATATCTGGTGTTACACTTCCTGTTGTCCTTTTCACAATAATGTGCAAGGTTTTAAAACATTTACCAACTTGATCATAATATTGGAAAATTACAAAACAAAACTTTCTATACCAGGTGTCTCCAACCTTTTTCACCCAGAGAGCTACTTCCCGGGACGATAAAGGCAGAGAGCTACTCCTTTAAGCGGCCTATAGGATAAAGAATTGATGTATTTGTGTGAACAAGCATGATATTGGGTACACCCATTATTTATGTATTATTATATTATTAATATTTATTATTAGTGCAAAGAGTACAAGCATTTACAATAATAAACAATAATGAATGATTCAATCTGAAATAATAATAATAATAATAATAATACATTTTATTCATATCACACCTTGCTACAGATTAAAATACAGTACAACAAACAAACAAACATAGATGGATACACAGCAGCAGAGGTGGAGTAGCCTCTGGGTGGAGCAGGACAGGTCACAGCAGCAGAGGTGGAGTAGCCTCTGGGTGGAGCAGGACAGGTCACAGCAGCAGAGGTGGAGTAGCCTCTGGGTGGAGCAGGACGGGTCACAGCAGCAGAGGTGGAGTAGCCTCTGGAGCAGGACAGGTCACAGCAGCAGAGGTGGAGTAGCCTCTGGGTGGAGCAGGACAGGTCACAGCAGCAGAGGTGGAGTAGCCTCTGGGTGGAGCAGGACAGGTCACAGCAGCAGAGGTGGAGTAGCCTCTGGGTGGAGCAGGACGGGTCACAGCAGCAGAGGTGGAGTAGCCTCTGGGTGGAGCAGGACGGGTCACAGCAGCAGAGGTGTAGCCTCTGGGTGGAGCAGGACAAGTCACAGCAGCAGAGGTGGAGTAGCCTCTGGGTGGAGCAGGACAGGTCACAGCAGCAGAGGTGGAGTAGCCTCTGGGTGGAGCAGGACAGGTCACAGCAGCAGAGGTGGTGTAGCCTCTGGGTGGAGCAGGACAGGTCACAGCAGCAGAGGTGGAGTAGCCTCTGGGTGGAGCAGGACGGGTCACAGCAGCAGAGGTGGAGTAGCCTCTGGGTGGAGCAGGACGGGTCACAGCAGCAGAGGTGGAGTAGCCTCTGGGTGGAGCAGACGGGTCACAGCAGCAGAGGTGGAGTAGCCTCTGGGTGGAGCAGGACGGGTCACAGCAGCAGAGGTGGAGTAGCCTCTGGGTGGAGCAGGACGGGTCACAGCAGCAGAGGTGGGTAGTAGCCTCTGGGTGGAGCAGGACGGGTCACAGCAGCAGAGGTGGAGTAGCCTCTGGGTGGAGCAGGACGGGTCACAGCAGCAGAGGTGGAGTAGCCTCTGGGTGGAGCAGGACGGGTCACAGCAGCAGAGGTGGAGTAGTCTCTGGGTGGAGCAGGACGGGACACAGCAGCAGAGGTGGTGTAGTCTCTGGGTGGAGCAGGACGGGTCACAGCAGCAGAGGTGGAGTAGCCTCTGGGTGGAGCAGGACGGGTCACAGCAGCAGAGGTGGAGTAGCCTCTGGGTGGAGCAGGACGGGTCACAGCAGCAGAGGTGGAATAGCCTCTGGGTGGAGCAGGACGGGTCACAGCAGCAGAGGTGGAGTAGCCTCTGGGTGGAGCAGGACGGGTCACAGCAGCAGAGGTGGAGTAGCCTCTGGGTGGAGCAGGACGGGTCACAGCAGCAGAGATGGAGTAGCCTCTGGGTGGAGCAGGACGGGTCACAGCAGCAGAGATGGAGTAGCCTCTGGGTGGAGCAGGACGGGTCACAGCAGCAGAGGTGGAGTAGCCTCTGGGTGGAGCAGGACGGGTCACAGCAGCAGAGGTGGAGTAGCCTCTGGGTGGAGCAGGACAGGTCACAGCAGCAGAGGTGGAGTAGTCTCTGGGTGGAGCAGGACAGGTCACAGCAGCAGAGGTGGAGTAGCCTCTGGGTGGAGCAGGACGGGTCACAGCAGCAGAGGTGGAGTAGCCTCTGGGTGGAGCAGGACAGGTCACAGCAGCAGAGGTGGAGTAGCCTCTGGGTGGAGCAGGACAGGTCACAGCAGCAGAGGTGGAGTAGCCTCTGGGTGGAGCAGGACAGGTCACAGCAGCAGAGGTGGAGTAGTCTCTGGGTGGAGCAGGACGGGTCACAGCAGCAGAGGTGGAGTAGCCTCTGGGTGGAGCAGGACGGGTCACAGCAGCAGAGGTGGAGTAGCCTCTGGGTGGAGCAGGACGGGTCACAGCAGCAGAGATGGAGTAGCCTCTGGGTGGAGCAGGACGGGTCACAGCAGCAGAGATGGAGTAGCCTCTGGGTGGAGCAGGACAGGTCACAGCAGCAGAGGTGGAGCAGGACGGGTCACAGCAGCAGAGGTGGAGTAGCCTCTGGGTGGAGCAGGACGGGTCACAGCAGCAGAGGTGGAGTAGCCTCTGGGTGGAGCAGGACAGGTCACAGCAGCAGAGGTGGAGTAGTCTCTGGGTGGAGCAGGACAGGTCACAGCAGCAGAGGTGGAGTAGCCTCTGGGTGGAGCAGGACGGGTCACAGCAGCAGAGGTGGAGTAGCCTCTGGGTGGAGCAGGACAGGTCACAGCAGCAGAGGTGGAGTAGCCTCTGGGTGGAGCAGGACAGGTCACAGCAGCAGAGGTGGAGTAGCCTCTGGGTGGAGCAGGACAGGTCACAGCAGCAGAGGTGGAGTAGCCTCTGGGTGGAGCAGGACGGGTCACAGCAGCAGAGGTGGAGTAGCCTCTGGGTGGAGCAGGACAGGTCACAGCAGCAGAGGTGGAGTAGCCTCTGGGTGGAGCAGGACAGGTCACAGCAGCAGAGGTGGAGTAGCCTCTGGGTGGAGCAGGACAGGTCACAGCAGCAGAGGTGGAGTAGCCTCTGGGTGGAGCAGGACAGGTCACAGCAGCAGAGGTGGAGTAGCCTCTGGGTGGAGCAGGACAGGTCACAGCAGTAGAGGTGGAGTAGTCTCTGGGTGGAGCAGGACAGTCACAGCAGCAGAGGTGGAGTAGCCTCTGGGTGGAGCAGGACAGGTCACAGCAGCAGAGGTGGAGTAGCCTCTGGGTGGAGCAGGACAGGTCACAGCAGCAGAGGTGGAGCCGTGGTAAAACATTAGACCTTTTCTCTGCTCTGGTCCATAGTAAATGCTTTAATAGATTTTACTGACCCGCTTGTGTAAAACCATGAATCCTCTCTGCTCTGGTCTGGACCAGTGTAAAACCATGAATCCTCTCTGCTCTGGTCTGGACCAGTGTAAAACCATGAATCCTCTCTGCTCTGGTCTGGACCAGTGTAAAACCATGAATCCTCTCTGCTCTGGTCCGGACCAGTGTAAAACCATGAATCCTCTCTGCTCTGGTCTGGACCAGTGTAAAACCATGAATCCTCTCTGCTCTGGTCTGGACCAGTGTAAAACCATGAATCCTCTCTGCTCTGGTCTGGACCAGTGTAAAACCATGAATCCTCTCTGCTCTGGTCTGGACCAGTGTAAAACCATGAATCCTCTCTGCTCTGGTCTGGACCAGTGTAAAACCATGAATCCTCTCTGCTCTGGTCTGGACCAGTGTAAAACCATGAATCCTCTCTGCTCTGGTCCGGACCAGTGTAAAACCATGAATCCTCTCTGCTCTGGTCTGGACCAGTGTAAAACCAGGAACACTGAACTGCAACAACATCTCAGGAAGAAAAAAGCAATGAAAATAAAAATAGTAAAGCACTGCCACATGGTTGTTTTCAATAAAATGGTGAGCCACAGCTCAAACATTTTGGGGAGCACTGGTCTAATGTAGAGTTTTTCAATAACAATAAGACTTTCCAGAATCTTCTAAAGTGAAACAGACTGTATTATGCACTTGCACTTTTCGGTTTGCTGTGTTTTTAGTTTTACTTTTATTTTGTAGTGATTTTATCCAGTGCAAGTTTGGCATGTGTTTCCCACCTCTGCACCTTCTCCACCGACTCCCACTGATGACTGCTGTCGTTGTGTCCTTGGGCAAGACACTTAACCCCACTTTGCCCAAAGCCCCCACTGAAAGATCAAGGCTATGCTCACACTCAGAGAGCAGCCGTCCTCCTGTGGACTCACCACCTGCAGAGGGTCAGTGAGGGGCTGGTGCTATGACACTTGGGTGGCATCTCTGACTGCCACCCCCCTGACCCAGAAATGGATTAAAGGGTAGAAAATGGATGGATGGATGGATGGATGGATGGAAGTTTGGCATGTTACTTCCTGTTCCTGTCCAATAGCAGAGTTTCACTTGACGTCACATCCGTAATTTACTAAGCGCACAAAATCCCGTGGTGGACAACCTAGAAGAGAAGCCTCGTGTTAACACACGTCTTTGTCTGACAGAATGCCTCAGTTTTGTGCGGTTTTTGGCTGTGCCTATCGTTCCAACAGAGAGAAGGAAAAGCGTTACTTTAGAGTACGAAAGGTAATCATCCATAAATGTGAGAAATGGAAAAGGCTGACTGAAGAACGCCGGAAAAAGTAGATTTCAAACCTACGTTTGCGAAAGGGAGGAGCGAGGGCTGCCCCTGCTTCGTCAAAGGTTTGTGTGAAATCGACCTCGCTTTGTGGTTGTTTAGAAGGAATTATGTTGTCGTTAAATGCCAAACAATGTAAATGTGATGTAAAATGGACTTAATTTGGGCTTGATTTTGTAAGCTCCCCCAACGCCTTGGAAGATACTGAGTCTGTAGACTGGGCTCCGACGGTCAAGCTCAGTGACCGAGCTAATTGAGGGCCAAAATTAGCGTCATCTGTTCAACGAGACCAGAGAATGAAGCGAAAAGACCACCATAGACAGTTGGAATGTGCAGAAGCTGTTTTGGGTCTTCATCTGATCCCAACTACAAGCTCAGCTCAGACAGACAACAGATCTGAATCGAACGAGCAAGATGGCTACCCACAGTCAGAGGACCTCAGTGGGACAAGGAATGATCAAGGTACAAAACTGTCCGAAGATGTTCAACAACATTGTCATTGTAACTATTGTGTTACAGATGTGGTGTAATAATATCTTTGAAGTACTGTTATAATTTGTCTCAAGTGCCTGTCAGACATTTAGTTTTTAAGCCTACCTCAGCTGTTTGCAGAGCACGTTTTAAGTTGTAAACATTGTGCAGTCGAGAACTTGCATGTTGTGTGAAAAAGATAATTCGTTACATTATTCATGAACTGCTTTGTGCTACACTGCAGGCTTTGCAGGTGCTGATGCCAGTCGGATCTGACCCTTGACGACATAGAGAAGATGGAGGTGCTCAGAGCAAACTTAGTGGAGCTGGGAGATCTTCGTAACAAGGCACTGGACCCAGTCCTACCAGGACTCCTCTGAAAACAATGAAGAAAAGGCACGGGAGCACGCTGAAGACCTTGCAGAGTTTTAGTCCCTTTTTAACCTTTTATCATTCATTGTCTTTTTATTTTTGTAATTCATTATTGTTCATTGCACTGCTTGCCTTTTGTTAGAACCTTTTAAAACATTTTATACTTTATTATATTCATTTTTATAACATACATTTAAAGAGGTCCTAGTCCTATAAGCACTGATTACGAATGCAATCCACCTACTGGTGCTTAGCTAGAAACTGTACAAACTGTGTTACATGTGACTTATGTCTACACTAGTCTAGGGTCTACAGTTTGTGTGTTAGAAAAGCTCTGTGATTAGATAAACTTATGTTCAGAAAAGGTCATATATGATGTGAACAAGTTGACATATTATCTAGGGACACATATGGAGATGTTATTAAAAGGGGCGACAGTAGCTCAGTTGGTAGACATGACATTAATATAAAATGAATATATTTATACTTTGATAAAAAATAAAATACTACATATATTCCAGAATTCTTTTGGTAAAAGAATTAAAAGCGGTGTCACTGATGTCACTGTTGGCTGTAGAGGTCGGTGTGTCCGATCCTTCCTGTTACGTCATCGAGGGATTAACCCTCAGTTAAAGTGAACACAGACTCCATTTGCCATCAGGCCAAACAATCCCAATTCACCAATCACATATTGTTTTAACATTCTTCCAAAACATTTACTGAGTCAAAAATAGGAGAAATAAATGTGGATAAGTGGCTGCAATGCTCCCAACATGTGTGTGTCCGACTAATCCTGATCTAGGCTGAGTCAAAGGGATTAAGGACGAGACGATTCAAGCATACGCATGTTCAACGGAGACGGGAGGAACACACACTGCACTTTTTACATTCGTTTACATTCGTTTACATTAGTTTACATTAGTTTACATTAGTTTACATTAGTTTAGCCGTAAGACATGGCACTGCTCAAGTCTGGCTGGCTCTGGAGACAAAGTGAGTCATTTATTTCTTATCCTAGTTTTTGGTCTACTTTGGACAAAAAAAAAAACATTATTTGCCTACATTTAAACTTAAACTTGATCTTCAGAACATTTACGTTTTTATAATATGTAATATGATATATATATAATATTTTCCTGTGATATAAATGTCCTTTGATTTGAAAAGGAATTATTCAAATGAAAATAATTAGAATAATCCACTTCCCTCCAAAAAGAAACTAAGAAGAAAGCATTTGTTACTTAACATTGTAATTATGACTTGAATTGTCTAAAAAATATAGACAAAAGTGCAATTAACAGAATTGACTTAACAAATAAAAAGTTGTTGGGATCATTAAATAATATATTATGAGCGGCAAATAAAGACACAATCATAAACATGGTGCAAATATAAAGAGACATAAGATCTGATCTATTAGTGCCTCTACAACACACCCTGGACCAGAACATTTGGTCATATTTACAACCATAAACCACTGTTTTACTGAAAGTTCACGTAACAGATAACTGTGACGGGGAAGAAAAATGATTCATGATTTTGTTACAATTCTAAAAATAGAAAGTCTTCATACAGCCTTTTTCTGAGTGCGTTGAATTGTCTTTAAAACATTCCTAATGACTGCAGATTGTTCACACTTTGCTCTAACAATTAAATAGATCCCAGCTGTGTGAAATTTCTTCTCAGTATAAACACATTCTATTCTGAGTGGTAAATGAAAGATTTAGTATTAAGGAGCAACATGGGAGACATATTCTGTTTTTGGAACAAGGTGCGGTGGTCACATGAGCCCAGAATTGAACATTTTGTCTCAAATCCAATATATTCTGTATGGCAAAGCTAACCCTACCCCTCTCCCTCAGTGCAACAACCCCAGTCTCAAATATGGGTTGTGGCAGCATCGTTATAGGGGCTGCTTTTCTTCAGCAGGGACAGGGAAGAGTGTCAGAGTTGATGGGAAGATGGATGGAGCAAAATAACCTTGACTATAAATGTAGTGTTTCACATGTTGAACTGAAGCTGGTCGATGTGTGTTAGGCATTGTGACCTTTGATGTGGGATGGAAGGTGAGCACTTTTCTTGCAACCGACAGAAGATTAAATAATATGTAACACTGGTCTTCAGTAAGTGAGTCTGTGAGAGGAAGTCAAAAACTGATGCCATAGGGGTTCAAAACATGTAGAGGCAGAATGCAGCTGTTATGCAATACTGAACTTAGACAAATGACAGACAAAAAAACAAAAAAGAAGCTTGCTGTCTCCTGCAGCTGTGAGCTTCACACTTGTCTGTTTTCATGCCGTGTCCTCATCCGTAAAGGCTACATACAACTTTGGCTACTTGTGCTTGATATTCTGTCCTGTGTGGCCCAGCTTCTGTGTTGCGGCGCTGGAAGCTGAACTGGTGTGACCTGTGGATGGATGGCTCTCTCTGCTTCTACACCACAGAGAGCCGCAGGAGCCTGGAGCAGAGGGTCAGTCTGAAGACGCTGTGCATGGATGTGCGCTCGGGCCTGGAGTGTGGAGGTGGGACCAAAACGATGTTATCTGCACACATTTCAATACAGAGGACCTGCATGCAGAGCTGCATGGGTTTGAGTGAGAGTTTGCTGATATGCTTTGATAATGGGAACTCTCACTGCACACCACGACCTACTTCACAACTCCCACTGATGTCTGCTGTCAAGGTGTCCTTGGGCAAGACACTTAACTCCACTTTGTCTGAACCAGGAGGATCAGTGAGGGGCTGGTGCTCTGTGTACTGGGTACAGCTCTGACCCACCCCCTCCATCTGGATTTTTTTCCCCCCATTCTGCCTCTCATAGTCTAGGTATACCTATGATAAGAATTACAGGCCTCACTCATCTTTTTAAGTGGGAGCATTTGCACAACTGGTGGCTGACTAAATACCTTTTTTCCCCACTGTGTGTCGCTTCGCATGCCATAAGTCTAATTTATATATTAGTTTTAGGTTGTAATAAGTAAATAAATGAACATGATACAACTGCACATAAAACTGAAATGAACTGATATTCTAATTTTCCAAGTTTAATTTGATTCCTCTTTCACAGCTGTCACTGAAAATGAGAAATAGGAACCTTTAAAAAATCACTATACACTTTCATACAAATTGTTGGCGACGTCAACTTACATAACGTTGGCGTTGTCAACGTACATAACGTTGGCGACGTCAACGTACATAACGTTGGCGACGTCAACGTTCTTAACGTTGGCGACGTCAACGTTCTTAACGTTGGCGACGTCAACGTACATAACGTTGACGACGTCAACGTACATAACGTTGGCGACGTCAACGTACAAAACGTTGGCGACGTCAACATACATAACGTTGGCGACGTCAACGTACATAACGTTGGCGACGACAACATACAAAACGTTGACGACGTCAACATACATAACGTTGGCGACGTCAACGTACATAACGTTGGCGACGACAACATACAAAACGTTGACGACGTCAACATACATAACGTTGGCGACGTCAACGTACATAACGTTGGCGACGACAACATACAAAACGTTGACGACGTCAACATACATAACGTTGGCGACGTCAACGTACATAACGTTGACGACGTCAACTTACATAACGTTGGCGACGACAACATACAAAACGTTGACGACGTCAACGTACATAACGTTGGCGACGACAACATACAAAACGTTGACGACGTCAACATACAAAACGTTGACGACGTCAACTTACATAACGTTGGCGACGACAACATACAAAACGTTGACGACGTCAACGTACATAACGTTGACGACGTCAACGTACATAACCTTGGCGACGTCAACTTACATAACGTTGGCGACGTCAACTTACATAACGTTGGCGACGTCAACATACAAAACGTTGGCGACGTCAACATACATAACGTTGGCTCATATAAAGTGGACTGTGTTGTTTTTATTGCTGTGTTCAGATGTGACCCCTCCGGAGAGTAACCCTAGAGAGAATCTGGTGGTGGTGGTGCTCAAAGACGGCTCCACAGTCAACATGTGTGCCAACAGTGAAGATGAGTCGCTGTGAGTTCAACACTGTACCTGTTATAGAATTATATACCCCATGAAGGAGGAAACTCAAAGGTCCTTTGTCTGATCAAAAGCGTAAGTTTATTGTTAACGCACAGTGCGGAGAGTCAGCATATCCACACAAAGGCAGCATGCTCAGCTCTGGGGGCCAGAGCCCCGAGCTTCCTGTATCCAAGACACACACGAAAGATAGTCACGCCCACAACGGAGCGGAGGGGGCCACCGGTGAGGAGGCGCACAGGAAGCGCCGGCGCCATCCCCTGTGGTGGCAGTGGCATGGTGTGTGAACAGACAGACAATGGTGGAAATGCAGGTCATACAGATGCAAGACGGAAAGACACAAGGGTGTGACAGACAGCAGGGACCTTCACAAAGCTCAGCATGGCGTCAGAAGGTCGTCTGCATTGATAAAAGGCCTTTGACGTCCGTGTATTTGCTGCGGCTGGTTTTATGTAATTACTCCAAAAACTGTCACCACACTCCCCTCTTCTGATAATTCAAAACCATTTTTGCATTAATCAGTTAAATACCAGAGGCATCGTAATCACACCACCTTCAAGCTTGAAACACTTAAATTATTGCTGTCCAAAGTGGACAAGAAAAGACACATGCTTGTCAATAAAAGAAAGAGCACATTATAATAACACAATGGATCCGGACAGCGATAAGAGAAGGCAATATTAACATAATAAACACGGTCAGCACGGAAAGTAGTGTCAGTGTGGCCAGCATAACAGTCCAAGGGCCCATGCCGGTCTACGTTCGGTAGTCTTTTCCGCGGGAATACTCACGAGCAGTGCCGTCTCGCAGTCAGTGGCACCGCTCCCTATGAGCGTGTGTGGAGCGTTAGTGGTCATGGCGATGTTTGGTCTTGGAGCGGCAAGACTCTATTTGCGTTGAAGCCTCGGCCTCAGCACTCGGTTGGGCAGAGTGCTCGGGGTTTGGGGTGTGGCGACCATGGCTTGAGCACGCTCCAGATCGGCCAGGCCCAAAGCTCGTTTGATGGGAGACCTCATGACAGCACGCTTCACCATGTGCCTCATCAGGAACTGTAGAGCAGCCCTCATCTCCACCTCCTCCGGACACACGGGAGACGAGACACCAGGGGGCACTCCAGCAGAGCTCCAATCTGCATTATGGCCAGAGGGAGCAGGCTCTGGAGAAATCTTTGGAATGAGCAGCAGCTCTGCATACTTGCTGCGGCTGAGCAGAGCGCTCAGGGCCTTCATGGCTCCCAGGCATTGGGGTCCGGGGGCTGGGGAGTTGGGCAAAGGGGGGTCGCCTCGGGAACGCTGGGAATCTCTGGGTGTTGTTGTTGGCCTGCTTCACCGACGGTGGCCGCACGCCGGCCAACTTCTTCAGCGTAGGGAGCCGCGGATGGGCCTGGTCCGTCCGCGCCCTCGGTGTCCTCGTCTATGGCCCTCAGTGGCAGCCCCGCACGACAGTGGTTGGCGTGGATCCAAGTTGTCCTCTCCGCGACCTTAACGGCAGTGTCCGTCACCAGGAGGGCGAGGAATGGGCCGAGCCAGCGCTTGGACCGCCAATGCTTTCGTCTCGTTTCCTTCATCAGGACCCAGTCGCCTGCGCAGCCTGTGGCAGGGCGCTCCTGACCTGGGCAGAAATAGAGGACAAAAGTGCATTAATTTCCTTACAATAGGACAGCATGTCGTCATCACACAAAGAGGTGCTTGGCAGATCTCTGTTCGGGGGTCCCGCGCCCAAGTTGGGTGGTCTGGCACAGAGGATTTCGAATGGGACTCTCATGCGCATGTACATGAGGGCTAGCGGCAGAGCTTTGAGTGCCATTCTCTCGCTCGCACGCGCCTCCGGGCCAGGGGGCGTAACTGCAGTGTTTACGTATATCAATGCCCAGAAATTCACCCACTTCCTCAATGACTTTTGCTACAAAGTGACTGCCAGTGTCACTAGAGATTTTTTCTCGGGGCACAATTTTTGTGAGCAGAGCTTTCACCACCGCGTTGCTTGTGGCGTGTATGCCTGCAAATACTTCAGTCCATTTGGACCAGAGATCCGCCAGAACCAGACAGTATTACTTACCTTGGCATGGTGTGAGTTCAACAAAGTCCATTTGGACATGTTGAAATGGGCGCAGGGGCGGAGGATGAGCAGCCTGTTGGATACTTTTGGGACTTACCTGGGTTGTGCGCGGGGCATATAGCGCATGTTTGGCTGAATCTCTGTGCAAATGCCGTAAACCCCTTTGTATACCAATTTTGTGTGATTAAATCACACATCATCCCTCCTTTTGAGGCATGGTCTCGACCATGTGCTAAAATTGCAAACTGTCTGAAGAAATGCCGTGGTAGGCACGGTTTGCTGTCTGGTCCCAGCCACACACACCATGCCGTCGTTGAGCCCCATTCCCCTCCCACAGCAGCGTCTCTGCTGGAGTAGCCAGCGCCTGCATTGCTGACAGAGAGGAGAAAATATCAACGTCTTGAGTGAGGTAGTGTGTGTGTGTGAGTAGAGGTGCGTATGCCGCTGCCTTGTCCGCGCGCCGATTCCCTGCAGAGATGGGATCAGTGGCATTAGTGTGGGCCTGGCATTTGCATACAGCGATCTCTAAGGGCAACATTACAGCTTTCAGCAGACGTTCAACCTGTGTGGAATTAAGAATTGGTTTACCATCAGATTTCATAAAATTGCGGTGTTTCCACAGTGCTTCCCAGTCGTGCACCACAGAGAAACCATAACGCGTATCACAGAATATGTTAACAGTTTTGCCCGCTGCCAGCTCACACGCCCCGGTGGGCGCGACCAGCTCAGCGGTTTGTGCTGAGTGGTAGTGGGGCAAACTACCAGAGTCTATAGTATCAAAATCAGAACACACAGCATAGCCGACTCGGTTCTTCCCAGTGTTGTCACGTGACGCCGCTCCGTCTGTATATAAAAAATCAAGTCAGGATTAGTCAGAGGCACCTCTTTCAGGTCTGGCCTGGGAGTGCATCTCTGCTCTATTGTGGCGATACAGCAGTGTGCCTCCCCTTCCTCTGGCGTGGGCAGCAGCGAGGAGGAGTTCAGCTGTGTGCATCCCTTCACCGTAGTTCAAAGAGCACCGTGTTGTACCCCAGCCAACGAGCCGCAGAAAGGCGAGAGGCCCTCTGCTCTAACAGGATCAGGGAAACAGCATGGGGCACAAGCAAAGTTAGTTCAGTGTATCCCACAAGGTCACGTGATGCTAGGGCCGCTTTCTCAGCGGCAGCCACAGCCCGCAGGCAGCGAGGCAACCCTGCTGCCACGGGATCGAGTTTTGCTGAGAAGTAAGCAGTGGGTCTCAGTGGCCCTCCGTGAGGCTGCAAAAGTACCGACTGTTCCGTTCATCTCCAGTTGCTTTTCTCCCGGATCGTCCTCAATTCATATTGTGGGCTTTTGTGCCAAAGTGGAGGCTCATTTCCTCCTGATCCATACTACTGTCATCCCTGGAGCAGGGGTAGTTTATCTCTCATCTGAAAAAGAAATATCAGAACACAAAAAAAAAACAAAAAATGCCCACTTTCGCTTGTCAATCTTTTTCCAATTGGGCAAAACATAACTGCATTGACAGGTGGTGTGTGGCATCAGGGCGGAGGCTGTAGCCAAATACAGAACAACAAAATGTATGTTTCTAATTTTATACTTCCCTAAATGTGAGTTTACAAACCAAGTTGTCCTTCAACCAACGACAGCTCACTGCGGTTGGACTGTGTCGCTGTCAGGACAAACAGCAGAGGGAGGAACTCCCAATATCTTCAGCGAGGTATTTCATCTCCGAGTACTTTCCGCAGAGTACTTTTCTCCGAGTACTCATCCCAGAGTACTCTCACTTTTACACCTGTTCAATAAAGCTTGTTATCTTTGAATCTCTAGTACTTACACCGTATGCTGTTGACAAAAAAATAATTATTCCATGATCACATTAAAACATTACAGACACATTTGTTATTCCATGATTCCGTTCAGCATTCCTCAGTTCACTCCTTATTTCACACATCACACTCATATCACAGTCACATCACAGTCACATCACAGGCCGATTCCCCCACGTTAGTATTTTGGTCCAGTTTGTTAAGGTCAACGTAGTGTACTTTGACATGACACACAAACATATAACATACACAAAACATATAACACACACAAACATGTAACACACAGAAGGCCTGTACTTTTAACTTTGTTATATTTTTCCATGTCCAATTCCAATTGTCTCATGAGCTATTTCTTATTGTTGCAACTTTCAGAGCCTGCAGAGCTTTAAAAGAGTTTTCCTAAAAGGATCCATTTCCAACTTTAGTGTTTACCACGTGGTCTATATTTCGGGCTTATCACAGATGGTGTCCCCTATATCTCTAATGAGCTCTTGTCACCTAAAAAATGTTTATTTTCCTTATTTTATTTTTATTTTTTTTTATTTTTTTCAATAAAGCCAGGTCGGATTCATTAAAAATGTAAATTAGTCTCAAACTTTAATACTTCACCTTTGTTTCACGATAAAATGTTTTTGTTGCTCATTAAGTAGCACAGATAGTGGTGCCTATCTCAATAAACGTACTCCGTTAGCCTATCTTCCCTACACTGCATGAATTTTCAAACTCCAAGTTATTGTCTGGGACCGACCGGAGAGAGCAGCTTAGGTCGTTCGCGTGGTTGACCTCCAAATTTTGTGCGGGCGTCACTATCCACTTGTTGTGGCTAATAACTTAGCAATCTCAGGGTTTGGTGTCAATTTCCAGTGGTAGTTAACTTTTGGGACCGGTGCCTCCTTTTATTTATCTATTTTTAATTGAGTTTGCACATAAGGTCTCGGCCTAGTAGATTAACCGGGCACAATGGGGAATATAGAAAAGAATGTTTAAGCTGGTTGCCCTGAGAATCAAAACACGTTAGCGGTGACGTAAATTGCTCTTTAGTCGTCTCTCCGACGCTGCTAATTAGAATATGAAGCGGCCGCTCATTTTAGGGGAGACAGAAAGGCTGTCACTTTTAGCACAGAATTTGTTGCCCCGGAGTCATCCAGAATTTTAACTTGTACACCACAGATTGTTAGCGTATATTACGGGCATGAATTATCTCTAAAAAGTGCCAATTGCAATTTGTTGTTGTTCAACTTACATGAGCGGTCGCTTTGGTGACGAATGTGAACCCGGGTTTGGTCAGTCGCTCGTGTTTCCTCCGTGCCCGCCTCTGCCGTCCTCTGGCCCCGTGTTAGCTTGAGCGTTCCTCTGCCTTTAACGCCTCCTCCGGTAACAGTCCTTCGACCCATGTCGAACACACAGTCTTTCCGCCGGGCTGTGGAAGTTTCTCAAAGTCCGCAGGAGGCCCAGATAGCCCAGAGCGTTAGCATGTGGTCCATGAGGGTTGGTGAATAACCCAAACGTGCCGGTCACAATGGCTTCTTCTGTTTGCGGTGCGGGAACAACTTTCAACGAGGTTTCAGCGGGTGCGTTTGGTATATCACGCTGCCCCCTCCGTGGGGAACAGTCACGGGATTTGGAGCAGTTTCTCTCTGTGCTCCAAAGCAGTTGTCGGTGTCTCACATATTTGCTTCCCCCGTTTCTTCTTCTGTGGTTTCCTGAGCGTGTGTCTGTTTCCGCCTCTTCTTCTTCTGCGGTTTGGGCCCACTTCTCGCGGGGTCTCAGCTGGTGCGGGCGCCGCCTGTGGTTGGGGCGTGGGGCTGGTGCTTTGAGGCAGAGGACAGAGCGCGGAGGAAAGGCGCCGACAGACCTGGACAGGGAGAGGAAGAGGGACAACAGTAGTCTGCTTCATTTTTTAAAAACCCAACGCCTTGTTTGGGTGCACACTTATTGTTAGTAGGGGTAGGGTGGGGGTGTGGGGGGTGTGTGTGTGTGTGTGTGTGTGTGCGCCTCTGTGTTCTCCGCTTCGGTGAAGGGCGGAGGAGCTATTGTTTTTACATATTTCTTTCTCTAACCTCTTTTGCCGTGATATTCTTAAAACCAAGTATATTTTTTCTTCCCTTCTTCTTCTAAATTATCACGCAAGATGCGTAATGGCCTGCACCATAGGCAAGCACTCCATAGCTTGCATCTCCTAGATTGTTTTTTACCCATTTTCTCGTACGAACAATGGGCCTAACCCGCTTAGTCTCTCCCTGCTCCTACCCACTTTGGGGCGCTCCATTCCCCCCTCGCTGGTTCAACCAGCGAGCGCGCGTTCTTGAAATGGAGCGGTTCTGGCTGAAGACACTTAGAGAAATTTTCAGGGTCGCCTACAGGACAATACTAACGCGCAGCCGCTAGTTTTCAATCTAGAACAAAAAGCTCCCCAAAAAATCCCGCACACAGACTATGCTGTGGCAATGAATGAAATACCCCAAAAATACATAAATAAACAAATCCCCGTGTCGACTTAAGGGCTGCCCTGGGCTCGTTACGCAGATGAAAAGACAAGACTCACCAGATTAGGTTCTTTTTGGTCTTGTGTGGCAAAAGGATTCCTTCCGTGCGTGGACGAGCGCGCCCTCCTTTGTCTCCAAAAAGGAACAGAGGCTGGTGATCCAGGTCGGCCAAACAAAGCCGCTCGTCCCGCCGAAAGTATCCCATGCCAAGACATGTCAGCAACGCCAAATTGTTATAGAATTATATACCCCATGAAGGAGGAAACTCAAAGGTCCTTTGTCTGATCAAAAGCGTAAGTTTATTGTTAACGCACAGTGCGGAGAGTCAGCATATCCACACAAAGGCAGCATGCTCAGCTCTGGGGGCCAGAGCCCCGAGCTTCCTGTATCCAAGACACACACGAAAGATAGTCACGCCCACAACGGAGCGGAGGGGGCCACCGGTGAGGAGGCGCACAGGAAGCGCCGGCGCCATCCCCTGTGGTGGCAGTGGCATGGTGTGTGAACAGACAGACAATGGTGGAAATGCAGGTCATACAGATGCAAGACGGAAAGACACAAGGGTGTGACAGACAGCAGGGACCTTCACAAAGCTCAGCATGGCGTCAGAAGGTCGTCTGCATTGATAAAAGGCCTTTGACGTCCGTGTATTTGCTGCGGCTGGTTTTAATGTAATTACTCCAAAAACTGTCACCACATACCCATGAGCGAGGATATGATCAGTCTGTTCCAACCACAGAGAGCAGTACAAAACAGAATAAGATTGCGGGTGGCCTCCTTGCTTACACTGAGCCACACGGGTGTCAGAAAAACAAATCATTTAACTCCTTTGGGAGGTAGCCTTTTTGCTGAGGCGTGCTCAGTACAACACAATAACTAAATAGTTATTTAGCACATTAAGACGTATTATTATTTTCAACCTCTGGTTTTTTGATACATCTCTCTCCCTAAACTCTATGTTTATCCTGTGACAAGTGTCTTTTGTGTAGTTTGTGACGAAAAAATACATAATAATTGTAAAAAAGGGATATTAAGCTGTGGCCGACATTGGGCCTCGTTCACCAATATCTTCTTAAGAATCTTCTTAAATGTCTTCAAGTCGTTCTTAAGTAGATTTCTAAAGACCCTACGTGGGATTCATCAACGCGCTCGTAAGCCGCTGAACTGTTCGCAGCTGTTCTCTCACTGCTAATTTACACATCACGCGTTACAGCACGTAAGCGTTATACGCGCAGCAGACGCGCGTAATTTTTTTCCATGTTAACCTATGATGATATTTACACTTCTAGCGTTATACGTGTGTATGACGGACGTATGACGGACGTATGACGAACGTATGACGCGAAGCTGCGCTCTAATTTAGAACGCGTCTCCATTGAAGTCTCATGTAAAACATGATTTTTCTAGCGGTCCTTGGCTCTAGATCACACACACACACACAAACACACACACACACACACAGCACTTGTGTCTAAACATCAGCAGGAGGAGCAGCAGGTTTTACAGTGATTCTGGACATCGGTTTTTTTCTTTCATAAAGTCTGGCGTCTGGTCAAACCAGCACAGAGACCATGAAGACAAACACATGGTATTTGTGTTGCTCTACATCAGTCTCTGTACTGTCCTCTGCACTGCTCCACAGACTACACAGGGAGAGCATCAGAAGGTCCTGCACACCGCCAGTGTACATTGCCTTGCGAAAGTATTCGGCCCCCTTGAACCTTTCAACATTTCGCCACATTTCAGGCTTCAAACATAAAGATATAACATTTACATTTTTTGTCATGAATCAACAACAAGTGGGACACAATCGTGAAGTGGAACAAAATTTATATAATAATATAATTTAAACTTTTTTAACAAATAAAAAACTGAAAAGTGGGGCGTGCAATATTATTCGGCCCCTTTCTTTCAGTGCAGCAAACTCAGTCCAGAAGTTCAGTGAGGATCTTTGAATGATCCAATGTTGTCCTAAATGACTGATGATGATAAATAGAATGCACCTGTGTGTAATCAAGTCTCCGTATAAATGCACCTGCTCTTTGATAGTCTCAGGGTTCTGTTTAAAGCACAGAGAGAACCATGAAGACAAAGGAACACACCAGGCAGGTCCGAGATACTGTTGTGGAGAAGTTTAAAGCCGGATTTGGATACAAAAAGATTTCCCAAGCTTTAAACATCTCAAGGAGCACTGTGCAAGCAATTATATTGAAATGGAAGGAGTATCAGACCACTGCAAATCTACCAAGACCCGGCCGCCCCTCCAAACTTTCATCTCAAACAAGGAGAAGACTGATCAGAGATGCAGCCAAGAGGCCCATGATCACTCTGGATGAACTGCAGATAACTACAGCTGAGGTGGGAGAGTCTGTCCATAGGACAACAATCAGTCGTGCACTGCACAAATCTGGCCTTTATGGAAGAGTGGCAAGAAGAAAGCCATTTCTCAAAGATATCCATAAAAAGTCTTGTTTAAAGTTTGCCACAAGCCACCTGGGAGACACACCAAACATGTGGAAGAAGGTGCTCTGGTCAGATGAAACCAAAATCAAACTTTTTGGCCACAATGCAAAACGATATGTTTGGCGTAAAAGCAACACAACTCATCACCCTGAACACACCATCCCCACTGTCAAACATGGTGGTGGCAGCATCATGCTTTGGGCCTGCTTTTCTTCAGCAGGGACAGGGAAGATGGCTAAAATTGATGGGAAGATGGATGGAGCCAAATACAGGACCATTCTGGAAGAAAACCTGTTGGAGTCTGCAAAAGACCTGAGACTGGGACGGAGATTTATCTTCCAACAGGACAATGATCCAAAACATAAAGCCAAATCTACAATGGAATGGTTCACAAATAGACGTATCCAGGTGTTAGAATGGCCAAGTCAAAGTCCAGACCTGAATCCAATCGAGAATCTGTGGAAAGAGCTGAAGACTGCTGTTCACAAACGCTCTCCATCCAACCTCACTGAGCTCCAGCTGTTTTGCAAGGAAGAATGGGCAAGAATTCCAGTCTCTCGATGTGCAAAACTGATAGAGACATACCCCAAGCGACTTGCAGCTGTAATTGCAGCAAAAGGTGGCGCTACAAAGTATTAGCGCAAGGGGCCGAATAATATTGCACGCCCCACTTTTCAATTTTTTATTTGTCAAAAAAGTTTAAATTATCCAATAAATTTCGTTCCACTTCACGATTGTGTCCCACTTGTTGTTGATTCTTGACAAAAAGTTTAATTTTAATATCTTTATGTTTGAAGCCTGAAATGTGGCGAAATGTTGAAGGTTCAAGGGGCCGAATACTTTCGTTAATGCCTACTGTGTAGATTCCCTGTTAGATTGATGAATGCCAACTCCTCGTAAGTAGAGCGCGTGTGTCAGGTGCGTCATTAGCATAGGTACTTAGCATAGGTACTTAGCATAGGTAACCACCCATTAAAGCTGCACTGATTTGGAGACATTTTCAAAAGCAGCGATGGCCTCGCTCTCTCTGCTCGACCTCCCCACACCCTCAGCCTGTGCTCTGTGCTGTTGTTAGCTTCAGAGCTAGCGTTTCACAATATGGAACAATATGGCACTTTTGCACGTGGATGGCGTGACCATAGAATGACAGAACCGGGAAGCGCGGAGGAACGAGACTTTCTTTTGGCTGTTTGGCTGAGTAAGCAGTAACGAAGATACAGGAAGCTTCAGGTTAGCCTCCGCCGCTTGTTGTGCTAACTCAGCTGTCTGTGCTAACCACAGACCTGTGGCTTTTCTCAAGACTGCGGGGGCCAGTGGTCCGCTGTGATTGGTCACAATCTGAGATCCGAAACACATTATCTTCCTCGTTTCATGAAAACTCGATCCAAAATAAAATGTCACGCCAGAACAAACCTACTTATTCTTCAAAAGGACGAATATCCCAAAGTACTGCATGGACATGGATTGCATTTTCGTAATCAATACAAAAATAAAGTTGGTTAGTGCAGCTTTAATGCCCATATAAGGGACTGCAGGGCCGTGTGCAGACGCCAGAGGAAACAGAAACAGGCCTAAAGCAAAGACTTATACGGAGCCAAAGAGTCAACCTTTCTTTCTTCTTGTGCCAAACTGAGATTAGAGTCATAAAATGTTGACTCTAAAGTTGAAATATTATGAGAATAAAGTCAAACTAGAAAAATTATGAGATTAATCTAAAATTATTATGAGATTAATTTAAATATATTATGTACTACTTTAAATATTAATCTTAAAATATTATGTACTAATTTAAAAATAAATCTCAAAATGTTTTGAGATAAATCTCAAAATATCTCAGACCAGCGCCGAGACCAATGCAGACCCGAGGACTGGAGAGACCATAGACTATAGAGACCAGCGCAGACCCGTATAGATCCATAGGAGAGACCAGTGCAGACCCGTATAGATCCATGGGAGAGACCAGTGCAGACCCGTATAGATCCATGGGAGAGACCAGTGCAGACCCGTATAGATCCATGGGAGAGACCAGTGCAGACCCGTATAGATCCATGGGAGAGACCAGTGCAGACCCGTATAGATCCATGGGAGAGACCAGTGCAGACCCGTATAGATCCATGGGAGAGACCAGTGCAGACCCGTATAGATCCATGGGAGAGACCAGTGCAGACCCGTATAGATCCATGGGAGAGACCAGTGCAGACCCGTATAGATCCATGGGAGAGACCAGTGCAGACCCGTATAGATCCATGGGAGAGACCAGTGCAGACCCGTATAGATCCATGGGAGAGACCAGTGCAGACCCGTATATGGGAGAGACCAGCGCAGACCCGTATAGATCCATGGGAGAGACCAGTGCAGACCCGTATAGATCCATGGGAGAGACCAGTGCAGACCTGTATAGATCCATGGGAGAGACCAGTGCAGACCCGTATAGATCCATGGGAGAGACCAGTGCAGACCCGTATATGGGAGAGACCAGTGCAGACCCGTATAGATCCATGGGAGAGACCAGTGCAGACCCGTATAGATCCATAGGAGAGACCAGTGCAGACCCGTATAGATCCATGGGAGAGACCAGTGCAGACCCGTATATGGGAGAGACCAGCGCAGACCCGTATAGATCCATGGGAGAGACCAGTGCAGACCCGTCTAGATCCATAGGAGAGACCAGTGCAGACCCGTATAGATCCATGGGAGAGACCAGTGCAGACCCGTATAGATCCATAGGAGAGACCAGTGCAGACCCGTATAGATCCATGGGAGAGACCAGTGCCCCCCCAGATTACCTATCATTAACTCACCCATGCACTTTGGACTAACAAAGAACATGGGGAAACCAGGTCTTTTTGTGACTTTAGGAAAAGACAGTTCAAATCAGGGTCAGCCAATATTCACATCTGCATAGTTAAAATATACAACACAGGCTAATGCAGAAGACACTGAGCCGCGTCCTGCCCATGGATCTATAATAATAAGGTCCTGCCTCACCACCAATAAGAAACTAGAACAAACTCACACACAATACTTGAAATGTAGTTGGACTTTCCCACATTAATGCTCAAAACTGGGTCCTGAATGCTCGTGTTGCACCCGGTCATGTCAGGCGTGTGTGTGCACACTACAGCGATGGGCCTCCTGTCAGTTTTACACAGAAGGCACTCTGCTGTAGGAAATCTGTGGCACTTAAAAAGTTGTAGATCGCTGGCTTAGGACATGACTGCAGGCGCAGGTCTGAAATGCACGGACCGCCACTGGTTCTAAGACTTAAAATCTTTGATAGTCAGTCAAGCTGCATAGGGAGCCCCCTGCTGGAGAAGTATGGTAACTTGAGCACTATCCTCTCCTCCTTCCTACTTTATCTGTTTAGCATTTTTAGGATTTTGACTGTAGTTTGTTCATTATTCATTGAATGATCAATTTTATTTTTTATTTTTGCTGCTACTGGACACCTGAATTTCTCCTTTGGGGATTAGTAAAGTATCTATCTATCTTTTTTACTTGTATGTAAGGCGACCTTGAGTGTCAAGAAAGGCGCCTAAGAAATAAAATGTATTATTATTATTATTATTATTACTATTCACCCGTTGTCCCATTGTCTGTTTCATGGCGCGACGACAGGACCCCTGAACCGGCCCTCTCCATCTGCATCTGTGGACTGCCCTGCCCGACCCCTCTCCATCTGTGGACTGCCCTGCCTGACCCTCTCCATCTGCATCTGCGGACTGCCCTGCCCGACCCTCTCCATCTGTGGACTGCCCGACCCTCTCCATCTGCATCTGTGGACTGCCCTGCCCGACCCTCTCCATCTGTGGACTGCCCTGCCTGACCCTCTCCATCTGCATCTGTGGACTGCCCTGCTCGACCCTCTCCATCTGCATCTGTGGACTGCCCTGCTCGACCCTCTCCATCTGCATCTGTGGACTGCCCTGCCCGACCCTCTCCATCTGCATCTGTGGACTGCCCTGCCCGACCCTCTCCATCTGCATCTGTGGACTGCCCTGCCCGACCCTCTCCATCTGCATCTGTGGACTGCTCTGCCCGACCCTCTCCATCTGCATCTGTGGACTGCCCTGCTCGACCCTCTCCATCTGTGGACTGCCCTGCTCGACCCTCTCCATCTGTGGACTGCCCTGCTCGACCCTCTCCATCTGCATCTGTGGACTGCCCTGCTCGACCCTCTCCATCTGCATCTGTGGACTGCCCTGCTCGACCCTCTCCATCTGCATCTGTGGACTGCCCTGCTCGACCCTCTCCATCTGCATCTGTGGACTGCCCTGCCCGACCCTCTCCATCTCCATCTGTGGACTGCCCTGCTCGACCCTCTCCATCTGTGGACTGCCCTGCCCGACCCTCTCCATCTGTGGACTGCCCTGCCCGACCCTCTCCATCTGCATCTGTGGACTGGACTGCCCGAGCCTCTCCATCTGTGGACTGCCCTGCCCGACCCTCTCCATCTGCATCTGTGGACTGCCCTGCTCGACCCTCTCCATCTGCATCTGCGGACTGCCCTGCCCGACCCTCTCCATCTGCATCTGTGGACTGCCCGACCCTCTCCATCTGCATCTGTGGACTGCCCTGCTCGACCCTCTCCATCTGCATCTGTGGACTGCCCTGCTCGACCCTCTCCATCTGTGGACTGCCCTGCTCGACCCTCTCCATCTGCATCTGTGGACTGCCCGAGCCTTCTGGGCTGCACCCCTCCCCGCCTGCGAGTTGCTTCAGTCCTTCACCGCACCTGTCCTCAACTGCGGCATGGCCTCGGTCCTCGTTCTGTAGCTGGATCTAGCCCGTCCGTCCGTGTTGAGTGAATCCCTCTCTCAATCTGGTTCTCCCCAAAGTTTCTCACTATTCTCCCATTGGGTTTTTGAGTTTTTCCTTACTGATGCGGTAGGATCTGTTAGACTGTTAGAGGTCTAACAAGAACGACTGGTGATGACCCAGGACATTCTAACCTTCTACAACATTTATGAACATTTATCAACATTCATGGATATTGGTCAACTCCCCCTATGGACCAATACATGTGTGTTCTAGATAATGTTGGTGTTTTAACTGTTTGATTCTCTGATCTGTGTTGGCGATTTCAACGGTTTTGTTAAGTTCTCTGAGATGATACTGTTGTGATTTAGGGCTATACAAGAATATATTGAATTGAATTGAATTACAGCCTCCCCCGCTCGCTGAATGGCCGGACGGGGTTCAACCCGAGGTAACCGCAGCCACTAAGATCAGATCCAGACGTACATGTAGAGAAATAATAATTAACCCAAGTTTACGGATGGCTATGGCCAGGCTACCTTACTTATGGTAATGTTAGATGTTTTAGCCAAAGTTTATGGCCTGTAAACCAGTTGTAGGTAACTGCACGTCACTTGCAAGCAGGAGGAAAATATAAGTAGAATTAGGCATGGGTTAAAATCTTCTGTGCCACAAAAGAAACAGCATTTAATTGGCTTACAGTTAGACACAGCCAAATGAAAGAAATACATATTTTTATATCTCATAATTTTGCTACAGGGCTCAATTATTTCTAATTGACCCAAACTTAATCATAACTTTACATCACCAAAATGAACGTGATTTTTTTTGTCCCCTTTAGGGGAAAAAATACATTTTTCTCAACTCCTGACTAATTACTTTTGGGCTTAAAAACTGAAAATAAATTTGAAATAGCATTTTTTTTAATTTTTTTTATTTCTATGAGGTGTCCAGAGCAACGATGGGCATCACAATTAAACTTAAGGCGTTGAAAGTAGACATGAGATGATTTTATTAGAGATGAGCTCATTTTCATATTGAAACATATTTTCAAAGAAGCATGTTTCTTTCTCTGGATACTTTCACTTCACAAGCATATTGTTGTGTAAAGGTGTCTAACCCTACTCTCTTGTCAAAGTGCTCTGGCGACATCTAGTGGATGTTTTTGGCACACAACATTTCAAACAGGACTCTTAACAAACGGAAGTAAACATTCCATGTATGGATTCAATATTGAAACAAACATTAATATTTATTTTATCGTTTAGTGATTTAAAGATCTATTTGCCCATCTTGTCTTCTTAATCCTAATATTGATTCGTATCTATTACTTATGTCATTGATATTAGGGTTTGTGACAGTCTGTGGTGACAAGAGCCCAATTTCACAATCTGTGAAGTAAAATAGCAGGGTAATTTCTTCAACAAACTAAAAATATAAACATTGAATTATGCATTTCTACACACTCTTTTTCATGAGTAATAGTTATAGTTTAGGCAGTACTAATTTTGTAATGGTTCTGAAAGAAAAGGCCTTTCACATCATTCAGCGCAAAAAAACTGCAGTTACAACATATCATTATGTAAAATTAAATATCTACCTTCACATAATGAGCAGATTCCTCTTTGACCAATGAGAACGCGATGTGGATGTGCCGTGAGCACCAGCCGCGCTCTCATTGGCTGCCTCTCAGATGACGTCATTAGTAAACACCCTGTTCCTCTGACTCTCGCTGGCACGGCACGGCACACATGGATCTACAATAATATGGTTTCGGACTGAGAGCAGCTCACACAGGTAGGTCATTACAGCATTAACGTCAATAATTCATACTTTTAACACTGTTCACTCACCGCAGACAAACATCTGCCTCACTTCCGGCATGCAAACTATCTGACCTCTGAACTCTGATTGTGCATTTGGGTTGTTTGAATTTAGACCAGTTAAAGACACAAAAACAACAGTCAAATATGGAAAACAAATCAGACCAGAACGTTTTGTCTTCATTGTTTTAGAAAACATGTTAAGTTACAGATCATTCATGTACAATTACTTCTCAGTATGCAGTCCTGCAGTAGAGCAGTATATGCAGTAGAGCAGTCCTGCAGTAGATGCAGTCCTGCAGTAGAGCAGTATATGCAGTCCTGCAGTAGAGCAGTATGCAGTCCTGCAGTAGAGCAGTCCTGCAGTAGAGCAGTATATGCAGTCCTGCAGTAGAGCAGTCCTGCAGTAGAGCAGTCCTGCAGTAGAGCAGTATATGCAGTCCTGCAGTAGAGCAGTATATGCAGTCCTGCAGTAGAGCAGTATATGCAGTCCTGCAGTAGAGCAGTATATGCAGTCCTGCAGTAGAGCAGTATGCAGTCCTGCAGTAGAGCAGTATATGCAGTCCTGCAGTAGAGCAGTATATGCAGTCCTGCAGTAGAGCAGTATATGCAGTCCTGCAGTAGAGCAGTATGCAGTCCTGCAGTAGAGCAGTATATGCAGTCCTGCAGTAGAGCAGTATATGCAGTCCTGCAGTAGAGCAGTATATGCAGTCCTGCAGTAGAGCAGTATATGCAGTCCTGCAGTAGAGCAGTATGCAGTCCTGCAGTAGAGCAGTATATGCAGTCCTGCAGTAGAGCAGTATATGCAGTCCTGCAGTAGAGCAGTATATGCAGTCCTGCAGTAGAGCAGTACATGCAGTCCTGCAGTAGAGCAGTACATGCAGTCCTGCAGTAGAGCAGTACATGCAGTCCTGCAGTAGAGCAGTATATGCAGTCCTGCAGTAGAGCAGTATGCAGTCCTGCAGTAGAGCAGTATGCAGTCCTGCAGTAGAGCAGTATATGCAGTCCTGCAGTAGAGCAGTATATGCAGTCCTGCAGTAGAGCAGTACATGCAGTCCTGCAGTAGAGCAGTATGCAGTCCTGCAGTAGAGCAGTATGCAGTCCTGCAGTAGAGCAGTATATGCAGTCCTGCAGTAGAGCAGTATATGCAGTCCTGCAGTAGAGCAGTACATGCAGTCCTGCAGTAGAGCAGTATGCAGTCCTGCAGTAGAGCAGTATATGCAGTCCTGCAGTAGAGCAGTATGCAGTCCTGCAGTAGAGCAGTATATGCAGTCCTGCAGTAGAGCAGTACATGCAGTCCTGCAGTAGAGCAGTACAAGCTGACTGTGGCAGGATACTTGTGTGCTATTAACCAGTGCTTTATGAGTTACAGAACTTTAATCTTAGTCATAAATATGTTATAGCATTTTTTGTATTTATTTATGTTTATATTTGTTCAGTAAATCAATTTAAATGGATGTATGGCGGCTGGCGCTCTGTGGCTTGGGCGGCATCTCTGACTGCCACCACCACCCAGAAATGGATTAAGGGGAAGAAAATGAGAAAATGGATGGAAATTAATTTAAATTATCACTGCTTTCATTTTTATTCATTAGTATGGGTCACAAGTTAATTTTATGCGCATTGTGTGTGTGTGTCGTGATGTCACACACATTTAGTTGATATAAGATAAAGCAGTTAAAAGTTGTTATTCCAAATTCCCCGTAAGTAAGTGAAAGTCCTTGTTGCATGTCTCTGCCCTCCTAGCCTACAGCATGGACCTGGTTCTGGATGTGGCCGACTGGTACGTGCTGACCCCATACGTGTACCCCTCGTCCTGGGCAGAGGAAGGCGCCCTGAGGCAGCTCCTGAGCCTCCTGCTGCTCACTAACTTAGGAGCCACCGTCCTGTACCTGGGACTAGGGGCCCTCAGCTACTACTGCGTGTACGACCACACGCTCATGAAGCACCCACACTTCCTTCAGGTACGCCGCTCTCTACAGCCATGGGAAAGCTTTAGCAGTCGTGGAAATGTATAGTTTAATGTTTTAAATATCTGAAGACAATGTATTTAAAAGTATTTACCTGACATATAACAACTGTATACAGAAGTATACAGGTGCACATAACTTTCATTGAGGAACTCAGATGAGTATCAGGAGCTTCTTTTTTATGCTAAAGCTTAGATTGGCTCAGACAATCCCCTCTCTGCCCAAAAAGTCAAATAATGACTCACAGGGCTCTTGAAAAACAACCAAAATGCATTATTAATGCAAGGGAAAATGTAGTTAGCTTAAATTTAGCAAGTTTCGGGAGAAGACACGGGGGAGACCTGAGGCTCCATAATCCAGCTGTTTTTTGCAGCGGCGTATTTATTGCATGCACAGGTTACGCACCCTGTGTGTGTGTGTGTGTGTGTGTGTGTGTGTGTGTGTGTGTGTGTGTGTGTGCTGTCAAAGCAGCTCACAGAAACTGAAGTGTGAACTGCTGTCATTACAGAGTGGCCGCAGTTGCTCCGGGTCAGAAAGCTGCGGCCACGGAGGATGCGAAATCACGTGCGCCCCTCTAACATTTCTCAGAAAATGTTTAGTATGAGGCGGGCAGAGCGGCCCAAATATGGGTATTGGCTAGGGGTGCAACGGTTTGAAAAAATCACGGTTTGGTTCATTTTTCGGTTCAGCAAAAAAAAAACAGTTTTGTCTTTTTTATGAACACTTTATTACTATTTAAATAAAAACTTAAAGTGCACAAGGCATAACTTATTTTTAACATAAATAATGAATGAGAAACAGCTTCAAGTGCAACATAAGAAACCACATCATCTCTCGTGAAACATGGAAAGACAGCGAAGCATACCTGAACTTATCATTTCAAATTCTTTTTCAAAAAGACAAGGATGTCTACATTGTCTGGGGAGAGTGTGGACCTCTTTGCAGTCACTATGTCCTCTGCCGTTGAGAACACTCTCTCCGAAGGAACCGAAGAGCCTGGCACAGCCAGATAGTATCTTGGCAGCTTGGCAATATGAGGGTATTTACTCTGATTCCTTTTCCACCATGTCAGTGGATCACCATCAACTGTAATGCCACGTGCTGGCCTGTAGGAGGCCACCTCTCTGATGATGACAGAAGGATTCTTGCTGTCCTCTCTAAGCTGACAAAGGTCTCTCCAAAAAGCTCTGCCATGGCTCACTTCTTTTGTGGAGGAGATGTGTCCAGGCTTGCTCCTGTTGGCTAAATTGTTTATTTACTAAACCCATTATTTATTTTTTATGTTTCAAAGAACTAAAGAATAAGTCATTATTATTACTGAAATTAAAAACATGTATTCAAATTCTTATATTTGTTATAATAATATTTGTTTTCTTTACCTCATCACAGTCTTCAGTGCTCAGAGTCTCAGAGGTGAGGTCACTGTATGTCCTCTGGCGTAGGGCAGGGTCCATGTGGGACAGGGGCCCAGTCCCAATACACACACTGCACCCTACACACCTCTAAGTGTGCATTTGTTTGAAGTGCACACAGGGTTGGAGTGACAGGTTACAAGTGTGCACAAAAGGCAGAATTGGGACAGTGCACTGAGTGCAGGTTACGTCATCGACTCGTCAGAGATGGTCATTTTCAGACCTAAACTTTATAAACATTAAAGGTAATTTTGTCTGACCCTTTGGGAAACAAAATGAATTGCTTCACACACGTTAAAATACATGTATATTAGTTGTTTTTAATTAGAGATCGCTGTATAATTTTAAGTTAAATGTGGGTAACTAACTATCTGGTCAGTTTTTATACATTCTAAGATTATTGTACTAAGTGTAAAGTTTAAATTGAATGTTATATAAACGCTTGTTTTAAAAAGTTATTAAATTGTTAAAACACAATGTCCGTAATTCTTCATCAGACGTTTATGCTTCTTTCCAAGTAACATAGCAAAACTTATTTACACACATACTGCATATATATTTCAAAATTTATATTTAAATGCATTTTCCCGACGTTTTGGTGTGTACCGCAAAGAATTATGGGCAATATCCTTCGCCAGAGTGCGCATAGATGCAGGCTACGGCGAAGTGTGGATCAGGGGCGCAAAGGGGGCGGGGCCAAAGACCTCCCTGGAGGATTGGGACACCCTACGCACTCGCACCCTTTATCGGGAACGCGCAAATGAGGGGCGCGAGGGTGGAAGTGCGAGTATTGGGACGGGGCCAGGGACTTGAACCTTGGGTCCAGCGCTGTAGATCTGTGAAGGAAGTCGTGCAGAGTAGGGGGTGAAGTGTATCTGGGCAGCAGGTCTTCTCTAATGGCAGTCTTGACATCTCCAGTGATGGTGCTGTCTTCCACACTTGAAGCCATGGATAGAAGAATCCTTGTTTTCAGTGGCAGGATCATTGACACTGAGGGTGAAGTTTCAGTGCTTAGCAGGGGTTTAAGCACCTGGAGGACCTCCTCTGCCACTTTCACATCATCTTGTCAGTCAATGCAGAGTATATAGCTGCTGCTGCTCCAGATAACGCTCCAACATATCATAAGTGGAGTTCCACCTTGTTGGGACATCATGTATGAGCTTATGAGAAGGCAGCTTTAGCATTTCTTGCTTTGTCTTAAGCACATTAGCAGCTGTTGTGCTTCGGTGGAAGTAGGAAACCACCTTCCTAATTCTCCCAAGCAGGCGGTCCATCTTATTGACTGAGATTCCCTTCTGTGAAGCCAAATTCACTACATGGTCCAAGCACCCTGTCTGTGGGCCCAGTCCTGCCTCATTCACTGCATTTATTTGATTTTTGGCATTATCAGTGGTGACAGGGATATTAATACTGGGCCTATTTATCTTCCATTCCTCCACTGCTTGTGACAGTACCTGCGCTGTGTGCCTGTGTGACTTTGGTAGAGGGGGCGTGTCTGCAGCACCGGGCTTCTCATCTCCCAGTCTGCGGTGATGAAGTGAGCAGTTATTGTGACATAACTCTCCGTTCCCCTGGACGTCCAACCGTCAGTCGTTAGCGCAACTGCGGATGCGCGGGATAGTTCATCCACAACCTTTTTCTTCTCTTGCTCATAAAGCCCTGGCACAATCTTTTCGCTGAAGTGGGTGCGCGACGGGATGTTGTAACGTGGCTCAAGCACTTTCAGCATGTGTTTAAAGCCCTCGTTTTCTCCAACCGAATATGGCCTCATGTCTGCACCTATAAACACACCGATAGCGTTTGTAATGACTTTAGCCCGGTGACTGTGCATGAAGGGGCTGCTTAAATGCCGCGGTAATGAGCGGTTGTTGAGAAGCTTTTGTTTTCCCTCCTGACAGTGAAACGCTGGGGTGATGTTGCTTCATATGCGTGGCCATGTTCAAATACTTCCACTGTCGTATGTTATTCTTGTGCCACAGTGCTTACCCACCGTGACAGTTGTGTCGACTAACCTTTTGCCATCGTCAGTATAGTTGACAGGGAAGCCAAAATGCTCCCATACAGGGGATTTAAATGACGCTGGGCTTTCCAGCTCCTCCGCTCGCCATGACCACGCTGTGTGTGGACTGAACAACGTGCGCTCAGTTTTTTTTCTCCATAAATGAAACTGCAGATCACGTCTGTACCGAACCGAAGACGTTGAACCGAACGGTTCACGGATCAGTGATGAACTGTTGCACCCCTAGTATTGGCCCTTCGGGCATTGCCCAGTACGCCCGATGGCTAGTCCAGGCCTGCCTTGACCATGCTTCAGCTGACGTCAAATAAAGGGGCCCCAAGCCCCAAGCGTGCTCCCCAGACGCACACCTGGGTAAAGTGTCTCGCCTCAGCACAGTAACAACAGAGTCCTATAACTTTTATAACATTGATACTTCTTGTGTGTGTGTGTGTGTCTGTGTGTGTGTGCGTGTGTGTGTGTGTGTGTGCGGTGGGTGCGTGTGTGTGCGGTGGGTGCGTGTGTGTGCGTGTGTGTGTGCGTGTGCGTGTGTGTGCGGTGGGTGTGCGTGTGTGTGTGTGTGTGTGCGTGTGTGTGGCGGTGGGTGCGTGTGTGTGTGCGTGTGCGTGTGTGTGTGCGGTGTGTGCGCGGTGGGTGTGCTTGTGTGTGCGGTGGGTGTGTGTTTGTGCGGTGTGTGTGCGTGTGTGTGCGGTGGGTGTGTGTGTGTGCGGTGTGTGTGCGTGTGGTGTGTGTGTGCGTGTGGGTGTGTGCGTGCGTGTGGGTGTGTGTGTGTGCGGTGTGTGTGTGTGTGTGCGTGTGCGTGTGTGTGCGGTGGGTGTGCGTGTGTGTGCGGTGGGTGTGTGTGTGTGTCTGTGTCTGTGTGCGTGTGCGTGTGCGTGTGTGCGTGTGTGCGTGTGCGTGTGTGCGGTGTGCGTGTGCGTGTGCGTGTGCGTGTGCGTGTGCGTGTGTGCGTGTGTGCGTGTGCGGTGTGCGTGTGCGTGTGCGTGTGCGTGTGCGTGCGCGTGTGCGTGTGCGTGTGCGTGTGCGCGTGTGCGTGTGCGGTGTGCGGTGTGCGTGTGCGTGTGCGTGCGCGTGCGCGTGCGCGTGCGCGTGCGTGTGTGTGTGTGTGTGTGTGTGTGTGTCCAGAATCAGGTAAGGAGAGAGATCACATATGCCATGACCTCTCTGCCCTGGATCAGCCTGCCCACTGTGGCCCTGTTCTTCGCCGAGGTGCGTGGATACAGTAAACTCTACGACAACGTGTCCGACCATCCACTGGGTGAGTCACACACAACATGAGTGGAAGTTAGCTTTACATAACACTTTAGGCACTAAGAACACACAAATTAAAACATTAAAAATCCTAACACTCCAAATCTGTTGCCTTGCAGTACTTTCACAGTATGAATTGTCTACGTATACCTCAAATGTTTTAAAGGGATATACTGTATCTGCTTACATGAGCTCTATAAAAGGACTATATTCAGTTCATCAAACTTGAGATTGATTTAAAAAGAAAAGAAAAAAATGGTTTAAATGTACTCTTTCAATGCGAAGAGGATTCAGTTTGTAACGCAATATAATGTGTTGAAACCTTGAAATGTGCGTAATAGTTGAACTTACTCTATATATCTGAAATAAAACAATGAAAGGACAAAGTCTCGGACACAGTTGTGCCCAGTCCAGTTTCCAGAATGTTGTGTGCTGCGTTCCAGGCTGGACGGGCTTCTTCCTCAGTGTGGTCTCCTTCCTCCTCTTCACCGATGGGTGCATTTACTGGATCCACAGGTTTCTGCATCACAAGAGCATCTATAAGGTGAGTAGGCCAAGAGACCAGGCCAGATGGGCCCATGTGAGCGTACCATGTGAGCGTACCATGTGAGCGTACCAATGTTGGAATAACACTGGCAGAATGTGTCCGGCTGTGTTCCAACTCCGCCGATCCACTGGCGTCCGGCGCTACCCACTTTATATCTTGTCCGTCAGATCAACCCCCACAGTTCAGATTGCACATAACGGGAAAGACAACGAGAAAAAGATCCCTGTTTACAAAGTAAATGTCTGTCTTTGCCTTTACGTGATCAGTAAACAGAGGAGAGTCTGCATGCGGCATTAGAAAAGAGGCATATTAATGCCTTATGCCGTTTTTCCACAGTCCGAGTACGGTACGTTTTGACTCTACACGGCGCGCCATGGCCCAGTTCGCTTTTCCATCAAAAATAGTGCCCCCAGTTTGTCCTCAGCGTTGTCAGACCACGTCATTTACGTGTGACGCGTAACTAGTACTGCTGTGTGCATGGATTTATTATAATATCAGAGCAAGTGTTTAATAGAAAATTCAGCACAGCACGAGTAGTTTTTGAAAATGCTTTTGTCTTAAAAGAATGACTCAGAAACTGTGAAGTCAATGGTGCTGCTCTGTACAATCTGAATGGACCTGTAGCAACAGCAGCCTGTGTAGCAGAGGAGGAGGGCTGCATGTCCGAGGATACTGCTAGGCTATAGCTAATGCTAACGCTAGCTCGAGACTCTGCTCACTCACTAACCCTGGATTCCAAAGCTACTACAATACTACACTTAACACATCTGTCACTACCATCAGAGGAGGATCCGGGGTTTAAACTCGTCATATGGCAACTCCAGCAGTAAAGGACTGAGGGAGAGACGGCAGCAACCATAGGGGTAGTGAGTTAGCGTCTAGGCTAGGCTATGCTAGGCTAGTCCAGACCTGCGTCCAGGGCAGCAGACTCAGACCAGAAAAACAACCGATAAAGCACAGTAGCACAGGCAGGACGTTAGCTTAGCTGCTATCGATAGCTAAATGAAGCTAAATGTAGCTAGCTCACTGTGTACAACTGACAATCAAACATGTACACAGTAAATACATTTCAGTGAGAGCTTTAACAGGATTCGTAGCTAACCAGTTATTTCAGGATTACCACAGACTAGTCACAAATCCAGAGCAATCTCCTGAAAACTGTGTTGAGCCTCGAGCTGCCTTTGAATTCTTTCTTTGGCCTGAAGAGAGGAACGTGTGGACCTCTTCCACCGACCAGGACCAGGACTTTTGGGGCTTTCTGTGCAATTCCATTTCTCTGGAGTGAGGAGGACGTAATGTAGCCGAAGCAGAGCCGAGCAGAGCAGCCGCTTTTAAAGATGGCGGTTGAGTTGTTTTTCCCAAAGGGTCAGAGGTCACTTCCAGTGACGACACTCGTTGACCAATCACGGGTACTATGGGGATGGAACCACGGCTGAGGCAGTACGGAAAAGTACTCAAATCTCCCATTCCATCCACTAGTGGAAACGCAAAATAACTGTGCTGAAGTGTACTGTACTGTACCGTACTGTGCTGTACCGTACTGTACCGTACCGTACTGTACTGTACTGTACCGTACTGTACTGTACCGTATTGTACCGTACTGTACTGTACTGTACCGTACTGATACTGTACTGTACTGTACTGTACTGTACCGTACTGTACCGTACTGTACTGTACTGATACCGTACTGATACTGTACTGTACCGTACTGATACTGTACTGTACTGTACTGTACCGTACTGATACTGTACTGTACTGTACTGTACTGTACCGTACTGTACCGTACTGTACCGTACTGTACTGTACTGTACCGTACTGTACTGTACTGATACTGTACTGTACTGTACTGATACTGTACCGTACTGTACTGTACCGTACTGTACTATACTGATACTGCACCTTACTGTACTGTACCGTATTGTACTGTACCGTACTGTACTGTACCGTACTGATACTGTACTGTACCGTACTGATACTGTACCGTACTGTACTGTACCGTACTGATACTGTACTGTACTGTACTGTACTGTACCGTACTGTACCGTACTGTACTGTACTGTACTGTACTGTACCGTACTGATACTGTACTGTACTGTACTGTACTGATACTGTACCGTACTGTACTGTACTGATACTGTACTGTACTGTACTGATACTGTACCGTACTGTACTGTACTGTACCGTACTGTACCGTACTGTACTGTACTGATACCGTACTGTGATACTGTACTGTACTGTACTGTACTGTACCGTACTGTACCGTACTGTACTGTACTGATACCGTACTGATACTGTACTGTACCGTACTGTACCGTACTGATACTGTACTGTACTGTACTGTACCGTACTGTACCGTACTGTACCGTACTGTACTGTACCGTACTGTACTGTACTGATACTGTACTGTACTGTACTGATACTGTACCGTACTGTACTGTACCGTACTGTACTATACTGATACTGTACCTTACTGTACTGTACCGTATTGTACTGTACCGTACTGTACTGTACCGTATTGTACTGTACCGTACTGTACTGTACTGATACTGTACTGTACTGTACTGTACTGTACCGTACTGATACTGTACTGTACCGTACTGATACTGTACTGTACTGTACTGTACTGTACCGTACTGATACTGTACTGTACTGTACTGTACTGTACCGTACTGATACTGTACTGTACTGTACTGTACCGTACTGATACTGTACTGTACTGTACTGATACTGTACTGTACTGTACTGTACTGTACCGTACTGATACTGTGGAAAAGCTGCATTAGTGGAGACTTTATTGGAGGCCGGAGTCGCCTCGTGATGCCCCAACGCGACGTCCAGTCTTGTTCTCTGCAAATCTAACTCCCAATGACACTGACTCAGAGAAACTGTTCCCAATGACACTGACTCAGAGAAACTGTTCCCAATGACACTGACTCAGAGAAACTGTTCCCAATGACACTGACTCAGAGAAACTGTTCCCAATGACACTGACTCAGAGAAACTGTTCCCAATGACACTGACTCAGAGAAACTGTTCCCAATGACACTGACTCAGAGAAACTGTTCCCAATGACACTGACTCAGAGAAACTGTTCCCACTGACTCAGAGAAACTGTCCCCACTGACTCAGAGAAACTGTTCCCACTGACTCAGAGAAACTGTCCCCACTGACTCAGAGAAACTGTCCCCACTGACTCAGAGAAACTGTTCCCACTGACTCAGAGAAACTGTCCCCACTGACTCAGAGAAACTGTCCCCACTGACTCAGAGAAACTGTCCCCACTGACTCAGAGAAACTGATGTGAACTTCCCCACTGACTCAGAGAAACTGTTCCCACTGACTCAGAGAAACTCAGAGAAACTGTCCCCCACTGACTCAGAGAAACTGTCCCCACTGACTCAGAGAAACTGTTCCCACTGACTCAGAGAAACTGTCCCCACTGACTCAGAGAAACTGTCCCCTGACTGAACTCAGAGAAACTGTCCCCACTGACTCAGAGAAACTGTCCCCACTGACTCAGAGAAACTGTCCCCACTGACTCAGAGAAACTGTTCCCACTGACTCAGAGAAACTGTTCCCACTGACTCAGAGAAACTGTCCCCACTGACTCAGAGAAACTGTCCCCACTGACTCAGAGAAACTGTCCCCACTGACTCAGAGAAACTGTCCCCACTGACTCAGAGAAACTGTTCCCACTGACTCAGAGAAACTGTTCCCACTGACTCAGAGAAACTGTTCCCACTGACTCAGAGAAACTGTTCCCACTGACACTGACTCAGAGAAACTGTTCCCAATGACACTGACTCAGAGAAACTGTTCCCAATGACACTGACTCAGAGAAACTGTCCCCACTGACTCAGAGAAACTGTCCCCACTGACTCAGAGAAACTGTCCCCACTGACTCAGAGAAACTGTCCCCACTGACTCAGAGAAACTGTCCCCACTGACTCAGAGAAACTGTCCCCACTGACTCAGAGAAACTGTCCCCACTGACTCAGAGAAACTGTTCCCACTGACTCAGAGAAACTGTCCCCACTGACTCAGAGAAACTGTTCCCACTGACTCAGAGAAACTGTTCCCACTCTGTGCAAAGTGTCTACAGTTTGTGTTGCAGTAAAACACTTTTACACATTTCTGCACTGATTCAACGCAGTCTTGCTCAAATATTTTGATGAGGTTTTTTGATCCAGGGAGGTACACTGGTACAGATGTTGAATGAATTTTAACTCTGATTGATTTTAATGTGTCAAAAATGTGTCCATCTTATGCTAGCAGTGTCATTTAGCCTACAGTATTTTCGTTCATTCATTTGTCCCGCGCCCCCCACTTTGGGAACCACTGGGTTAACACATTTTACACTTTTGGAAGCAAGGAAAATACAATGCTAAAGATATAATCATAAATGTTGTATGGTGTTTACAGTATTCTTATTCCGCTTCTCAAATTGTCATTGGGTTAGGGTCACCAACACCAAATTATAGTATTTTTTATTCTTTTATGCTTCAAGAGTAATTAAAACACTTGAGGAAAAATCTTTGTGTAGCCCATCATAATTCATTCATGAAAGGGCTAGTATAACATTTTTACTGGTACAAGGATCTACTGTTTTACAAAAAAATAGTTCTGTTCTAAAAACGGGTAGAAGTCAGTTGTGTGTGAACTAACCTGACGAGCACGAGGAGTTTTGATGGGTCCAGTAGAAACTAATAATAATAATAATAATAATGTGATTATTGATAAAAAGCACCTGACCACAGCTGTCCTCCTGCAGCTGTTCCACAAACCCCACCACATCTGGAAGGTGCCCACCCCGTTTGCCAGCCACGCCTTCCACCCAGTGGACGGCTTCATGCAGGGGCTCCCGTACCACCTGTACCCCTTCCTCTTCCCGCTGCACAAGGTACTCTACCTGGCCCTCTACGTTTTTGTCAACATCTGGACGATCTCCATCCACGACGGCGACTACCGCGTGCCTGGCCCACTGAAGGGCCTGGTCAACGGCTCCGCCCACCACACAGACCACCACCTCTTCTTCGACTATAACTACGGCCAGTACTTCACCCTGTGGGACCGGCTGGGAGGCTCGTACAGACACCCCTCTGCGCTCATGGGGAAGGGCCCCCTGGATCTGATCCGCAGGCTGCAGAGAGAGGCCAAAGGGAACCAGCAGAGTGAGGCCAAAGGGAACCAGCAGAGTGAGGCCAAAGGGAACCAGCAGAGTGAGGCCAAAGGGAACCAGCAGAGTGAGGCCAAAGGGAACCAGCACACACACAAGGAGGAGTAGAGTCTAATAATCTGTACGTCATCAACTCATTTAAAACAAGAAAGAAAAGTCCTCCCAAATACTGTCACATGCACTTTGAACATGAAAAACCCTCAAACTGGCGTCAGGGACGGAGCAGTTTTCTGCTCTCTTCAAAAACAACTATTGCCTCAGGTTTCTGCTTCACATTCTAAAGCCACTAGATGCAAACGTAAATACTTCCTGTGTCTGTCCACATACAACTATGTGGACTTATTGAGATCATATCAATTGAAAATAATTCAGTTTCACATTTTTCTTACAGGTATTAATTCAATTTTATTTTCAAAATGGTTCTGAATAAACAACAATGTCATAATAAAAATGTTGAAGAAAACACCATATGTTTTTATTAGATGTTTTTATTGATAAAAACACAACAAACCTGATGTGATTATGTCCATACAATAAATGTGTTTGAATGTGATCTTAAATACATTATTGAATTAATGGAAATGAAATGGACTTGTTGTTTACACTGTGAACATTGTAAACAAACTGATTATGACTGATTTATGGTGAGGTCAGTGTGGATCAAGATGAGATCACACACGTTTTAACAAATCTAATAAAGGTTTAGGAGCATCCTACAAAGACTAAAATCATGTTATTTTGTCCTGGGTAGAAGTAAATATTCAATATGTCTGTTGACAAGTCACAATCAGTTTAGGTTTAGGGTTAGGACAAGTTATTATGGTTAAGTTGGGGCTAGGGATGAAATGCCAATATTTTTGAGTCTCGGTAAAACATCCATGAGTCTGTGCAAAGGCTTTTTCTGTTGGTCTGATGCTGGTTGTAGAGTTTTAAGCTTAAAAAGTACGAATTGAAGGTTTGCATTACCCAGCCATTTTAAAGAGTAATGCTTCCAGTCCATGGAAGTATTATTATCTAAATCCAATCCCACAAAAGAGGCATGGCCTTAGAGAAGCGGCTGTGTAGACTCCATGGACAGAGATTTTCTCTTTGTAGCTTTATGCTCATAACCTACAGACAGTTAATGGCTTTGCAGCTGTACTTTATGCACATAACCATACAGACAGTAATGGCATGCAGTGCTGTGTGTCTGTACTTAGCTTTAGAACAATGCGCTGCAGTGCTGTGTCTTTACTTTATGCTTTAAACTTAGCAACTTTATTATGCTCATAAACTGTAGCTTTAGAACAAATGCTGTGTCTGTCCTTTATGCTATAACTACAGACTAAGCGCTGCAGTGCGAGTGTCTGACTTTATGCTCATAAAACTACAGACAGTAATGCGCGTGCAGTGCTGGTTGGGGGTCTGTACTTTTCTGCTCATAAACTACAGACCTAGTAATGCGCGTTCAGTGCTGTGTCATACTTTATGCTCATAAATCTACAGACAGTAAATGCGCTGCAGTGCTGTGTCTGTACTTTATGCTCATAAATACAGACCAGTAATGCGCCTTGCAGTGCGTGTGTTGTACTTTATGCTCATAAACTACAGACTAGTAATGCGCTGCAGTGCGTGTGTGTCTGTACTTTATGCTCATAAACTACAGACAGTAATGCGCTGCAGTGCTTGTGTGCTGTACTTTAGCTCTAAACTACAGACAGTAATGCGCTGCAGTGCGGTGTGTCTGTACTTTATGCTTCATAAACTACAGACAGTAATGCGCTGCAGTGCTGTGGTCTGTACTTTATGGCTAGTTTAACGCTAGTCCACTATCGGTTCTCGCCCCAACACGAAAGTTTTATTCGTTCCTCCCAAACCTTGAGCCAATATAGTCTTTCACATCACTGGGAGTGTTGAATACCTTCGTCTCACCATTATAGGAGACACGGAGTCGAGCAGGGTAGAGGAGCCCGATAACGAACTCCCTCTTGTTGTCGGAGTGAAACTTTTACCTCATTGAAAGCTGCCCTGCGTCTGGTCAGATCTGCACTGTAGTCCGGAAAGATTAGGATTTGTTTTCCATGAAACTCCAGTCGACCCTTCTCCCTTGCGAGGCGCTGAATGCGTTCCTTTTCTTGATAGTGGTGGACACAGACGATAAATGGCCGCGGCCTTCCTCCGTCAGCTGCTGCCCGCGTAGCAGTTCGGTGCGCTCGATCCAAAACAGGGGGCTTCTCCAACCCATTTGGGCCATCACCAAGCACCCTATATAACAGTTCAGCTATGAATCCACTCGGATTGCCCTGTTCTAGCCCTTCAGGCACCCCTAAAATGCGAAGGTTGCATCGTCTTCCTCTATTCTCCAGGTCATCAATTTTTAGCTGTAGTTTCTCGTACCTGTTGCTCATCTCCTTGCAATTAGCCTCCATAGCTAACATTCGTGTGTCCAGCGCGGTCAGTTCGTGCTCGTGGTTGCGTAGTTTGTCATGGCAATCCTCAAGCATCTGGTGGATTGGCGACACAGCCCTGTTGATTTCTTCTCGTAGGGCGTCATTTTCTGCTTTAATAACTTCTTTAACGATGTCACGAAAGGTTTCCAGTGTGTCTGTATCAATCATCATCTTGCTAGCAACGATAGCCCGCGGGGCAGCAGCGTGAGCGGAGGAATTAGCTTGATCATCAGTTTTGCTAACACCTGTAGTACTAGCTGTCGATTTGGCATTCTTTGGAGGCATCTTTCCGTCTCAAATATTCAAAGGCACGTTGGAAAAGTGCCCAGAGTCCAGCGAGTGTATCACACACAAAAAATAGTGCAAATTAAAACGTACTTTTATAAGGATGTAGGGACCTCGAGTTTCACACGTCTATTCCATGACGCGCCCCTAGCGGCTCTCTGTAAAACATTTTTTTTGATGAATTGTTTTTTGTGTCAGACTGTCTCAGGTCTTGGCATATTTTGGAGAACAGTCTCTCCCTAAGAAAGAGAACCCTCTGACATGTTGGCCAGGCTGCCTTCCAGGTACATCCACCCCACCTGTTTTCAGCAGCAGGTGATAGTGTCTGAAAGAAGAGGCCAAGCCTCAGCTCTGAGCACCTTCCTTCACTGCAACCACAAGCCTCTCCTTGTAAAGCTTGTACCTGCACCCAAGAGGTCCTTGTTCAGTGGTAGAACTTGTGTGCCAAGTAGTCATGCATAATGGTTCTGAATATGAAGCACAATTCAAACGCAATGTTAAAGGCACTTTTTGGTTTGTAAGAATGAAAACTGTTCTTTTATTTGTTTTATTTTTCATATAAAATAATGTTAGGGGCGACAGTGGCTCAGTTGTAGAGCATTAGCCTTTAGGCCTGAAGGTCGTGGGTTCGAACCCACCCTAAGACCTACTTCACGACTCCCACTGATGACTGCTGTCGTTGTGTCTTTGGGCAAGACACTTAACCCCACTTTGCCTGAAGCCTCCGCTTGAAGATCAAGACTCCTGTGGACTCAGCACCTGCAGGAGGATCAGTGAGAGGCTGGTGCTCTGTGGACTGGGTGCAGCTCTGACTGCCACCCCCAACCCAGAAATGGATAAAGGGGAAGAAAATGGATGGACAAATAATGTTTAATAAGATAAGATAAGATAAGCTTTATTTATCTCACAGAGGAGAAATGTACATGTCACATTTGGCATGGATAGAACACTCAGATTGTGCAAAAGGAGGAAATGTGCAAACATGTTACATGCAGGATATATGTACAATAAAGTGACAATAATTATGTACAACAAAAGTGACAAGTGTCAGTTGGAAACAGTGTCAATAGTAGTGCAGGTTTCACACAGTGATCATTTAAAGTGACTTATTGTACAGTCTGACAGCAGTGGGGATAAAGGCCCTGCTCCTTCCTACACTGAGGGTGTCTCAGTCTTCCACTGAAGGAGCTCCTCAGCTCCTCCTCAGTCCTGTGCAGTGGGAGGTATTGTTCATGATGGAGGTGGCTTTGGCTAGCACCTCCTGTCCCTCACCTCCTCCACAGAGTCCAGGGGCCTCCTGTCCCTCACCTCCTCCACAGAGTCCAGGGGCCTCCTGTCCCTCACCTCCTCCACAGAGTCCAGGGGCCTCCTGTCCCTCACCTCCTCCACAGAGTCCAGGGGCCTCCTGTCCCTCACCTCCTCCACAGAGTCCAGGGGCCTCCTGTCCCCCACCTCCTCCACAGAGTCCAGGGGCCTCCTGTCCCTCACCTCCTCCACAGAGTCCAGGGGCCTCCTGTCCCTCACCTCCTCCACAGAGTCCAGGGGCCTCCTGTCCCTCACCTCCTCCACAGAGTCCAGGGGCCTCCTGTCCCTCACCTCCTCCACAGAGCCCAGGGGCCTCCTGTCCCTCACCTCCTCCACAGAGTCCAGGGGCCTCCTGTCCCTCACCTCCTCCACAGAGTCCAGGGGCCTCCTGTCCCTCACCTCCTCCACAGAGTCCAGGGGCCTCCTGTCCCTCACCTCCTCCACAGAGTCCAGGGGCCTCCTGTCCCTCACCTCCTCCTGACCAGCTTGTTCAGTCTGTTTCTGTCCCGCTCTGTGCTGCCCGGGGCCCAGCACACGGCAGCGTAGTAAATGGCAGAAGCTACCACAGAGTCATAAAAAGTCCTGAGCAGAGGCCTGCTCACTCCGAAGGACCTCAGCCTCCTCAGAAGGACCTCAGCCTCCTCAGAAGGACCTCAGCCTCCTCAGAAGGACCTCCCTCCTCCTCAGAAGGACCTCAGCCTCCTCAGAAGGACCTCAGCCTCCTCAGAAGGACCTCAGCCTCCTCCGAAGGACCTCAGCCTCCTCAGAAGGACCTCAGCCTCCTCAGAAGGACCTCAGCCTCCTCAGAAGGACCTCAGCCTCCTCAGAAGGACCTCAGCCTCCTCAGAAGGACCTCAGCCTCCTCAGAAGGAAGAGGCGACTTTGGCCCTTCTTGTGCAGGGCGTTTGTATTATGGACCAGTCCAGTTTATTGTTAATGTGAGCACAGGTACTTGAAGCTGTCCACCAGCTCAATGTCCTCCCCCTGGATGTTCAGCAGCGTGTGGGAAAGTGGTTTTCTCCTGAAGTCGATGATCATCTCCTTGGTCTTACTGGTGTTCAAGCAAAAGTGGTTGCACTCACACCAGTCGACAAAGTCCTTGATAACCGACCGATATTCCAGTTGGGATATCGGGATATGGAGAGGGGGAGAATCAAACCGGTTGAAGTACTGGTTAAATTCATCCGCCCGGTGCTGGTCTCCATCCGCTGTTCCTCTGGCACTCTGTCCAAAGCCGGAGATGTTCTTTAGGCTCACACGTCGCGGGCGTTTCCCTGGGCCAGCTTCTGCTCCAGCTTTTTCCCATAGTCCTTCTTGGCCCTCCTGATCCTCCACTGGAGCTCGTGCTGGATCCTCTGCTCCTCCCTGTCCCCTGAGATGAAAGCCCTTTTCTTGAGGTTCAGGAGGGCTTTAAGCTCAGGGGTCACCCATGGGTGGTTGTTAGAAAAACACCGCACCTTCTTACTTGGTACAGTGTTATCCACACAGAAGAGAATATAGTCAGTAATGCAGTGTGTCAGGCTCTCCATGTCCTCACCATGAGAGCAAACATCATTTCCCAATCAGTGTTTTGAAAACAATCTCTCAGCATCTCATCCACATCATCGCTCCACACTTTTACAATATATTTTTAACTTATTTTATTTGATACATTTTTGTGTTTTCCTCTCAAAACAAGTTGGAAAAATTAACATTGTTTACTATTTTGCAAGATATGAATACAATAAACTGTATTTCATTCTTAAAATATAAAACTGGTGTATATAAAAGTGGTTTTCATTTGATACTGTATATATTTAATCAGGCAAAAATATATATTTCTTTCTTGATTAATCAATCGGTGTATTCGATAGAATAATCGATTACCAAAATATTTGACAGCAGCAGCACTGACACTTGTCCATTATCAGCAGCTAGTAGTAAGTAATTTGTGACTTTGACTAGTGCCGTTTCAGTGCTATGATGAGCTCTGAATCCAGATTGAAAGACTTCAAACATATTATTTTCCTGCAGGTGGCAGCGGAGCTGCTCAGCTATAAGTTTTTCCAGGATTTTAGATATAAAAGTGAGGTTCGAGATCGGTCTGTAGTTTGTAAGTATTTCTGGGTCCAGGTTTGTTTTCTTCAGAAGGGGTTTGATTACCGCGGTTTTAAAAGCTTGTGGGACATAGCCACATTGTATGGATGCGTTTATTATATTTACGATAGGCTCAATTATCAAAGGAAGTATGTCTTTGAAGAGCCTAACCCTAACCCTAACCCTCTCTCAGCGGCTCTCTCAGCGGCTCTCTCAGCAGCTCTCTCAGCAGCTCTCTCAGCAGCTCTCTCAGCAGCTCTCTCAGCAGCTCTCTCAGCAGCTCTCTCAGCAGCTCTCTCAGCGGCTCTCTCAGCAGCTCTCTCAGCAGCTCTCTCAGCAGCTCTCTCAGCAGCTCTCTCAGCGGCTCTCTCAGCAGCTCTCTCAGCAGCTCTCTCAGCGGCTCTCTCAGCAGCTCTCTCAGCAGCTCTCTCAGCAGCTCTCTCAGCAGCTCTCTCAGCGGCTCTCTCAGCAGCTCTCTCAGCAGCTCTCTCAGCAGCTCTCTCAGCAGCTCTCTCAGCGGCTCTCTCAGCGGCTCTCTCAGCGGCTCTCTCAGCAGCTCTCTCAGCAGCTCTCTCAGCAGCTCTCTCAGCAGCTCTCTCAGCAGCTCTCTCAGCGGCTCTCTCAGCAGCTCTCTCAGCAGCTCTCTCAGCAGCTCTCTCAGCGGCTCTCAGCGGCTCTCTCAGCGGCTCTCTCAGCGGCTCTCTCAGCGGCTCTCTCAGCGGCTCTCTCAGCGGCTCTCTCAGCGGCTCTCTCAGCGGCTCTCTCAGTGGGGCCTTCTTCCCCGACAGAGCGTCCCAGCGATTGTAAATGCTAACAGGAGGAGGCCCAATGGGGAAACTACCAACAACACGTGGCCCTCTCCGAACAGTCACAAAGCCATCACTATCCTGGTCTTGTCCCAGCTGCGGAGGACGGGCTGGGAGGCTAGGCTCGCTAGTTCTCCTCTGCCTTTCCCTAAAGCTGCGCTCCGCTGTCCCTGAGGATACGGCCTGGCTGTAGCTAATGCTAGCGCTAGCTCGAGACTCCAGTGCTCGGAGACGCAGCTCTAACTCACTGACCCTGGATTCCAGAGCTACGACTACACTACACTTCACACATCTATTACTGCCCTCAGGATCAAGGATCCAACAACAACGCCCGCCTTATTGCTGTTTGATACTGAAACAGACCCAAGTTCAGTTGGACCACACTGGACCAAATGGGTACAGAGATTTGAGAACTATACAGCTGCTTTCAACATAAATGGCGATGGGAGGCTAAAAGCACTCATGCTACACTTGGCTGGTGACTGCGTGCATGATATCAATGACACGCTTGCGGAGACGGCAGACAAATACGCAGATGTGAAGGAAAAGCTAGACACATACTTTGCGCCAGAGAAGAATATCCTTTATGAAGTAGAAACGTTCAGAAAAGCAGTTCAACTGTCAGGAGAAACCCTGGACACATACTGTACAAGGCTTCGCATGTTGGCTAAGCATTGTAACTTCACAGATGTCAAGTTGGAAATAAAACTCATCCAAAGCTGCACGTCAAACAGGCTGCGTAGAAGGGCACTCAGAGAGCCAGACATGAGCCTTTAGAACTTACTCAGCTATGGGAGAACAACAAGCATCAGGGATGGAACAAGGAGCTTCTGCATCAGTAAATGCAGTGCTACAAAGAGAGCAATATGGAAAAAAACTACAGTGGCCCACAAACAAATGCTCAAACAACCAACGTCGTAACTGTGGAGGGAAATATCCACACCAAGGAACTGCAAAGCATGCTGTAAGCCAGGGGTGTCAAACTCATTTTGGTTGAGGGCCGAATAAAAAATGAAAGGGCTGGTCAGGGGCCAAAAGAAGAGGTGGTTTTCATTTATTATACTTTTTTATAATATGAAGGTATCAATATAAATGACTTGTTTCACATTAGTTAGACTGGATATTCTTTTCTGATTAGACTAGTTCAGTTACTGTGGACTACCAACTGTCAATCATTCTGGTGATTCGTGCTCGTCAAATAAGACCAGAGAGATTTGTTCAAAAAGTGGAGAGGGCGGTTCTGTCCTAAGAAAATTGGGGAAATCCTCCTTCATATCTTTGAGAAAAAATGTAATTGAAGACTCGTAAAAAAACATAACAATACTAACTTCTAATTACATGTTGGCTTAACATTTCTTATGGAATTAAATGTTATGGTTTTTTTCTTGAGAACATTAGTAATGGATAACATGCCATTGTCGCCTATTTCCATCAATGCTGCTATTTAATGTAATAATTTAAATTCATCTCAGGGGCCACTGGAAATGGTCTCGCGGGCCGGATCTGGCCCCCGGGCCTTGACTTTGACACCTGTGCGGTAAGCTAAATCATTTTTCCAGGCAGTGTATATCCAGGCCAAAGCAACCTATGCACACAGACGTGAAACCTAAATATCGTGGAAAGCAATACAAATCACACAATAAAGTGTTTAATGTCACAACCTCAAATCAAAAAGATGGAAACGACTCATCCAGCAGTGAGGATAACTATGTGTTTGTGACTACCAGCTCAACTAAAAGGGGTACACCAATAACGCAAATACAGGTTGGCGGTGTAGACAAATCAGTGATTCTTGATTCAGGTGCCACAGTAAACGTTATTAGTGAAGCTGAATTTGACTTGCTATCACCACAGCCACCGTTAGTTCCAGCAGATACTAAAGTTTTCCCTATGGCTGTACCACTGCATTACCGCTATCTGGCATGTTTGAAAGTGAGGCAGCAGCTAATAATAAAAAGACAATATGCAAGTTCTATGTGAAAACTGGTAAAGGCTCTTCCCTGCTAGGCTTCGACACAGCTACGCAGCTGGGCCCCATTAAAGCGGTCAATAGTGTGTCTACGGTCGCTGATCGACTGGAAGATAGTTACCCGGAGCTTTTGCATGGCATTGGAATGCTAAAGGACTTTCAGCTGAAACTCCACATTGACACTGATGTTCAGTCCACCTGTCAGCCGCACAGGCACGTGCCATTTCACATTAGAGAAAAGGTTGAGCAAGAGCTTCAAAAGTTGCAAGACAGTGACATCATTGAGAGTGTCACAGGTCTGACACCATGGATCTCACCAATTGTGACTCCACCAAAACCCAAATGAGGTGAGAATCAGTGTTGACATGAGACAATCCAACACTGCTATACAGCGTAATGCTACAGTCTTCTTCAAACTGGACTTAAGGGCAGCAGGTACATCACAACTTTCAGCACTCACAAATGCCTCAGGAGGTACAATCGTTTCAACTTTGGCATCTCCTCTGCTGCTGAAGTTTTCCAAATTTGCGATTAGCCAGACACTGCAAGAGATTGATCGTGTAAAGAACCTCAGTGATGACATTATAGAATATGGAAAAACAGACCGATCACGACAGGAGCCTCACCGCAGAGTTCCAAAGACTAAAAGACACAGGCCTCACCCTCAATGGAAAAAAAAATTAGTTTAACAAATCCAGGTTGGAATTTTACACCCAGAATGTGTCTTTGGGTGTAATTATGGCACTATTTGGCTCAAAGACCAAGAATGCTGCGATTGCAGCTGGTCTATTCATTCACAGGGATCTGCCTCTGAAATCTGCGACACATCTGTTCATCTGCGAGTGACACCAAAGACATATTCACCATGAAACTGGACTTACTCAAAAGCTTATCTGGAAACATGATGTTCTTCCCACAATAAAATACGCTAATGAGGAGCCTACATCTGTAAGTACATGCTATCAACTCGTTGTATACTTATAAATAATCTGGGTCTGATTCTGGATTCAGGTCATAGGGCTCTATATGACAGATTTCCATAGTTAGAAAGTTTATTCTCAGGTCTGAAATGATTATGTTCCGGCGAATGCTGAACAGTTAGCTTTCTCACTATGTGTGTTTACAAAGCCATTGTGAGGCTGCGTCACTGCGAGAGTGGGGGGAGAGTGGGGGGAGAGTGGGGGGAGAGTGGGGAGAGTGGGGAGAGAGTGGGGGGAGAGTGGTGGGAGAGTGGGGGGGGGAGAGTGGGGAGAGAGTGGGGGGAGAGTGGGGGGAGAGTGGGGGGAGAGTGGGGGAGAGTGGGGGAGAGTGGGGAGAGAGTGGGGGAGAGTGGGGAGAGAGTGGGGAGAGAGTGGGGGGAGAGTGGGGAGAGAGTGGGGAGAGAGTGGGGAGAGAGTGGGGGGAGAGTGGGGAGAGAGTGGGGAGAGAGTGGGGGGAGAGTGGGGAGAGAGTGGGGAGAGAGTGGGGGGAGAGTGGGGAGAGAGTGGGGAGAGAGTGGGGAGAGAGTGGGGGGAGAGTGGGGGGAGAGTGGGGAGAGAGTGGGGGAGAGTGGGGGAGAGTGGGGAGAGAGTGGGGGGAGAGTGGTGGGAGAGTGGGGGGAGAGTGGGGGAGAGTGGGGAGGGAGTGGGGGGGAGAGTGGGGGAGAGTGGGGAGAGAGTGGGGGGAGAGTGGTGGGAGAGTGGGGGAGAGTGGGGGAGAGTGGGGGAGAGTGGGGGAGAGTGGGGGAGAGTGGGGGAGAGTGGGGGGAGAGGGGGGGGAGGGGGGAGAGTGGGGGGAGAGAGTGGGGGGGAGAGTGGGGGGAGAGTGGGGGGAGAGTGGTGGGAGAGTGGGGGAGAGTGGGGGAGAGTGGGGGAGAGTGGGGGGAGAGTGGGGGGAGAGTGGGGGAGAGTGGGGGGAGAGTGGGGGGAGAGTGGGGGGAGAGTGGGGGGAGAGTGGGGGGAGAGTGGGGAGAGAGTGGGGGGAGAGTGGTGGGAGAGTGGAGGGGGGGAGAGTGGGGGAGAGTGGGGGAGAGTGGGGGGAGAGTGGTGGGAGAGTGGGGGGAGAGTGGGGAGAGTGGGGGAGGTGGGGGGAGAGTGGGGGGAGAGTGGGTTCACAGGCAGAGGAGCAGAGAACAATAGTTTCAGTAGAGGGGACATCACTTGTGGCTCTAACTTCACACAGCAGTAGTTTATCACCACCATGTATGGATGGAAAGAATAATAACATGTGAAGCGTCTTTGAATTAGCTGAATTTCTCCATTGTGACGTCAATAAATTATATCTTATATTTTCTTTGAGTGTGCTGAAAAGCACTATCTAAAACCGATGCGATATTATTGTTATTATCAAATACATAATGCACATGACTTTATAAATGTCATGTGCATTGTAATACCCCTGCATAAACATTACTCTGTTTGCCACAAACGCTCTCCACAGTCATGCCTGTAGTTGCCGGTGTCATTTGTGACCCATTATCCATCCATTTCTGGGGCAGGGGGTGGCAGTCAGAGCTGCACCCAATTCTCAAAGCACCAGCTAATTTGTGGCCATGAAATGTTTTATGTTCTATGATCCTGGGGTTTATATTTTGATATTTTATTCTTGAATCCACATCTGAGCCAAAAGGAATGATCAATCAACACCAGGTATATTTTCTAAGCTAATTTAAGCTAATTCTGCATAATGCATGTCCTGTAATGAATTTGTCAGCCTGCTTCTAACCTCTCCCCACGCTCCCATTAACTCTAATAGACCCTCTGTGGCATGTGATATTACTGATTATTCACAGAAAAACATGATGCAATGCTCTGCAATCGCTCATTCTAGTCAGAATTGCATTATTATAACCTTCGTTTTATGGAACACTGTTCGCATGAAGAAAACTGAGACTTTTCTACCATGAACTGCGAAAGACTTCACTCCAACACTTTGTAATCAGATGGTTCCATAAAACTCGTAAAATAAGAGAAAGACTTAAATATTCATGTCATTTTGCTACGTATTGATTGGGAGGATTCATGTCTTCCTTTATGCTGTAAAACTATGTGTAATTATCAGAAATACCAATCATATCGATGGGTTTCAGGATATCAAATAAGATTGTGATTTTTCATTTAAAATAAATGTAGCATGGCCGAGAAAACTATTCTCATGAACTGGAAAACAAGAAACAAGATCCATATCTTGTTCATAATGGACTTCATTTCAGTAGAATACTCAACGCCTCCCTATAAGGACATATGTAGCACTTATGTTGCTAATTAATTAGCTAATAGCATAAATGATCACAGTAGTATATTTAGTGAAGTAGTACACTAAACTCCAAACTGAGAAAAACTAGAAAAGACTCAGGAAGAGACGAGGAGGAGACTGGGTGTGTTGTTGCGTATTAAAAAGGTACCATGTGTTGTACAGACAGTCATAGAATCAGAATGTCACACAGACATGTGAGGCAATAGATGTATACACAATATTTATGGGTTTAGAGTCCAATATTTACGGTCAATGTATCACTCTATGTCTTTGCATCACTTCATAAAAGAAAAAAAGAAAATTGAACACGCTTCACAAAAGAACATATTCTCGTATATAAAAGTAATGTTACTACTATGCGACAATTGTACAAATACTATATTAATCATGGGTGAATATCAAATCCATAAAAGCAAATGAAGAAAGAACCTGCCAAAGAAAACATGTTTTAAAAACAAATATTCAGACGGGGTTAGTATTGCCTCTGGACCTCTGGACGTCTGAGATCTTAGTCCTGTGCGAATGCTCCATGTCTGTAAATTGTAAAGTAATAACTCAGCCGCAAATGACTTCTTGTATTTGTCCAAACACAGACTGAAAATACTAACCCGTGAGAATCTGCATGTCAGTGATCGTGATCGCTACTGACACTTTCTCTTTACAGCGTTATTTTTGGTCAATGAGCAGGAGTGGAGTATCGCGGCTGTCTCTGAGGTCTGTGGAGAAGTGTAGAGGACACTGTCTCTGAGGTCTGTGGAGAAGTGTAGAGGACACTGTCTCTGAGGTCTGTGGAGAAGTGTAGAGGACACTGTCTCTGAGGTCTGTGGAGAAGTGTAGAGGACACTGTCTCTGAGGTCTGTGGAGAAGTGTAGAGGACACTGTCTCTGAGGTCTGTGGAGAAGTGTAGAGGACACTGTCTCTGAGGTCTGTGGAGAAGTGTAGAGGACACTGTCTCTGAGGTCTGTGGAGAAGTGTAGAGGACACTGTCTCTGAGGTCTGTGGAGAAGTGTAGAGGACACTGTCTCTGAGGTCTGTGGAGAAGTGTAGAGGACACTGTCTCTGAGGTCTGTGGAGAAGTGTAGAGGACACTGTCTCTGAGGTCTGTGGAGAAGTGTAGAGGACACTGTCTCTGAGGTCTGTGGAGAAGTGTAGAGGACACTGTCTCTGAGGTCTGTGGAGAAGTGTAGAGGACACTGTCTCTCTGAGGTCTGTGGAGAAGTGTAGAGGACACTGTCTCTGTGAAGTCTGTGGAGAAGTGTAGAGGACACTGTCTCTCTGAGGTCTGTGGAGAAGTGTAGAGGACACTGTCTCTGAGGTCTGTGGAGAAGTGTAGAGGACACTGTCTCTGAGGTCTGTGGAGAAGTGTAGAGGACACTGTCTCTGAGGTCTGTGGAGAAGTGTAGAGGACACTGTCTCTGAGGTCTGTGGAGAAGTGTAGAGGACACTGTCTCTGAGGTCTGTGGAGAAGTGTAGAGGACACTGTCTCTCTGAGGTCTGTGGAGAAGTGTAGAGGACACTGTCTCTGAGGTCTGTGGAGAAGTGTAGAGGACACTGTCTCTGAGGTCTGTGGAGAAGTGTAGAGGACACTGTCTCTGTGAGGTCTGTGGAGAAGTGTAGAGGACACTGTCTCTGTGAGGTCTGTGGAGAAGTGTAGAGGACACTGTCTCTGTGAGGTCTGTGGAGAAGTGTAGAGGACACTGTCTCTGAGGTCTGTGGAGAAGTGTAGAGGACACTGTCTCTGTGAAGTCTGTGGAGAAGTGTAGAGGACACTGTCTCTGAGGTCTGTGGAGAAGTGTAGAGGACACTGTCTCTGTGAAGTCTGTGGAGAAGTGTAGAGGACACTGTCTCTGTGAAGTCTGTGGAGAAGTGTAGAGGACACTGTCTCTGAGGTCTGTGGAGAAGTGTAGAGGACACTGTCTCTGAGGTCTGTGGAGTCTCGAGTCTGTAGAGGACACTGTCTCTGAGGTCTGTGGAGAAGTGTAGAGGACACTGTCTCTGAGGTCTGTGGAGAAGTGTAGAGGACACTGTCTCTGAGGTCTGTGGAGAAGTGTAGAGGACACTGTCTCTGAGGTCTGTGGAGAAGTGTAGAGGACACTGTCTCTCTGAGGTCTGTGTGGAGAGTCTCGAGTGTAGAGGACACTGTCTCTGAGGTCTGTGGAGAAGTGTAGAGGACACTGTCTCTGAGGTCTGTGGAGAAGTGTAGAGGACACTGTCTCTGAGGTCTGTGGAGAAGTGTAGAGGACACTGTCTCTGTGAGGTCTGTGGAGAAGTGTAGAGGACACTGTCTCTGAGGTCTGTGGAGAAGTGTAGAGGACACTGTCTCTCTGAGGTCTGTGGAGAAGTGTAGAGGACACTGTCTCTGAGGTCTGTGGAGAAGTGTAGAGGACACTGTCTCTGAGGTCTGTGGAGAAGTGTAGAGGACACTGTCTCTGAGGTCTGTGGAGAAGTGTAGAGGACACTGTCTCTGAGGTCTGTGGAGAAGTGTAGAGGACACTGTCTCTGAGGTCTGTGGAGAAGTGTAGAGGACACTGTCTCTGAGGTCTGTGGAGAAGTGTAGAGGACACTGTCTCTGAGGTCTGTGGAGAAGTGTAGAGGACACTGTCTCTGAGGTCTGTGGAGAAGTGTAGAGGACACTGTCTCTGAGGTCTGTGGAGAAGTGTAGAGGACACTGTCTCTGAGGTCTGTGGAGAAGTGTAGAGGACACTGTCTCTGAGGTCTGTGGAGAAGTGTAGAGGACACTGTCTCTGAGGTCTGTGGAGAAGTGTAGAGGACACTGTCTCTGAGGTCTGTGGAGAAGTGTAGAGGACACTGTCTCTGAGGTCTGTGGAGAAGTGTAGAGGACACTGTCTCTGAGGTCTGTGGAGAAGTGTAGAGGACACTGTCTCTGAGGTCTGTGGAGAAGTGTAGAGGACACTGTCTCTGAGGTCTGTGGAGAAGTGTAGAGGACACTGTCTCTGTGAGGTCTGTGGAGAAGTGTAGAGGACACTGTCTCTGAGGTCTGTGGAGAAGTGTGGAGAGAGGACACTGTCTCTCTGAGGTCTGTGGAGAAGTGTAGAGGACACTGTCTCTGAGGTCTGTGGAGAAGTGTAGAGGACACTGTCTCTGAGGTCTGTGGAGAAGTGTAGAGGACACTGTCTCTCTGAGGTCTGTGGAGAAGTGTAGAGGACACTGTCTCTGAGGTCTGTGGAGAAGTGTAGAGGACACTGTCTCTGAGGTCTGTGGAGAAGTGTAGAGGACACTGTCTCTGAGGTCTGTGGAGAAGTGTAGAGGACACTGTCTCTGTGAGGTCTGTGGAGAAGTGTAGAGGACACTGTCTCTGAGGTCTGTGGAGAAGTGTAGAGGACACTGTCTCTCTGAGGTCTGTGGAGAAGTGTAGAGGACACTGTCTCTGAGGTCTGTGGAGAAGTGTAGAGGACACTGTCTCTGAGGTCTGTGGAGAAGTGTAGAGGACACTGTCTCTGAGGTCTGTGGAGAAGTGTAGAGGACACTGTCTCTGAGGTCTGTGGAGAAGTGTAGAGGACACTGTCTCTGAGGTCTGTGGAGAAGTGTAGAGGACACTGTCTCTCTGAGGTCTGTGGAGAAGTGTAGAGGACACTGTCTCTGAGGTCTGTGGAGAAGTGTAGAGGACACTGTCTCTGAGGTCTGTGGAGAAGTGTAGAGGACACTGTCTCTGTGAGGTCTGTGGAGAAGTGTAGAGGACACTGTCTCTGTGAGGTCTGTGGAGAAGTGTAGAGGACACTGTCTCTGAGGTCTGTGGAGAAGTGTAGAGGACACTGTCTCTGAGGTCTGTGGAGAAGTGTAGAGGACACTGTCTCTGAGGTCTGTGGAGAAGTGTAGAGGACACTGTCTCTGAGGTCTGTGGAGAAGTGTAGAGGACACTGTCTCTGAGGTCTGTGGAGAAGTGTAGAGGACACTGTCTCTGAGGTCTGTGGAGAAGTGTAGAGGACACTGTCTCTGAGGTCTGTGGAGAAGTGTAGAGGACACTGTCTCTGTGAGGTCTGTGGAGAAGTGTAGAGGACACTGTCTCTGAGGTCTGTGGAGAAGTGTAGAGGACACTGTCTCTCTGAGGTCTGTGGAGAAGTGTAGAGGACACTGTCTCTGAGGTCTGTGGAGAAGTGTAGAGGACACTGTCTCTGAGGTCTGTGGAGAAGTGTAGAGGACACTGTCTCTGAGGTCTGTGGAGAAGTGTAGAGGACACTGTCTCTGAGGTCTGTGGAGAAGTGTAGAGGACACTGTCTCTGAGGTCTGTGGAGAAGTGTAGAGGACACTGTCTCTGAGGTCTGTGGAGAAGTGTAGAGGACACTGTCTCTCTGAGGTCTGTGGAGAAGTGTAGAGGACACTGTCTCTGTGAAGTCTGTGGAGAAGTGTAGAGGACACTGTCTCTGAGGTCTGTGGAGAAGTGTAGAGGACACTGTCTCTGAGGTCTGTGGAGAAGTGTAGAGGACACTGTCTCTGAGGTCTGTGGAGAAGTGTAGAGGACACTGTCTCTGAGGTCTGTGGAGAAGTGTAGAGGACACTGTCTCTGAGGTCTGTGGAGAAGTGTAGAGGACACTGTCTCTGTGAAGTCTGTGGAGAAGTGTAGAGGACACTGTCTCTTGATCGTGGAAATGTGAGGACATGCTCGTCTGTGGAGAAGTGTAGAGGACACTGTCTCTGAGGTCTGTGGAGAAGTGTAGAGGACACTGTCTCTGAGGTCTGTGGAGAAGTGTAGAGGACACTGTCTCTGAGGTCTGTGGAGAAGTGTAGAGGACACTGTCTCTGAGGTCTGTGGAGAAGTGTAGAGGACACTGTCTCTGTGAGGTCTGTGGAGAAGTGTAGAGGACACTGTCTCTGAGGTCTGTGGAGAAGTGTAGAGGACACTGTCTCTCTGAGGTCTGTGGAGAAGTGTAGAGGACACTGTCTCTGAGGTCTGTGGAGAAGTGTAGAGGACACTGTCTCTGAGGTCTGTGGAGAAGTGTAGAGGACACTGTCTCTGAGGTCTGTGGAGAAGTGTAGAGGACACTGTCTCTGAGGTCTGTGGAGAACTGTCTCTGAGGTCTGTGGAGAAGTGTAGAGGACACTGTCTCTGAGGTCTGTGGAGAAGTGTAGAGGACACTGTCTCTCTGAGGTCTGTGGAGAAGTGTAGAGGACACTGTCTCTGTGAGGTCTGTGGAGAAGTGTAGAGGACACTGTCTCTGTGAGGTCTGTGGAGAAGTGTAGAGGACACTGTCTCTGAGGTCTGTGGAGAAGTGTAGAGGACACTGTCTCTGAGGTCTGTGGAGAAGTGTAGAGGACACTGTCTCTGAGGTCTGTGGAGAAGTGTAGAGGACACTGTCTCTGAGGTCTGTGGAGAAGTGTAGAGGACACTGTCTCTGAGGTCACTGTCTCTGAGGTCTGTGGAGAAGTGTAGAGGACACTGTCTCTGAGGTCTGTGGAGAAGTGTAGAGGACACTGTCTCTGAGGTCTGTGGAGAAGTGTAGAGGACACTGTCTCTGAGGTCTGTGGAGAAGTGTAGAGGACACTGTCTCTGAGGTCTGTGGAGAAGTGTAGAGGACACTGTCTCTCTGAGGTCTGTGGAGAAGTGTAGAGGGTCTTGAGTCTGTGGAGAAGGTAGAGGACACTGTCTCTCTGTGAGGTCTGTGGAGAAGTGTAGAGGACACTGTCTCTGAGGTCTGTGGAGAAGTGTAGAGGACACTGTCTCTGAGGTCTGTGGAGAAGTGTAGAGGACACTGTCTCTCTGAGGTCTGTGGAGAAGTGTAGAGGACACTGTCTCTGAGGTCTGTGGAGAAGTGTAGAGGACACTGTCTCTGAGGTCTGTGGAGAAGTGTAGAGGACACTGTCTCTGAGGTCTGTGGAGAAGTGTAGAGGACACTGTCTCTGAGGTCTGTGGAGAAGTGTAGAGGACACTGTCTCTGAGGTCTGTGGAGAAGTGTAGAGGACACTGTCTCTGAGGTCTGTGGAGAAGTGTAGAGGACACTGTCTCTGAGGTCTGTGGAGAAGTGTAGAGGACACTGTCTCTCTGAGGTCTGTGGAGAAGTGTAGAGGACACTGTCTCTGTGAGGTCTGTGGAGAAGTGTAGAGGACACTGTCTCTGAGGTCTGTGGAGAAGTGTAGAGGACACTGTCTCTGAGGTCTGTGGAGAAGTGTAGAGGACACTGTCTCTGAGGTCTGTGGAGAAGTGTAGAGGACACTGTCTCTGAGGTCTGTGGAGAAGTGTAGAGGACACTGTCTCTGAGGTCTGTGGAGAAGTGTAGAGGACACTGTCTCTGAGGTCTGTGGAGAAGTGTAGAGGACACTGTCTCTGAGGTCTCTGTGGAGAAGTGTAGAGGACACTGTCTCTGAGGTCTGTGGAGAAGTGTAGAGGACACTGTCTCTGAGGTCTGTGGAGAAGTGTAGAGGACACTGTCTCTGAGGTCTGTGGAGAAGTGTAGAGGACACTGTCTCTGAGGTCTGTGGAGAAGTGTAGAGGACACTGTCTCTGAGGTCTGTGGAGAAGTGTAGAGGACACTGTCTCTGAGGTCTGTGGAGAAGTGTAGAGGACACTGTCTCTGAGGTCTGTGGAGAAGTGTAGAGGACACTGTCTCTGAGGTCTGTGGAGAAGTGTAGAGGACACTGTCTCTGTGAGGTCTGTGGAGAAGTGTAGAGGACACTGTCTCTGATACAGACGTGTTGATGCAGTCGTTACAAACAGATAAACGTTACAGACAGAACGGGCCAGAGAACTGTGGAGCAGTAAAATCCACATGTGTTTGTCCTCATGGTGTCTGTGGCTGTTGGGGTCAGACGCCAGACTCTATGGTGTCTGTGGCTGCTGGGGTCAGACGTCAGACTCTATGGTGTCTGTGGCTGCTGGGGTCAGACGTCAGACTCTATGGTGTCTGTGGCTGCTGGGGTCAGACGCCAGACTCTATGGTGTCTGTGGCTGCTGGGGTCAGACGTCAGACTCTATGGTGTCTGTGGCTGCTGGGGTCAGACGCCAGACTCTATGGTGTCTGTGGCTGCTGGGGTCAGACGCCAGACTCTATGGTGTCTGTGGCTGCTGGGGTCAGACGTCAGACTCTATGGTGTCTGTGGCTGCTGGGGTCAGACGCCAGACTCTATGGTGTCTGTGGCTGCTGGGGTCAGACGCCAGACTCTATGGTGTCTGTGGCTGCTGGGGTCAGACGCCAGACTCTATGGTGTCTGTGGCTGTTGGGGTCAGACGCCAGACTCTGTGGTGTCTGTGGCTGCTGGGGTCAGACGCCAGACTCTATGGTGTCTGTGGCTGCTGGGGTCAGACGTCAGACTCTATGGTGTCTGTGGCTGCTGGGGTCAGACGCCAGACTCTATGGTGTCTGTGGCTGCTGGGGTCAGACGTCAGACTCTATGGTGTCTGTGGCTGCTGGGGTCAGACGTCAGACTCTATGGTGTCTGTGGCTGCTGGGGTCAGCCGCCAGACTCTATGGTGTCTGTGCCTGCTGGGGTCAGACGCCAGACTCTATGGTGTCTGTGGCTGCTGGGGTCAGACGCCAGACTCTATGGTGTCTGTGGCTGCTGGGGTCAGACGCCAGACTCTATGGTGTCTGTGGCTGCTGGGGTCAGACGCCAGACTCTATGGTGTCTGTGGCTGCTGGGGTCAGACGCCAGACTCTATGGTGTCTGTGGCTGCTGGGGTCAGACGCCAGACTCTATGGTGTCTGTGGCTGCTGGGGTCAGACGCCAGACTCTATGGTGTCTGTGGCTGTTGGGGTCAGACGTCAGACTCTATGGTGTCTGTGGCTGCTGGGGTCAGACGCCAGACTCTGTGGTGTCTGTGCCTGCTGGGGTCAGACGCCAGACTCTATGGTGTCTGTGGCTGCTGGGGTCAGACGCCAGACTCTATGGTGTCTGTGGCTGCTGGGGTCAGACTCTATGGTGTCTGTGGCTGCTGGGGTCAGACGCCAGACTCTATGGTGTCTGTGGCTGCTGGGGTCAGACGCCAGACTCCATGGTGTCTGTGGCTGTTGGGGTCAGACGCCAGACTCTGTGGTGTCTGTGGCTGCTGGGGTCAGACGCCAGACTCTATGGTGTCTGTGGCTGCTGGGGTCAGACGCCAGACTCTATGGTGTCTGTGGCTGCTGGGGTCAGACGCCAGACTCTATGGTGTCTGTGGCTGCTGGGGTCAGACGCCAGACTCTATGGTGTCTGTGGCTGCTGGGGTCAGACGCCAGACTCTATGGTGTCTGTGGCTGCTGGGGTCAGACGCCAGACTCTGTGGTGTCTGTGGCTGCTGGGGTCAGACGCCAGACTCTATGGTGTCTGTGGCTGCTGGGGTCAGACGCCAGACTCTGTGGTGTCTGTGGCTGCTGGGGTCAGACGCCAGACTCTATGGTGTCTGTGGCTGCTGGGGTCAGACTCTATGGTGTCTGTGGCTGCTGTGGTCAGACGCCAGACTCTGTGGTGTCTGTGGCTGCTGGGGTCAGACGCCAGACTCTATGGTGTCTGTGGCTGCTGGGGTCAGACGCCAGACTCTGTGGTGTCTGTGGCTGCTGGGGTCAGACGCCAGACTCTATGGTGTCTGTGGCTGCTGGGGTCAGACGCCAGACTCTATGGTGTCTGTGGCTGCTGGGGTCAGACGCCAGACTCTATGGTGTCTGTGGCTGCTGGGGTCAGACGTCAGACTCTATGGTGTCTGTGGCTGCTGGGGTCAGACGTCAGACTCTATGGTGTCTGTGGCTGCTGGGGTCAGACGTCAGACTCTATGGTGTCTGTGGCTGCTGGGGTCAGACGCCAGACTCTATGGTGTCTGTGGCTGCTGGGGTCAGACGTCAGACTCTATGGTGTCTGTGGCTGCTGGGGTCAGACGCCAGACTCTATGGTGTCTGTGGCTGCTGGGGTCAGACGTCAGACTCTATGGTGTCTGTGGCTGTTGGGGTCAGACTCTATGGTGTCTGTGGCTGCTGGGGTCAGACGCCAGACTCTATGGTGTCTGTGGCTGCTGGGGTCAGACTCTATGGTGTCTGTGGCTGTTGGGGTCAGACTCTATGGTGTCTGTGGCTGCTGGGGTCAGACGCCAGACTCTATGGTGTCTGTGGCTGCTGGGGTCAGACGCCAGACTCTATGGTGTCTGTGGCTGCTGGGGTCAGACTCTATGGTGTCTGTGGCTGCTGGGGTCAGACGCCAGACTCTATGGGCTGCATGAAGCGGAGTGACCCGTGTATGTGCGGCCGTTATGTGAGATATCAGTGAATATAGTCGTTCCATGTGAATGCACTGATCTCAGACGTCCTCCTTGATTATCAGGAATTACCAGGTCCACAGGTAATACTCATCCCGTCTGAATAGAGCTTAAAATATAATTGTCCTCACTGAAAAAACTGATAGAAACCAATCTGAAAGATAATCACATTTACCAGTGTGTTGAACAGTGTGTCTATTTCAAGATGTTTTTGTGCCCATTTTGTTAATTAGTATTTTCATTTAATTATTTGTATGTTTTTTTTTTATTATTTCATGAACGCACACGCAGAAGGATCGCAAAGTAGAGCAGAACTAGGTATCACTTTAAACAGATTTGTCACCCATAACGAGAATCATCTCTCTCTGACCTTGTACTGCTTTAACCACACCCCCCCTTTAAATGTAATGTATCTACTATAAAACTTAGGCTCTCATGTCAGGATAAAAGAAGAGTACAACCATAGACTGTATATATTAACGGACAGAGTCACGCCTATCTCCGGCGTTCTAACTAATGGGCCAAAAAATGTGCTCTACTGGAGCTATCCAAAATGGCCGCTAGTGGTCCCGCCCACAAGAGAATTGTGAAAAAACACATCTGTGCATGCGTCAGCCGGAGAGAGCTCCATTCATTTGAACGAGTGACTTCTAAAGTCCACAGCGACTAAACTAGACTGGTCCAGAACACCCCCCTCAGCATTGACACACATGTGGAACGGAGCTTTGGGCCAAGAGACAACTTATGGCCATCCTGTAAAGACGTTTTTGAGAGGTCTGCCAATGCTATGTGTTAGCATTGCTAATTCTTCTTCTGGGTCCACCCCCACAGGCCCGGGGTGGTACTGCAGCATGTCAGCGCACCTCATTTTGGCCACTTTTGAGCTGGGACCCTCCCCCACTGAGTACAACGCACGCACGCACACACACACACACAGACACGCACACACACACACACAGACACACGCACACAGACACGCACAGACACACACACACACACGCACACACACACAGACACACGCACACACACAAACAGACACGCACACACACACACACGCACACACACATACAGACACACACACGCACACGTTTTTGTTACCTGGTGGGTCCCTTTAACAGGGCCGTTCAGAATGGGACCCATAGACATAATCTTTTTTTACTGGGACTACTTTAAGTAATACAAAACAGTCAATAGAAACCAAACAACTATTTTAAAGGAATTATATATTTGAGTTTTTTTTTTTAATTGCAGTGATTCTATTTTTGACATAGAATTTAATGCCACTCCATGTCCGATGTCTAAGGTCATCTGGTGAGGCATTAATGCAGGCCAGGCCAGGCCAGGCCAGGCAGTGAGACTTCCCAGGGACCTTTCCAGTCTGTATGAAAGGTGTCATGGTCTTCTCCACAGCCTTCACCTCAGATGCAGACCATGGCTTTCTTACACGTTCTAGGGAGAGAAATAAAAATATATTAGCAATATACACTCCCAGGGTGAGGACCAAGCAGCCTGGCTGTAATCCCCCACCTGGTACACTTACCAGAAGGGGCACTGCCACTACCATGGGGTGCATCTGGATGAATGGTTGAAGGTTCTCCGCTTGAAGTTTCTTTTAGCCCGTCCGTTTGTGAGAGGATCTCTACTGCTCTCCCTGTCGCACAGAAAATAAAAATACAAGTGGCCTTTAGGGGTAAAAAATTATACATATTTTAATAATATCAAGAATTACCTTCAGGCTCAATTTGTATCTGGTCGAGACTCTTTCCTTTGAATTCCGTCACTCTTCCCTGCTCCATGGCCATCAACACTTTGCTGATTTTGGCCAGCTCCAGTGTCCCCTCTGGTAGTCTGTAATATTGTCTGTGGATGCGAATGTCATGGCCGAGGAAGTTGGCTAGTATGTCCATTTCATTCTCTTTCATATTGAGAACTGTAGACAGTAGCTATGTGCTTTCTAAGTTTGGTTGAGGATAGCATCTCTGGATGCACCGCACCACATTCTTTGGCTACCTGGCGTAGGGAGTCTGATCCCCTGATGTGGGTGTCTGCGCCCGGGCGGGAGAAGAAGTATGGGTTATGGTCAGAGATGGAACAGGCCCTTCTGTTCTCCACCAGCACCTCCATCCAAGCAATCATTTCAGGAGTCAAAAGAACCGGCACTTTCCGACTTCTTTTCCCTTTAATTTCAATGCGTTGAAAATGCTGACACAGCTTTTTCTCAAGTTGGGACAGTCCCAGAGCAATGTCAGAATGGATCCCAGTCTTACTTCTTAAGGTAAACGCTGTCAGTGGCATCTTTGAAACCTCACCTTCCCTTCTTCGATTGAAAATAATGACCTCACAAAGAGTCAAAACTGCCAGTTTAGACCAATGCTTAGACGTTGGCTCACTTATTAGGGTTTGCACATATTCAGGTCGACATACCTCAATATGTGCATGCATGGCTCTAACGTCCTCAGTCAGAGGGAGCAGGTCCGGAGTGTTCCACTTGGCTTGCCGGAGGGTCTGTAGGGCAGCAGAAGAAACACAGACGTCCCACCTCTTCTCAAAAAGCAGCCGGCTTCGTTGGAGGTTTTTAATAAATAGTTCATCAACACAATGCTCCATCTTTGAGTCACATTCAAGAATATCTGCTTTCTGAGGCTATGGCCGAGTTTGAGGGCCAAGGATGGAGTCTTGTATTGATTTGTTTCCTCATCATATCCAGCCACAGACCTGACTGCATCAATCACATGGTCAAAGTTGGAAGGAATAAAGAAATCCTTCATTGTTTTCAGTTTCCCTGCGGTTTTTGCTTCGTTAATTAACCTACCGACTTCTCTCATTTTCTGCCTAATGTAATCATGCTTAGTCTTATCATGCCCGTGTTTTAAGTACAGGTGCTTTCCGAGTCTCAGAATCCCCTTTTCTGCTTTGACAACACCCGTGACCTCATCCTGATGCATTGCCCAAATTAAAGACCACAGCTTTTTGCTGATGCCCTCCGGTACAGGCTGGGCTAGGGAGCAGAGGGACTGGACCCTACTTCTACCTGGTTTAGCCTGGGCATCTTTCTGTGAAAGCCGGCACCTGGCCACATGCCTCCACAGCGACTTTCGCTTAAGCAATGCCCCACAGTCTATACAGTGCAAAAACTCACTGGATTTAACTGGGCAATTTGGCTGTTTAGCTGGGACTAAAGTTCCAATGCCGGCCTTTAAAACCTCAACATTGTGCTCACGGTTTCCACTATTCCTGATCAAATCAAACTGAAGTTTACGTGCTTTAGATTTCACAGGTAGAGCCAATGCTCTGGCTACGTCACTTTCATTTCCATGTTTTCTAGTCAAATGACGGGACATTTTGTGGCAGGACATTGAACAGTAGAGGCAGAAGTGTCTCTTGCTGTAAACTCGCCCCCCATTTTTCTTCTTTTGCAGCTGCATGATAACAATCTTATTTGCCTTTGGTTCGTCACTTTCCGAGTCTTGAAGAAAAGTGTTTTTGATTTTTCTTTTTCCATACTTTTTTACAGGTTTCTTCTTGACAGTTAAATCGTCAGAATCTGAGTCGACTTCATCAATTAGGGACTCTTGACTAAGCTGCACAAACAACAAATAATTAGTAATAATTCTATATAACAATTTGAAGTCATGACTTGTAGTCAGCACTTACCAGTGGTTTGTAAGCGTGCGCTTCAGTGTGCTGCTCTGTGATTGGCTGCAGCCTAATGAACCACACACTTGCACCTTTTCTAGCCTGACACCTGATTTCCTCTGTTGTGCTGCTCCATGATTGGCTCCAGCCTCTGTTGTGCTGCTCCATGATTGGCTCCAGCCTGCTGGACTGAAATTGCCCCAGTGTGCCCCTCCTTGATATTCCACAACCCACCACCAGGGTTCCGACACATAACACACTTTTTTCAGGAAAGTAAACCTCCAGGGGTCCTTTCCATATTTTTACAGAGACTGCATAAGGACCGTTAGAAAAGCATTACCCATTGATTATTAAGCTTGGACCAGTGGGGTCCGGTGTTCGGGCCCCACCACGTAAAACCAGTCCCCATGACGTGATTGGAATCTCAGGTTATGGAACCCACCAGGAGTTGAAAACAAGTGCACAGACACACACACACACACAGACACACACACACACACACACAGAGACAAACACACACACACGCACACACAGACAAACACACACACACACACACAGACACACATACACACACACAGAGACAAACACACAGACATACACACACACACACACACACACAGAGACAAACACACACGCACACACAGATACAAACACACACACACACACACACAGAGACAAACACACACGCACACACAGACAAACACACACGCACACATACACACACACACAGACACACACACAGAGACAAACACACACACACACACACAGAGACAAACACACAGAGACAAACACACACACAAACACACACACACACAAACACACAGAGACAAACACACACACAAACACACACACACACACACACACAGTACCAGGGGGATCCGGATGGTTCTGTGGAGAGAGGTCCCACAATCACATCCAGAGACTGAAACTACAGGATCAACTTCCAAACTTCAGCATTTCTTAGCAACCACCTTAGCAACCGTCTTAGCAACCGAGTTAGCAACACATGTTAGCAACCAACTTAGAAATCTTCTTAGCAAACGTCTTAGCAAACAGTCTAAGCATTCGTCTTAGCAACACGTCTTTGCAACCGTCTTAGCAACACGTCTTAGCAACCGTCTTAGCAACCGTTTTTGCAACTGACTTAGCAACCGTCTAAGAAACACTTCTTAGCAACCGTCTTAACAACAGTCTAAGCAATCGTCTTGGCAACCGTTTTCGCAACTGACTTAGAAACAGTCTTAGCAACAGTCTAGGCAACCATCTTAGCAACTGAGTTAGCAACATATCTTAGCAACCGTCTTAGTAACAGTCTAAGATACCGGCTTAGCAACCGACTTAGAAACTGTCCAAGCAATCGTCTTAGCAATGGAGTTAGCAACACATCTTAGCAACCGTTTTAGCAATATGTCTAAGCAACACGTCTGCCCCTGTCACGTCTCCCCTCCTGGTTCCTCTCCCCCTGGTTGCTCCCTCTGGTTCTCCTCTGGTTGCTCCCTCTGGTTCTCCTCTGGTTGCTCCCTCTGGTTGCTCCCTCTGGTTCTCCTCTGGTTGCTCCCTCTGGTTGCTCCCTCTGGTTCTCCTCTGGTTGCTCCCTCTGGTTGCTCCCTCTGGTTCTCCTCTGGTTGCTCCCTCTGGTTGCTCCTTCTGGTTCCTTCTCCTCGGTCTCCTCGTGCACGGCCTCCTTTACTCATGCACAACGAAAGCTCGCGGCGCACGTTCCGCTGCCAAGAGTAATGATCGCCTCAGCCCCATTCATCACACCGGCTGCTAACTGTGCTGAATCAAAGCCACTTACCATGTAACCAAGCAATTACAGCAGAACCAGGAGAACTAGGAGAACCAGGAGAACCAGGAGACCAGAAAGAGGTAGAAGAGATAGAGACCTGAAAGAGACCAGAGAGAGAGACCAGGTAGAGACCAGGTTGAGCGACCAGAGAGAGAGATACCAGAGAGAGACCATAGAGAAAGAGAGAGAGAGCAACACATCTGCCCCTGTTACGTCGCAAAGCTAGCGGCAGTGGTTTCAGCCCGTCATAATGAAGGACAGGGGCCAAAAAAATCCGTCATGAGCTATTTTTAACAGTCATTTTATTTTCACGTTTGAAATACCCTATAGGCTATTAATTAAACAATTGTATAAACAAAAACAGGCTTTATAACATGCTTTATTAGCTGTTCGTTTACAAATGTACAATACATTTAATTTGTGAATATTTTTTTTATTTTTTTATTTAACCTTTATTTAACCAGGAAAAATCCCATTGAGATTAAGAATCTCTTTTTCAAGGGAGTCCTGGCCAAGAGGCAGCAAAGTCACACATAAACACAACAGATAATATATATCCATCAATCATCAATATATAAAGTTGCATAAAAATCGCAAAACAATCGACAACTCTGCGTAACATTTAACCTGCATTAACATGTGGAACAAACACGTACAGGAGTTTGCCTGAATGCGGTTATTAAACCTTCTTTCGCGGCTTTGTGGACTTGTTCATAATTGAATGTGTGCAGGGCTGGCGACACCGAGGCGACTGTCATTAGAGTTTGTGTTTTTGTCTCGGTCAGACGGCTTCGAAGTGCAGTTCTGATTTTATTTTGGAGACTGAAGCCGCGCTCAGCAGCGACACTTGACACAGGAATAACAAGCGCTACTTCGGCCAGAGTTTAGTAGTCTGGGAACATCTCCGTGTATGTGTTGATGAGAAGCTTAGGGAGTCCTTAAAGACCTTATGACGGGTTTGATTTATTTAGAAATACAGTTTTAATACCATTTTATATTAGAAGAGAACTACTAAAGGTTTCAAAATCAGTTGTTGTTTTTTTTGTCTGATCCCCCCCAAATCGACGCCCTTGGTGACGTCAGAGTGGGTACGTTTCAACGCTGTAAGTTGTTTACAATTTGGTATTCGTTCTTTTTTTCGCGGATATTCAAGATGACAAGGCCGTGTACAGCGAGTCTAAGATAACTACTAGAATATAACATTTCGTTGTCACTGATATAGTCCAGTGGTTGTGTCAATGGACTTTCAATCCAGAAACTTGGGTTCAAATCCCACCTAAGACATTTTTTCACACTCAAAACGGCAATTTATGTGTAGTGAGCAATTGTCACCTGTAGAGGGCAGTATTGTGTTGGGCATCAGTGGAGAGAAGAGAGAAAAGGCAGTCCTGTGGCATAGATCCATGGTTTTCAATGCATGGGCGTAACCCGCTATGACGTCACACACAGGTTAGAGCATAGACAACTTAAATTCATGAAAAACACGTTCTTTTTAGAAAATATAGGATTTTTTTTGCCGGAATCTCTTTCAGATTGACATTGTCATGCAATTTTGATATCCACTTTTTTTTTTTTTTAAACCCGTCATAAGGTCTTTAAATGGCGGGTTACCTGAACCTGCAAGCACACGTTTCACGGAGCAAAAGTCCCGAACCATCCTTTCCTTTTCAACGAGTGAGACCGCTGCGTTTGGGTGCGCGCCATAAAAGTCAGCAAGGCTCGACAGCATCCGAGCCGTACTCCTGCAGCGCGCTGTTCGTGTTTGGAAAACGAGAGGCGTTGAGGACAGTGTACCGTCTATAAAATGTTAATAAATGTCCATCCAAGTCCTGGAACCACCTTACCTGGTCTTAAACCATACCATTGTACAAATTTCATTTGTACTGTTTTGGATTTGCTCCATCGACTCCGTTAACAGGTTAGGAGGGCTAACTCCTTTTACAGATTGAATACGATGGATCTGAGTTTAACCGTGACGTATGTAATGAGCCCGAGTCAAACGCATTTATAATGTAGCCTAGCTTTAGAATTTAGCCTACTTTAGCCATCTCCTTTGCCACTAACGACCCCATAGGGAGGTATGCCACAACATTTTGCTTCAATTCATTTGCTAAACTTTCTTCTTGATCCAGCTTAATTTCTTGTATTTTGAGCTAACCAGAACAGATTACTTTAATATCGCATTCGGCGCACAAACCAAACCAGCTATATTCTGCGCAAACTCTTGACAATCACCGACTTCCGACCTACAATGGCATATAACCGAACGTACACGTAGGAAATAATAACTGACCAGAGTTAACGACGGCTAAGTCCAGGCCTAGTAACCACTCAACCCTGTGTGAGGAAAAAAAAGAGGCATTTATCGGCAAAGCTTAGATTCAAAAGTCTGAAACCAACTCTGTCTATGTGTCAGAGTAAATAACAAGTTTGAAAAACAAAGCGTTTAGGACAGAAGGGGCTGTCTCTTCGCTTCACCTAGAATAGACTCAGATTGGACCTACGCAGCCGAAAATAAACCAGTAGTGATCTGTCAGACGGATCAGTTCACCGTGCACCTAGGAATGAAGGCCGCACACAAATAATACACACACACATACATACACACACACCTCATACATGCACAGACATAAATACTAGGGCTGTCAAACGATTAAATGTTTTAGGTTGATTAATCGCATAGTAATGGGTGATTTAACTCACGATTAATCGCATATATTAACATTCTATTTTCAATTCCACTCCAATTGAAGTTAAATGAGATTAGCAAATATAATTACCAGTATTGGGGTAAGTTACTTTGCAAAAGTAATTAGTTCTAGTTAATAGTTACTGTCTTCGCAAAAATAATGACTTACTGATTACTCCACTATAAAAGTAACAGTTTACCCAGTAAAAGTAACTATTGCTGGTACCGAGCTTTAGCTGGCTGTAATTTAGGATAACTTCTAAGTAGAATAATTGTGCAACAACCACACCCTATTTAGTATATAATGTAGTTTTAGGGAACTGTCATGCAGGCAAACTGGTTTTATAGTCGACAGACCAAGGTGCCATTTAATTAAATGTGCATTTATTTTATCCATTTATCAAACAAACAGATTACAAACTTGCAATTGAAAGAGACTATTTTAAAATAATTAGTTCCCAAAAACCAGAAGACTCACCGAGAACACTCACCGGCCTGACAGAAAGACAAGAACCAGGGAGATACAAACGCAGAGCGCGCCTGAACAACAAGAACCATGGAAAATACAGTGCGCAGAGCGCGCCTGAAAGTCAAAACCGGGAGAATACAGTACGCAGAGCGCGCCTGACAGTCAAGACCAGGGAGAATACAGTACGCGAGCGCTGATTTGTGTGACGGAGGCAATCCGCTTGCTGCTGTTAATAAAATAGCTCGATCCTGCTTTCAGCCCCGTGGCAAAGCTTGCACTCAACTCACAGCCGCAACTACAACCAGAGCGGCCACGGAGGAGGCCATCTCCACTCAGCATTCTGAGTGATTCTTATGGAAAAAATGGGCGGGTCATTTTGAAAATGCTTAATGCGTTTAAAAAATAATAACGAGTTAATAAAAAATTATATTAATATTAATAAATAGTAAATTAGTATAATATAGTAATTAACGTGAGTAAAAACGCGATATTTTGAAACAGCACCAATAAATACATACACATACAATACACATATACATACACATTGAACGAGGTGCTAAATCTGGATCTGGAATTCACTAGAAATTACAAGAATAACACAAGAGCAGGAAAATAAAAGGGACGTATTCCCGTGAAAAATATGTCTGGTCTCTCTCTGGACTCTCTCTGAACCCTCTCCTAGTCTCTCTCTGGTCTCTCTCTGGACTCTCTTCTCTGGTCTCTCTCTGGACTTCTCACTGGACTCCTCTCTGGACCTCCTCTCTGACTCTCTCTGATCCCGTCTCTAGTCTCCCTCTCTGGTCTCCTCTCTAGTCTCTCCTAGTCTCTCTCTGGCCTCTCTCTGGACTCTCTCTGGACTCTCTCTGACTCTCTCATGGACTCATCTCTGATCCCTCTCTATCTCCTCTCGGTCTCTCACTGGTCGCTCCCTGTCTCTCTGCTCCGGCCTCTCTCCGCCTCATCTCCCCTCATCCTTGCCTCTCTCTCCGGACTCTCACAGGACCCTCGTCCGTGGTCTCTCCCTGGACTCTCTCAGTCTTCTCCAGTCACTCTGGTGGCGGATACTTACATCTGACTTTTGGAGACTTATTTGGAATGTGGGAAGGAAATATATTTTG